AATAAAAAATACTAGAAATTAAGTATCAGCGTTGCACCGGGGCGGGTCGCTAGTATCTTATAAAATAGCTAAGTGCCTGACCAAACACTTAAAGAAAATACACTGCTTTTAACAAATATTTTGGAATCTCAAGCTTCTCAAAGCCAGGTCAGGGCACCTATCTTAAAAGTAGGTAATACTCTTGCTAAAAAAGTCTTGAGAAATTAATTAATATTCATGTTTACCCTTGACAATACACATCAGACATAATTTGTATATTGACAACATTAATTACTGCTTAAAATTCTAGACTTAACCGAGAGAAACTTTTCGGTTCATTAGTTACTTACACAGAGGTAACAGATCTTTAAATCAAAAGTAATCGATATTCAAACATATGTATAGGGTATAATATAATAATTCATGTCAATCAATAAAAGTATCGAATAACTACATTTTTATAACGAACGCTAACGAAGTATAATAACAAATTCGTCCATCTAAAGATTAGTTACCTAATTTAACATACTATATATGTATATGTACATACTATATTGCAATCTTTCGACTTTATTCACAGGAAATTGGTGTCATCTCAAGGTTACATTAAACTGGACAAAAAGTGACATCATTTGTAGCAGATTTATTATTATTTCTATTAAGGTATCTAAACAAACCTATTCTTATTATACGATGTTTCAATATCATAATAAAGAACTGAATTACGTTAATTAAAAAAAAACTTACGAAATAATACATACTTATTTATATAAATACGCACAAACATTAAAAACGATTGAATAGTTTTTACTCTTCAAATGACACAACAATGCAATCGCATTTTATTGCTACCTACATACGTTATCTTGGCCCTCATTTCCTTATAAAAAATCCTTTTGCCATTCAAAGTACCTACAAAAAATATTAGAATAAATAAATGAACCAAAGTTGAACACCTCTGGTGCGAAGACGTTACAATCTTTATGGTCCCATTTACGCGTCTTATTTTATACGTAATCCATTAATTGCCGGGATCGGGACCTCTTTTTCAAAAGACTTTTCCCTTTTTTATCCGACAAGCACCTGTGTCTAAAAGCGGACCCTTCGATGATTTCAATGACTGGTTATTTTTTTTTACAAATAGCAGCTTTCTGTGGTTGAAATTTAGACTTTAGGAAGATGTGATTTGGGTTAAAAATTTATTAACGAAAATGGAGTTTTTAGTAAATCTTTTCTTATCGCGGAGTGAGAAGATGCGACCACTGACAGGGCAAAGTCGTGCAGGTAGAAAATCGATTGTTATTAGACGTCAGGGCTCCTCATAATAACATAAATATATTGTAAAGAATCGATTCTGAACAGAATGGGTGATCGAACGGCTACAAAGAATTCCATGTCAAATTAGCTTTATCATTTAGCTTTTGATGTATTGTGCACATGTTTAGCCGCTTTTATAATCAAAATCGTTACAGTCAAGCTAGTCACTATATGAAAATACATACATGTCTAGTCTATGTATATTTACAGGTACGTATGGTTTGGTTTCAAAAAACTCACTAACTGATCTCTCTTTTACATCCAACCTTCTTCAATTTTATGTAAAAACAGTTATAATTACTTGGTGTGAAGTCACGTTTTCGTTTAAAATTATTGTTATAAATAGTCTTATTTTGTTTGCAGTGTTGTACCGGTTACCTGGGAGGTATCACACGGTTCCTTCATGCACATAAATTGCAATTAAGCTGTATGTCAGCTTGTCGCCCTGAACGACGGCTCACCTGCCTCTTGTACCCTCGGCTTTATTATAAATGTAATTATGAATTAAGGTCTGCTGGCAAATGAGATAAGATAGCTAAAACAGGTAATGTAGCTTTGACTTAAAGTGTAAAATGAATATGATTGAGATTATCTCGAGAGAAATATGTTCATCTTACATTCTAAGGTTACTTATTTATATTGAATCAACGCTTACAATGTTTGTGCCATAGAGAGCATATTTGTTCAGGAAGTTTTCAAACCTATCCTAAATTTAGATAGGTATGTACAACCGTAAAACTGCTCTATTTGGACTACATTTAAAAATACACACTACAATTTTGGTTACAACGCTCAACACTTACAGATAGAATTTGGACATATATAAGCTACTTGCGAAACATTATCTCTGGTAAGCAAAATCTATTATTAAAACTAGTCTTAAAAGCATGTTACCAAATTAGCTAACGAAAGCCTACTTTTAAGATCTCAAATCCATATGCTGGCGAATATGACGGCGCGTGGGCATTACCATTTACAAAGCACGATAATTAATCGTCTATGTGTGACAGTCGAGAACGTTACACTGATTTATAGAATGCCGTGTTTATGGTACGGGTAGATGGCGCTGGCATTGAACAGAGCCGCGCGAGAGATGGCCAGTGGGTATGCGCGATTAGGCTCGCAGTCAAAAAAAGAAAATGAATTTTTTTTGGTGTCAAAAACTATCGTAGCTTTAATATTATTGTTATTGAGGTATCTAGAATATTTGATTATATGCGTAGTGGTAATCGTGATAGGCGAGTGAAGGAAAAAGATTTCAATTCCAAGGTCAGGCAAACGATCCGAGACTTCTTCGAGTTTCAGAAGTCTCAGTAGTAAGACAAGTGTAAGTCAAGATAAGTAATGGTCTGAAACTATCTGTACTTCGTTTGGTTAGAGAAATGCAGACACGCCCACTGTAAACAAGGGACTTATAGCCTTAATAGGTATAAAGGGCAGGGCGCTTTTTTTAGCGGGGAAAATCATCGAATTCCTTCTGATCCCCTGGATGAGAAAAAAGTATTGCCTCTGTTTTGGAAAAAGCCCCTACAATCTTCTGAAACTACAACTCCTCTCAACCAGGATCTACAGCAGATAGAACCATACAATTAATAAAACACTGGAGTCCGTCGGTGCTCAGGGACATGAATGGCTGTCTTGGATCTTGCTACGAAGTAATGAGAAGATATTAATTAAGGAGAAGAAAAAAACTCAATAGTTTCCCCTTCCATCAGTGAATGTAAGGCAGGAAACATGGTTATTTAAGCCTTAAGAGCACAAAAGAGATCGTACAACTGGGAGAAACTCAGTCTCCAACACCAAAATTTTCTGTTTTAATCTGTCCTATGTGTGAGCTGTTATACTTGTTTCCAGTAATAGGTATGCCAAAAAAATTCTTCTACATTCGATATATGAAATATTTAAATGATCTAACATAGTGTTACGTTCGTATTGCAAAAAATTACACTTCCACAAAAATCTCCATAGATAAACAAAAGCCTGCCCAATAACTTCCAGATTTACTAATTAGTTCTATAGCCGAATAACTCAATCTATTTTATTATTTCTTTTTTGTTGTAAATAAAATCAATAAAATGTTTCTTGTCTATGCATATGTACAAAGGTACTGGTTGTTAAAATCACAGTGTCCTAATATTATTAGAGAATAATTTGTAGATTTCTAGGTAGAACCTAGCATTAGGTACCATACCCGAATTAATATAATATGTGTGTTATATATTTATTATATTTTACGCGGCAAGCCATATCGCGTTCCGATCAGACAGAAGAAAGTACATCGGAGGCGGGATGATAGCGTCGGAGGCTGCAACCGGCCGAACCGGTTGCCCATTGTGGTCAGTTTTTGTTCAAAACCCCGGCACAACAACCTACCACTAACTGTCAAAAATCCATAATACATTCCCAACGTTATAAACTCACAGTTAAAGTCGAAAATATATTGAACTAATTTGACAGTTGAGGATAGCTTTACGTACTTTGTGTACCTACCACACCGCGTCCCGCGACACCCGCTTTTTACCTTCGCCAAAATGATCTCCATTCTTTTGGTCAATCGATTTAATTTTTAATTGGTCAATGTTTTTGGGTCACTACTTAATTGCTACCCAAATAATACGTATAATACGGTACACAATTTATTGTATGCTGTTGCAAATTTCACATTTTCTCTGATATCACTCGTGAACGGCTAGACCGATTCTGATCCTTCTGATCTTCTGAGATCTGGAGAAGGTCCATATAAAAGTTTCTTTTTGAAGTTTAGTTAAATATCGGCTTATAGATCGCATCCCACTTGATGCCGTGGCGGTTCAGTAATAAAGTAAATAACTGACACTGATATCGTTAGACAGCCGTGCAGAACAGGGAAAACACAAAATTATATACATTTTATATTAATTCCAGCAGTTTATGTCCCACAAAAGTAACTGCTGAACAATGGTGAACAATGGAAATAAATGGTTCTCAATGGATCACTCCTGCCTAAATAACGAACTTATGATTTGAGGATAGATACTAAGGGGCACCTGCCGATCCTTCTGAAAACATGGAGCCTAACAAACGCTACAACTTACATTAATTCTCTATTTACTTATATTGTATATTATATAAAAAAATGGGTAAAATAAAAATGTTTTTTTGCTTTGTTTGCTCAACTTCCGCCTTACGCAGGTGTCCGGAGGACACAGCATCATCGGTAAGTACCTACATGTTTCGGATCCGGCGGGAGAAAATGCCCGGGTATTAGTGCTAATTCATAGATCCATAGCCAATGAAACCCTAACACTATGTATACGAAATCGATACAGATTTTCTAAAAATAGACAAAAACGTCAAAGCATTTAAACCCATGGGTAGGTATTATTTTTTTAAAAAAGGGGAACTGCTACTTTTTGTATTAGAATAGAAATAAATTACGTTATACGAGAGAAATATGAAAGTTCTTATTCAAATTTCAACAAGTGACGCCATCTGTTGTGACATTGATAAACTGAATTATTAAGTCAAGGACACACTAGGGTGGTGTATGTTTTTTTATTTACGCTATTTACTAAATGAATAGGTATATAACAAATACGGCTTAATCTTATAAGCGGGTATTGTTCAATTATTATTATTTTTATAGTTCTTCTATCTATGGTTCATTATAAGCTCTAATGTTTTTTTACTTATTACCACAAACAATAAATTCAAGTCTCTAACCTTTTTAATACTATCGTGACAAAATAATCTTTGAGTTGTTTTCTCTAGTCTTTGGTAGTAGGTAATATGTTTGATCTGTCAAAAAATGTCTTTTTGACGTGATTTGCCGATAAAATTATTTGGATAGTTCATTTTTATAAACATGGGAGGTTCTCAAAGCACTCGAAAAGTAACTGTTGATAATGAAAATGCTATCCAAGTGTCTCAGGAAGCTTTAGACCGGATACAATCTCAGCTCACGGCAAAAGTAAATATGATGTTCCATTACATAATTTTCATCAATGTCATCACTTGTTAGGGCATAATAAAGGAGTGTTGTTGTTGTAAATATCGTAAATAATAAGTGTTAGTCTCTACATGCATCATTATGAATTTGAAGATCACAAATCTCTAGTTACCTTCTCGATCATTACTTAGCTTATAGGTTATCAGAAGATTACTTGGAAAGTTGGAACATCTGGCTTGACATTCTTAAGTTGACAGATCACAATAAATTCCTAAAACAATCCTTCAACTCTGCTTTTAAGAGTTTAGACGCTAGTTATTAATATATTTCATACATATTAAATAATTAAGTTTTTCTCTATCAATAGTAAACTTCAAACATCTGTGTTGTCTACAATTTACAAAACTGCGATAATTATTAAGTATAAAATATATTATCTTACCCATTCATCAAAAACAACATTAAGCTTGTTTTTTAATCCAAAAAAAAAAATTATGTATCATACTTTTGTTTAAACTCTTCAAATCAGGTTACCAATGTTTTACCAAATCCAATCAAAAAGGTTTTATAAGAAGCATTAGTATTACTACTTGCCTTATAATTTAAATTAACTCCATGAATCGTTAAATTTCAGCAAGCTGAACCAAGGCCCCAATCTGCACAACCATACTCACCACCAGCATATGACTACAGACGTCAAAACGAATACGCTGCTGAGGAGGCTTACTGGGCGCACCGCATTGAGAACCTAAAGAGGGCACATGAGAAAATAAACAGCGGAATGCATTTGGAATATCAAAAGACACTGAAAGAAGCTAATAAGTTATTTAATATGGTTGAAGAAGACAAAGTAGCCTCTAAACTGCCACCCTGCCAAGAGGAGAAAGCTAAGGTATAGCGTATTTAGTTATTTTTTATTTTATTTAAAATAAAAAAATTAACTGCTTATAAAAACAACTTATGCAACTACAAATAACAACTATAAAATATGCAAACATAATTAACCAATTACATGTTTATGCATTTATTCAAACAAATGTATAAAATATAATTAATGAAAAAGGAAACAATACCATTAAAATATTTCATCAGAAAATTACAAATTTTGAATGTACATAAGAATTGAAATCTTTGAAAAATTATGATAACATTGATTAGATAAAGTTGATAATAATATCTGATGACTAGTAAAAATGCATGTATGCAGTTGCAGAAACAATATTGAATTTTAATTTAGTGCATGTGTATGGCAATTTGCGGCTTAAGACATGCATGTTAATTGTTTAATGTTAAAATATAATATAATGTAATTATACACCAATGTGTATAATTCCATGTGTGTACTATCAAATATTCTTGCGCGGTTTCACTGGCTGCTCTGCTCCATTTGATTGTAGTGTTATGTTTTATAGCCGCACTCGAGAACATTGTAGCTATCTATCAGTGAAAGAATTTTGGCAATCTGACCAGCGGTTCCAAAGACTTCCTAAACTTAACAAATTTTATGTCTTTATAATATTAGTTTTAAATAGTAGTGCAATTATACTTAAACAACATATTATGTATTGACAATTTTATTTCTAATTTCAGGTTCTCCAGTGCTACAGTACAAATCCAAACAAATCACTTCTGTGTTCAGTGCTAGTGAATGAATTCAATGACTGTGTGTGCAAGAGCAGAGTAGCAGCTGTAACGGCCACGTCTTAACAACCAGAATTATGTAAATAATCATTATTAGTAAATGTTTCTATCAACACCAAGCAGTACTGACCTCAAAGGTTGCATTCGGCCGTGGAGTAGATTTAATATTAATGATGTATCAATAAACTGTTATTAATTTATACTGTTTCTTTTTTACTTCTTTATTTGTGATTTTGGTGTGAAAATGTCGCCTAATTATTTCTATGAGTTTTTATAATTATAATTGTTGATAATTTGAGGCCTGTTTTAATAAAATTTAAGTTCTTCATATATATAATCTTTTAGCTGCTTCAAAAAGCCCCTTAACTACTTCCACTGCTATCTACATGAACTAATAACTTTGTTTATTTCTAACCTAACCTGCCTTGGTGTAGCAAGTATAATATATGTATATTAGAGTTAGTCATAGAAGTAGTCATTTAAAGTTTATTAACCATGTTCCTTGACCATATACAACCTTATCAGAAAATACACGCATATTTACATAACAACCTCATTGTTTATTTCCAAACTTACTGTCAAAAAGCCCAAATATTGACCAAACAGTTGTTACCGAAGCAACGATGCCAAGGGTTATAACAAGTATAGGGGAATGATGCCATATCTGTAGTAAATATAAATTATTGTTACCTCGCCCTCACTTCATCCAGATTATAAGACTACCTAAGAATTGTGAAAATGTCGCACCAAGTTTTGACTCAAAATGTTGATAAGGAGAAAAAAAGGAAAGTTCCCTTGTACCCTGGATTTCCGGAGCTGGCGCGATCTGATGTCAGCATTTACCCTGCTTACTCAAAATTGGCCTTGGCATAGTAAGTACCTGAATCAAACAATGTTCTTTTATCAAAAGCTAAAGACGAATCCATTTTCGTCAAAACATTGGTACTAACTAATTAAAAAAGTACCTAATTGTAGGTACTAATCTAGTTGTATATGAACTTTCAGTAGAGTAGTATGCCGCCATCGTTACCATTGGGCCAAAGTCGCACAACGGAAACAGTTCATGAGAGAACTGCACAGCTTCGAAAAACTGCAAACAAATGCTCTGGACGGTGTGAGAGTACACAGAGAATTCTCGCAGGGAATCCTCTCACACACTATACCTTCGCGACGATACATACAAAAGTTGACGCCAGATCCGTTAACATCAAATCAAAGAATGAGAGTGGAAGAAATTATCAGTGGAAGAGTTAACTTCAGTCAGAAATAGAACAGGTCAATTCAATTTAGTGACAGAGCAAATACATGTAGTTGAAAATAGTATTCGGAAATAAAACCACAATACATTTAGCTTAAAGTTGATTTTATTGTTGACTCAGTTGATTTCTTTTTCTTCATCTTCTTACTTTTTTCTACATTTGTTTGTAAATAGTGGGCCTCCTTCTTAGCCTGTGATATTTCAGCTCTCAGCCTCTGTTTGAGTGCTGCCCTCTCATATGCAAGTCTTTCACTCAAATGTATCCATTTGAACCTCGGTATGTATTTGATATTCCATATCATGTCATAGTATCGGGACTTTTTTCTCGTGCCAATCTTGGTATTGTTTAGTTTTGTTGCCACCAACTTTGCTACCTTTTTCTTTTGGAATTCCACCCAACCTTCAGTAAATTGATTGGGAACCCGCTTGCGCTTTTCTCCAGGTTCTGTAAAAGAAAAATATAATACTATGTACTGTCTATTAATTTTACTCACAGCAAAGTGGTATGTAATACTGGTGTTGATGTGACCTTGTATAGTTACCAAATATATATGTTAGTATTAATGAAAAGTTCGATACTAAGATTAAGAACCAATACCAGGTTATCAAAAGGTAGAAAAACTGATAATTTATGCTGGTCGGACAATATAACACATTTCAATTTTAAATTCCAATTTTCAAAATTTCATTTGTGATTAGTGCGTGCGCTGTTGAAAACAATAGAAACTATACAACTAAAGCAGTTTGTTAAATTAGTGAACTTGATGTACATTTTCGATTTGCTGGAACAGAAATGCCATGACAAACAAAAACATAACCTCAAAAACTTACTGGCACTTGGTTGTAGATATATCCTCCCAACATCGCCGAATTCACTGAATATTTCACGAATCTTAGCTACATTCATGTAGGGAGGGATAGTCGATAGATATATTATACCTCGCTTCCTTGTTTTTTTCTTAATCAATCCCTTGATCCCTTTTCCTGAATCTGAAATACTGTTAGCGATCGAACCATCTTGAGAGCTCTCTTCACAGTCCAAACCAGACGACATTTCTATATCCGGCATTTTCAAAGGTCAGCAGTGTAAAGTTGATTAGAAAATATTGTTTTCAAATTGCAAAATAAATCTACCATGCATGTGTGCAACTTTATTTCACTTAATTTGACAGAATCTGTCAGACGGATGAATGACGGATCAACAGCTGATGATTCCAGTTATATTGGTTATAATCTATGATCTGAAATTGACCACAGAGTTTGACTACTAAGAATATTCCAGTTCCTTTTTATTGCTTCTAATGTCTATAGTGGCAATTATTTAAATTATTTCCATGTGAGTAGCTATCGCTACACCGCTGTAACACTTTGGACGACTTTAAATGGGTGAAAATTCTGTTGATTGGAAGCTTTTTTACATACAGTTCGGGCAACACTGGATGCGTCATAATAACAACGCTTTGGCTTAAAGAACTTGTATCCAGGCCACAATCACAAAAAAAACAACCCATAATAAAAAATATTGTATGTACGTCATTCGACTGTCAATCAGTAAAGTTAGAAAGTCACAATTTATTGAGTTCCTTGTTTGTTTATAAATCCCAAAGATTTCTCACAATGGGTTGCGATGGTGGTACAATCCCGCGGCGAGATGAACTCGTTAGGATGAAAAAGAAGCCAGAACAGGTAAACGTCTCCGTATACAATCAACTGTTGTAGAAATCACATAATTTTTGATCTATTTCTTTTTAACCCTCCACCCTTTTGGATACTTACTGAATACTGTTTTTACTTTGATATTTACAGAAAGATAAAGATGCTGAACGATCATTTAAATGGCGTAACTGCGCTCTGTCTCAACAACCTTTACAAGAACCTGTGGCGGCTTGTGGCCTCGGAAGGCTGTACAGCAAGAGTTCTGTGCTTGAAACTTTGTTGGACAAAGAAACTAAGCCAGACTCCATCAGCCATATCAAAAACCTTAAGGTATTGATCAAGATATGAAATACTATGTCTTAGGCAAAATGTAAAATGCTTGGAATGTATACAGGACAATTTCATTGTATTTCGTAATGATGCAGCTTGTGATACTTTTAGTTTTGAACATTCTTTTTGGAATAAATTACTGGAAAAAAACAATCCTGGACTTAGAAAATGTATCTTCTCAATGAAAATCGAAATTTGAGAGGACACTCATTAAAGCTATGGAGAACATCCTCAAAAGTCAAGCTGTCAAGGGATCAGCCCTTGACACACTTCCTACCTAATAGAGTGATTACAGAATGGAATAAACTCCCAGAAAATATGATATAGGCACCCTCAACTTTTTTTAAACAGTCTTATCGATATCTCCAATGCTGTCAATATCCCTCAGCTTTCTAAGCTGGTAGTGTGTTTAAATATATTATAATAAAACAACTTCCATTATGTGTTTTCTTTCAAAATTCTATCAGGCTTTTTATGGCATGGTTATTATAATTTTATTTGTGTGTATTTTTTAATTATAATGTATGCATTTTCAGGACATCAAAGACTTAAAGTTGGTGAAAAACCCTGCATACACAGCGGCTGATCACACTGAGGGTACCGTGGGTGAGGGCAATGCCCCCTACATCTGCCCCATCAGTGGATTGGAGATGTCTGGAAAGTTCCGCTTTGTCTTCCTCTGGAGCTGTGGCTGTGTACTTGCTGAGAGGGCACTTAAAGAAGTTAGACAAAACCTTTGTCACATGGTAAGCTTACCAATTTTTGCTTAATTGAAAAGTAAAACTATAACTTAAAAAATCTACAAGTCAAAATCAAACAGGAATACATTATATGTCCTGCCCTGAAGCTAATAATTCTTCTTTCAGCAAATAATTGAGTATTAAATTATAGTTTTGCTTTATGATGAAATAATTATTATAGTTGTAGTTTATTATTGTTAAAATGTATCAGTATAAAAAGTTGTTGGTTGGCCATTTAAGATAAATAAATAAATGATTGCCCTAAACTGTCACCACGGCACAATAAAAACTGGCAGCTGTGCAACATGACATCTGTTTAATTCCCAACAACTCTGTGATCAACAAATTGTTGTTCTGATCCTGTGTGTTCTCTATGTGTGTGTTTGTAAACATGCTCCCACAATACAGGAGAAAACGCAAGTGTGGCTTACTTTTTCCTTAAAATATACTCTTAGGTACTGAGAATACTCAAAACTCAATAATATGTTTGTTTGCATTCCACAATGTTTAACATAGTTGGTAATTATGTATAGTAAACACAATAAATGGAGATAGAAAGGATGAATTACAAATCTAATAATATAACTTAAAACGAACATTTATAAATATAAGAATAGTAGTAAACACAAATTTAGTTGTTGCTGTGCCACCTTGTTGATATTACTACAATATTATCTCTCACATATAACTAGTTTACTATCATTGACCTTTCCTATTTCATGATTGATTTATTGGTGTCTGAGGTCATATTTCTTTTTGTGGCCTGCATTATTTTGTAATCTATGTAAAATTAGGCTACCATGCCAGTACTGATAAACTTGCTCCCATTTCTTAATGTATCAAGTACATCATGTCATGTCTTATTTATTGCTTTACCTTTGTCCCCAGTGTCAGCAACCATTCACAGATAATGATATAGTACCATTAAATGGTACTGATGAGGATATAGAAAAACTGAAGGAAAAAATGGCCGTGCGAGTTGCCAGCAGAAAGAGTAGTAAAAAGTCAAAGGCAGAAAAAGCACCAAAAACTGAAGTTAAAATAGAGCCCTTGACACCTGGACCATCAACCTCTACCGAAGTTTCCTCAGATGTTAAACCAGAGACTGATGTTAATGTAAAAAGTGAATCAGAGCCAGAACCTAGCTCCAGTAATGCAGTTAAGAAAGAAATTGAAACAATACCATTATCTCTGCCCAAATATAATCCTAACAAGCAGGCGAGGGGACATTTTGGATCTTCAAAGCGCGTCCACCCCACTGAACTCGCCCAGGACCCATCATACAAGAAAACTAAGAAAGATTACAGTGTGGCTAAGGATCCTCAAACCAGTGAAGTGTACAAATCATTGTTCACATCACATCAAACTGATAAAAACCAGCAGAGAGCTCATTGGGTCACATATAATCCTTTCTACAATTAATGTGATGTACTGAAGAGATGACACATTCATATAACATCACGGGTTTTATTTGGTATTCACAACTTTTTTGACAAGTGTCACATACCTGTTGTGCCCAAGGATTAATTTAATTGTTAGGATTAAATTATGATAAATAAAATTGAATATCAATATCAATGGTATTTTTATTTCAATACAAATTTGTAATAAATATTGCACTAAAAATTGCACATCGAGACTAGTGACACAAATCTCACATTTCACATTTTAATTTGTGCTTCTCATACACCAACTTACACCTATAGCCAATAAATATTATTCAATAGTGGAATGTCAAAGATCAAAAATACCCTTAAAAATACTGCTAACATTATAAGCTTAGGAAAGGAATAACAAACAAAACAAACCTACCCTTTCTGTGATCTAAGAAAAAGGAAGTGCTAAAAGCGGTTGTATAATTGAATGGAATATTAAAAATCACGACAGATTGAAATACAAGGAAAATTCATAGATCTGGTTGGTTGGGACATTATATTTTCTACTCTGTACTCTTTGGTATTAGGACTAAATTCAACTACGAGAAGCATATTCACTAGAGAACACAATGACTTAAGCGGCTGTATCTTGTTGTACTGAGGCCAGTGTGGCCTCAATGATAAGGTTGAAGTCCAATTCGTTGAGGCTGGCCTTCGCTGTCAACAAATCCAGGAATGTGTCTAGTGGAGAGAGACGCTCCCCTGAAGGTAGAGCTGCTATACCTGAAATGAGCAAATACGAAACATTTTTTAATTTATTACAAATATGTTATGCTAACTTTATGCTAGATAGTAAGGACCCATTTTAGAGTAAGTTGGTAGATAGAGTATTTATTTAGTGCAAGAATAAAGAAAGAAGAGTGGTCCCAACCCTTATTTTAGGCCATTATTTCCTGTATTATTACAGTGCCCAGGAAAAATGCGAGCTTTTTCCCTAAGGAATATTTAAGTTTTGAATTAACGTCAAGAAAGGGGCAGTCTTAGTTTTCAAACCAATCCTGACTTATAGCAGTTGCAGTCTTTAGAGGACAAGAGACTTTTTCTAAAAAAAAAGCGTTACACTACAATGTTATTCTCTCCTTTGTCATAGCTCGCCAATCGTGCAGTCGAGGAGGAAATGTGGGTGTGCATGTAAGGGAATAAAAGAGGAAATGTGGGTGTGCATGTAAGGGAATAAAAGAGGAAATGTGGGTGTGCATGTAAGGGAATAAAAAACCATGTAAAAAAAAGATCCCGACGAACTGAGAACCTCCTCCTTTTTCTAAGTCGGTTAATAACGGTCTCACAGAAAGCCGGAAAAACAACAACCGGTTAAACAGCCACATTTGTGTTTCGCTGTGTAAGTGAGGTTATCGGAGGCCCAATCCTTCCCCACCCCTAATCCCTAAATCACCAAAACCTAGAAGTCCGATTTGATGCATTCATTATTATGTAGTTTTCTTTTCTTTACTATTATGTTATTTTAGGCATTAAGACATGTTACAAGGTCGGCAACGCACCCTTAAACTCGTCTAATTGCGGATGTACCATCAGGTAATCCGTCTGGTCGTTTGCTGAGCTCTAACATAAAAAATGTAGTGTGTACCGGTGTCCTTGACGGGTCGGTGTCGCGTGAGGTCGTGTGCGGCGGCGAGGCCCCCGCTGAGCAGTGAGTGCGCGTGGTCGCGGGCGCGGAGGAGGAGCGCGGCGCGGTGCGGCCAGCCCGCCAGGGCGCGCCGCGCGCGGCCCTCGCCCACCAACTGGATCAGCCGCAGCTTGTTGTTCACTGCTGTCTTGTTCTCGTCGTCTTTAGCTTAACATACAATTATGCTAGGTATAGCTAAAGGATCCCAAGATAGTTACCAACAACAAACTAGTCAATTAAAATACTTATTAGATCAACAGCTAGTAAGAATGGCATTAATACTAATTAGTGCTAATTTGTAATGGTATTATTAGATTTTGAATCTTCTTGATATGTTTATAGCCAGGAAAGAAAACAGCTTGAGAGAAAAAGTAACATTAATGATCAGTTAAATTAGTAGACAGAACTAAGAAAAAAAAAAACAAAAGAAAAAATAGTAAATTCAATTTTCACCTAGGTACCTAGATACCAAAACTACATAGGTACATACCTAATTCTTAAAAAAAATGTAAATACAACTTAATAACTAGTTACTTACAGGCAATAATAGCCTTCATAACATCAATCTGTAGCTCGAAAACATTGCGGTGCACGTACTGGACGAAAGAATGGAAGGGCAGGGTGCGGTAGCCGAGGTATGTGAAGAAGGAACTAAATCCCTGCGGCAATGGGAAGGCGATGGAGTCCGTCGCCAGGTAATACTGCTCCAGGACTTTGAACACTATGAACGCGTGCGTTGGGTCCATTTCATCGCTGCAAACATTTTTAAATAATTTATCAGTCTTGGACCTATACGCAGATTTATGTACAAGTTGTTATAATTAGAACAAAATGATAGGTGCTATTTATTAATAACAACAAATTATATTAATAAATATATACACAATCCCATTTCAAATGAGTAAAATGGTTACATAGTGATAAAGCAATTCCGTTCGATCAAACAAAACTAGACCTTGAACGCAATAAATACTAAAAATTAAAAAAAAAAACACGCACCCTTATGAAGGTGATTTCTTGACTTGAGTACAAACCATTTAGCCAACAGCTTACCTTTGATCCTTGTTTAGAAGATAAAAACAAACAAATTAAGGTTATACAAAACTACAAAATGATTATCAAACCAGCTCTATTACCTAAGCAAACAACTGCAAACAAAATTAAAAACACAAAATGACGCTGCCAACGTAACCTTTCCACTGGAGTACCAACTTAAAGAAGTGAAACGGAGTTCCTCAAGTAGGTTTTCCTGTAAGCCTTCAATAAGTGGGTAGGTGGAAGACAGAAGCAAAAACAAAAACCAGACAAAACGAAATCATGGACGATCACAAGACAAATGCTTATTGGCATAATGATATATAGACCATTCGTTAATTTGACAGACATGTTTAACCAAATCACCAATACCCCTGAGGAATGGGTGCTCATGGCTTTCATCCCTTCTCCGTTCAAGAAAGAACAGACTACTGAGGGCCAAAAGCTTTCTGAAGTTTACGAGTTTATGTAAGCATGAGAGTCCAAATTACTGTTAAATTCAAATGTAGAACATTCGAATATTCGAATTGCCGTGAATGTAAGAGATCGGGCACGAAGTTTTCTACAGAAGAACCAAGGGTCGAACAAGCGAACAGGCACACACGTATGTAGCGTGAAGTTCGTACATGAAGGAGAAGCCGCGATGCTGGTTGTGGTGCGGCGTGGCGGCCAGTGGGCGCGTGAGGGCGCGGCAGAGCGCACGCGCGGCGTCGAGCTGCGCGGCCGCCCAGCGTGTGGCCACGGCGTGCACGCCGCTCTCCACGCCGGCCCCGCCCCCCGCCCGCCCGCTGCCCGCCCCCGCACTCTCCCGCATCAGGTGCACGCTCACCTCCCGCAAGTTCTGTCCCACCGCACATCACATCACCATGCATGCTCATTATATCTACTACGTTAATCGCTTTACAAGTTGACATTAGATTTGTTATTTGCATGCATTCTGCAGCTGACTTAGTTTCATTAAAGTATTCGTGTCAGTAAATTAGTGTTGTGGGAGTTAAGGACAGTGTGTATAATACAAAAAAAAATTAAGTTACCGCAGCAATAATATGTTCTTGCTTGCTGGCTGTGCAGACGTCGAGCTCGAAGAATGGCAGCAGGTCCTGGCCGCTTCCGATGGAGGAGCGACGTTGCGGAGCGCTCAGAGGGGGCGGCGGGGCGCCCGGCGACAATGGAGTACTGCATCGGGATAACGCTTCTGGCTGTAGTGCAAAAAAATACAGTTCTAACAATAAGTTATCATTTTACACTGTGGTTCATACTAATCTAAACCATCACCACTCTATTAGTTTTAGTTACAACGTGAAACCAACCGATAGCTAAATATTTTCCCTGTTTCCTTCAAAATGATTGTTAAAATGTTATCAAAATATAATATAAAAATGTTACACATTTATGACCCTAGAAGTGAAACCTGTACATCATGTCTATTGCCTATATTGTCTATGTATGGAACGTCTTGAATAAATTAGTCTTTTCAAAAACCGTCAACCGACATCTTGTATTAATGATGAGCATCGTGTGTATGTTTAACAATAGGAATGAACCCACCTGGTAGCAATGCAAGCTGACGCGCAGTTTGTCGATGACGGCCTGCGGCTGCAGGCGCTTCTGCGGCAGGTCGTTGAGCGCGGCCCACAGGCGGGTCCACACGTCCTCCGCGAACTGGCACACGCGCTGTCGCGGCGCCAGCACCACCACCGAGCTGTTCCACAGCTTCTCCTGGCTCACCGACACGCACATGTCGCGGACCTACAACCAAAGTAAAGTGTTGGAGAGCCATGCTTCGGCACGAATGGGCCGGCTCAACCGGAGTGATACCACGAGCCAAGAAACACCACAGAAACCTCACAGAAATCCGGTGTGAAACAACACTTACGGTGTGTTAACCTTACTCACAGTAAGGTTACAGGAGGCATAATGCTCCCTCCACCCATTCACAATCCTCAAATTCCCTATCCTTAAATTCCTTATAACCCACAAGAGGCCAGCAACGTAATAAGTAACTCCTTCGGTATAAAGAGTGACCATGGGCTGCGCTGATTGCTTACCACCAAATAATCCGTCTGCTCGTTTGCCGACCGACGTATGGCATATATAAAAAGTCAATCGTAAGTAATTGTCGGAGCAACATTTTACCAGTCTCTTCTTGCTTTCAAAATGCCATACCGTATCTGACAAGTGTAAAATGTTAAAAGTTACACGTCTAATACATTACGAAAATGAAACGATAGCAATAGTATTTCCTCACTTCTAACTACCAATCCATATTTTTTGTCAACCAATAAACCTAATAGCAAATGAAATCCAAGATCCAAGACCATTTTACCTTGACATCAGCAAACTTGAGATGTTGTGTGAATGGCAACATCTTCATGAGATTGAGCGCCGACGCGGGCAGAGAGCGGCGGGTCACGGCGTACGTGGTACCGATCAGGTACTCCTGCATTACTCGCTGGAACGCGCCGAACCCGTCGCGTTGGTTCAAACACATCCACGATATCAACTGAAATAAAACCACGTCTTAATAATAATGTATTTCCATAGTTGCCATACACTAGTCCATAGCAACCCATACCCATAACTCTATAAATTTTTACTACATTTCACAATAGTCTTGCATCAACCGGAGATTGTCCTTGGGTGCACTTTTATATTGCATACAGGGATAATTGCCGGTAGATGTCTTATCACATTTATGCTTCGGCTCCTCGTACGGTACTAAAAATTCGGGACCCTGTGGTCCCGCGAAAGGAGAGGAACATGACAAAAGAATATTAATTGGACCCCATACTTTGGTTGATTAAATGCATGAATGTGGTATAAGTTAAAGCATGCATGTATCAGCTCAAATATGTACGTCGCCACAGGGGTTTAGTGTTTGAGGATTGGTGGAGTTGTAAATTAGGGGTAAGGTTTGGGCCCTAATATACTATCCAAAATGTAAAAGCCAAATTCATCATCATCATCATATCTACCACAAATTGTATTAGGCTGAATGTACCTAATCAAACGTACCAAATGACTTCTAGGGGCCCAAGTCTACTATTTTCAACGTGTTGTCATTCCTACACGATTCCATTGTCATTTTGCTAAAAGTTCGTAATCTGTTCATTCCTGCGGTTAATTCAAAATGGCTGATCACTGGCGTTCGGATATCGTAATAGAATTATAGTACTTACGAGATGTCTTGTAACGAATTATAAACAATAACTGCTCATTAATATTCTAAACGTAAATCATTGAATAAAGGAACTGACATTTTTTTTATTAATTTACCGCATTATCTCAAATATTCATTTGTACAAGATTACCGTTCTAAACAATTATTTCGATGAAGTGACATTGGAAAGTCATAATGACGATATTGTGTAACAATTTTGAAACCAATGATCTACTATTCTGACACTATTGTAATAGCAGACACGAGGCCCTGGTCGGAAGTGATCATCGAAACATTGAAACAATTTCGACGTAGGTATTTGAAAATTAACTAAGTAAGTTACACTGCGTTGGTTTGAAATAATCTTATTTATTTAGGGCATCTATAAAGTTCGTCTAAACGTAAGGTCAAAAAGGTCAAATACATGATGCAACAGTAGGTAATTAAATGTTTCCTTTAGTTTGATAGGCCTAATCTTTTGACTTTTTTAGTTCCACTGTAAGTAATAAGTTTTAGCACATTTCGGAACAATAACATCAGCTGTAAGAAATAATTTATATGCCATTTTGTTCACCCATAAATGTAGGAGAGCCATGCTTCGCGTTGGCATGAAACAACCACAGCGTTGTGTTTCGCCTTGTGAGTGAGGTTACCGGAGGCCCTATCTTTCCCCTCCCTCAATCCGTAAATGTCCAAATCCCCAAAAAGGTCGGCAACGCACTAGTAACTCCTATATTGTTACGGGTGTCCATAGGTGGTGCTGATTGCTTACTGCTTACCATCAGGTAATCCGTCTGCTGCTTTGCCGACCTATCACAGAAAACAGCGTGTTAAGTGTATGTATCACGTCTTTACCTCTTCAGCCAAATCCATGTTGCCATCGTGTTGTATCAAATAATGGAGGATGGCCAACTTATTCTCAACAGCCGTGTTACTCTTGAAGGTGGCTGTAAGATCCTTGTCGGCTACGATCATGGTGACCACGTCGAGGGTGTTCAGGTCGACCATGGCATGTGGCCCCCAGCCGAGGATGGGAGCCAGGCTGGGCCCACTGTCACACTCCTCCATGGGTATCACAATGTGACAACAAGGCTCATGGTACAAGCTGATGTCGATCATTTGTGTGTAGAGCATCGGAATGTTTACTAGAAGGTGGTTGTCTGGAAACAAATGGTAAATCGAAAGTTGATACATAGCATATTAAGCTCAGGTGCTGAGTATAAGAAATGTATACCAATATTATAGAGGTTAAATTTTTAAGGTACGTTTTTGTACGTAAGGAGAAATCTTTGAAACGGTTGGTCGGATTGCCAAAATTCTTTCATTGATAGACAAAAACCCGCGCGGTCAAAAAAATACTCATGATTTTTAATGTCATTCAAAAATAAACTGAGGTAAAACATTTTATAGATATTTCTGGATAAGGTAAATAATTCAACTACATATAAAATCGAGCTGACAGAATAAGGAAATTAAAAAGTACCAACGGATAAAATGGACTATTGTACGTATTGTTATAGTCCAAAAAGGCTTTTTGGTGAGGGGAAATCATCAAATGACTTCTCGCGTCTCATTTATCTGAATTTTTATCCATAATTGTGCGACTGCAATAGACATGGTTTTTTTTCTTTTTATGAGGGGAAAATCATCAAATGACTTCTCACGCCCAGGGTGGGCCAATAGGGAGTGTCAGACTCTTACTGACTAAATCCCCCCGTTTCTTCTCCTGATTTAGACTGAGGCCGCGGTGCTTCATTGCGCTTACCCTGCAACCCCGGATGAAAATCAAAAAAGGCTACATGTAGCATACTAGTCAAATACTTACCAGCATAAAGCGTATAGGATGGTCTTAAAGACTTGGCGAGCGACCACGGGAGGTCTGGTACCACGCTGTGGACCACACAGCCGTGCTGCAGAAGTGTGATAGAGTACGCAAAGTTCACTCCAGAGTCCTTCAGATCAGCACTGTCTTCTAGCACCAAGGATGTTGTAGAGTCATCTAAAGGCTAAGGAAAAGGAAGATGGTTTCAATTTTTTTATGTCTAAGACTTCTTGTCTGGATAATTTTTTCATATCTTTATGTAATTAATTCCTCAAGAACCACTGTGTCGATTGATTAAATCCAAAAAAAAAGAACTATTCGACGATTTGTCGCAAAAAGGGTGAGATAGGCGCGGTGGAAAACTTTTTAAGGAATTACTTTTTTATCTGGGACTCGCACACGAAGGGTAGATGTGTTAGTAACAGCAAGTAAAATAAAAATTTCGATTTATAAATGTATCAAACAAAAATTTCGTTCGCTCTCGTTTAGACCATTTCGGTGGAAGTTCGGCATCGAAAATGCATCATCCTACATATTTTAAACTTTACTTAAGAAGAGCTCTAGTGCCCGGTTACCGAAAGCCCGATCAATGTTAAAATCAACTAACTACTGTGTAGTGATAAACACAAAAATCGATAACCTATTCGTGAATCAGTTACAAGAAGGCATTCAAAAAATTACGGCTACCGAATGGTCTAAATGTGTATCCAAAGAAGAGGAAAAAAATTATTAATTTCACACACAATTATAAAAGAAAAGTATCAGATCGTTAATTAATTGTGTAACGCGAGGACCAGCGGTAGGTAGGTTTCCGCTCCCGCGCTTCGGCACTCGGCCGTCCGAACGTACGACACCACGCGCATGCGTGAGTCGCCGCGTCGCCCTCCAATCAGCGCGGCCGTCCGCCGCGCGAACATTCCGGAACCGTTCCGAAGCATACCGCGCACGCGCGAGACTCGGCGTCGTCAAGACGCGCGCAAGCCAAGCTCTCTCTCTGGCCGGCAGCCACCGCCGCACGCGTCACGTCACGAAACCCTTCTATGACTCTTCCCGCGTATAGTTAATAGTTCTGCTCTGTGTTCTAACTTAGTGTTTAATGTGTAACCTAATCCTTTTGTACCTAATCTTGTGACTATTGTATCGTAAAAACTGTTAATAAACAAATATACTTATATCAAGTAATACAGTGGCGCTCCAACTAGTGGCCTCGAATCACGAACTCAAGTACCTAACGTGTGTTAAAAGTGCCGCGACCGTTATTGTTAGTACGCGTTACACGCTCTTACTAAAGTTATGCCAAACACACGAGCTATGCGAGCTGCCAACGCCGCTCCGGATGCGGATTGTCAGCCGAGTGACGACAGCTATTACGACGAGGTTACGGAGCAGAGCCCTAAACGGGCCCCCGAACCCGTCCAAGCGCCTGAACGCGCTGGCGCCAACGCGAGGATGGACACGGAAACATTCCTCGCCAACATGATGGAATCGTTCGTGAAGATGCAGGCAGAGACCAACAGGTGCCTGGTGGAAACGCTGAGGTCGCTACCTAATAACAGCGGCCCATGGCAGTCACCGTTGCCGACGTCGACGCCGACACCTAGCCCCGCCGCAGTATCGACCGGCGGGAACTTCGCCAAATGCACCGCGAGGTTTAATGGCTTTTCCCACGAACCCGAGGTGCTGGAAGCATTCATCGATGCAGTTCAGATATATAAGGAGTGCGCGGACGTGAGCGATAATCACGCGCTGCGAGGGCTCCCGATGCTGCTCGAGGGCGACGCCGCCGTGTGGTGGCGCGGCGCCCGCAACACCGTCACCACGTGGAAGGACGCCGTGGACCGACTCCGCTCCATGTACGGGACGCAGAAGCCAGCATACAAAATACTCCGCGAAGTGTTTAGTGAGGAACAAAAAGACGAACGTGCCGAAGTGTTTGTGTGTAGATTACGATCCCTAATAGTAAAATTACCATATGATGTACCGATTCCCATGCAAATCGATATAATTTACGGGTTGTTGCATCGTCGTGTTCGAAAACGACTGCAAAGAAGTGACATTACTGATGTTGATGTTTTTGTAGAGAAGGTAAGGGTCATCGAAGACGCGATTTCGGAGTTAGCTCTAAGTACCGTAAGTACATACACCTCAAAAACTAACGTTTCCGATGTAACGAACATTTCCCGCCCGAAAGTCTCACGCGATCGCGATCTCGATAGTAATAATACCGAGCGTACCCCTACCGCTGGTTCTTCCCCTACCATTGACTCAAAAGACACTAGCAACTCGAACGAAAAATTTAAACGCGAAAAACGCGTTCGTTGTACTTTTTGTAAGTTTTACGGCCATAACCTAGCCGAATGTAGAAATTTAAAAAGTAAACAAAAAGAAATTACACCTTTAGTGCCCGGTAAAAATAATAACTATAGCCCTAACCCGATACGCTGTTACGGTTGTGGCCAGGCCGGCGTTGTAAGGTCAAAATGCGAGCGCTGCCACGGGAATAATGTGCCCTCGCAAACTTGCGACTTTAATACGTTGTCCAACGATGTTAACACGTGCGTGTCGTCGTCTCCACATCCGACTGTATGCGTTAACATCGCGAATAGGATAGGCGCGGCTATACTGGACACGGGGGCTACTTGTAGTATTGCAAGTACTATGTTACATAATATTCTAGTTTCAGAAGGGATACCGTTTTGTGAGACAGAACGCACCATAGGGCTTGCGGACGGCTCTCGACAGTTAAAAAGAGTACTCATCGCGACAGTTCCCGTATGTTTAGAAGGTAGGCAGGTAGATACCGAGTTCCTAGTGTTACTTGAGGAAAATACTAGGACGCTTTTAGGTCGCGACTTTATTACTAAGGCCGGTGTCATACTGGACTTAGCCCAGGACGCATGGTATTTTTCAGACAACCCGGAAGAAATATTTCCGTTTGTACGATCTATCCTATTAAATAACTCTGAACTGATGCGAGCCGACATCTCGAGCGTATCCTTACGTGATGACGAAGGCAATAGGTTGTCACCAGAGCACAGGGAGATACTGAACGCCTTTTTAAACAGGCGATCGGCCCAGTTTGCTGGCGAAGGACCACCGACAGACTTCGCCATTCACAAGATCAAGGTGAGTGAAGATCAGGAACCTCTTGCCTCACCACCTTACAGGTTATCACCGTTGAAGAAAGAAGCGCTGGAAAAGGAACTTCAAAAGCTGCTCAGTGCCGATATAATTGAAGAGTGCGAGTCTCCATGGGCTTCGAACGTCGTTCTGGTCAGCAAAAAGGATAAGAGCTACAGGCTCTGCGTCGACTACCGTAAACTTAACGCAGTCACAGAGCCCGACCGCTACCCACTGCCCAGAATTGAAGATGTGCTCCACGCCGCCAAGACATCCAAGTTCATGACGACCTTGGATCTTCGATCAGGCTATTTCCAGGTAAGTGTGGATCCAGCACACAGAGACCTTACTTCTTTCACGACGCCTCTGGGAACCTTTAGATTTAAACGTATGCCCATGGGCCTCCGTAATTCTGGAGCTACCTTTCAAAGACTGATCGATCGTTTCAAGTCCAACTTGCCAGGTATAACTTTACTAGCCTACTTAGACGATCTGATTATACTGTCCGAGGGCTCTTTTGAGAAGCACCTCGCTGATTTAGAGACCGTGTTCGATCGCTTGAAAATGTTTAACTTGCGAGTGAATCGTGAGAAAAGCTATTTCGCGAGAGAATCTGTAAAATTTTTAGGTCATGTTATCGTGCCAGGAGGTATTCAGATGGATCCTGATAAGACCTCCGCTATAACTAATATGTCACCGCCACAGAACGTGAAGCATCTTAAATGCTTCCTTCAAACATCGAGTTGGTTCCGGCGGTTCATACCAGGTTATGCTGAAGTCAGCGCGCCTTTAACTTCACTGCTGAAAAAGGCGAGCATCTGGAAATGGGGTCCGGAGCAACAAACCGCTTTTGATACAATCAAATCTCTTCTCGTAACAGCACCGATCCTGCGTCAGGCTGACGTGACGAAACCCTTCGTACTCAGAACTGACAGCAGTGGGTACGCTATAGGAGCAGCGCTACTCCAGGGGGAGGGGGTCGACGAGCGACCCGTTGAATACGCTAGTCGCCTCCTCACGTCAGCTGAGAGGAACTATAATACAACCGAACGCGAGGCCCTGGCCGTTGTATGGGCCGTCTCGAAGTTTCGGGGGTATATAGACGGGTCTGAAGTGTTGGTCAAATCTGATCACCAACCCCTCAGGTGGCTGATGGGTTTAAAATCACCAAGCGGCCGCCTAGCAAGATGGGCGCTTACTCTGCAGGAGTATAATCTAAAAATAGAGTATACTCCAGGCAAGGCAAACGTGATCGCCGATACCCTTTCGCGTCCTGCTTGCTCTTCCGATACCGACTGTGACTTGTGTCTCGCTGTAATGGATTTGCCTTCACGCAGCCCAAGTGAGGTTCGGGAGAATCAATTAAAAGACCCCGAGATACGCAAGATCATAGACGCGATGGAATCTGACGATCCATTTAGGGGGAGAGCGTGGGCTGATCGAGGATACGTCATTGTTGACGGAGTATTATATCGCTACGGACCCGAGAACGAGGAGAACGATGATGCAAATTTAGTAGTGCCGGAGCATGAGCGTAAAGATATACTGGCCGAATATCACGATGCCCCTACGGCAGGTCATTTTGGGGCCGAGAGAACATTGCACCGACTCTCAGGTAAGTATTATTGGGCTGGCATGAGGAACGATGTTTCCCAATACGTAAAGAACTGCGTAGCATGCCAACGTTACAAGGTGGACACGCGAAAACCGGCCGGCTTACTTCAGGTACCAGCTACTTCTCGCCGATTTGAAGTCCTGGCGGTAGATCTGTTCGGGCCCCTACCGGAAACGCCGAACGGTAACAAATGGGTCCTGATATTAGAAGACACGTGCACCAAATGGGTCGAGTTGTTCGCACTCCCAAGTGCAACGGCTGAAGAATGCGCCAAGACCCTGGTAAATGAGGTATGTTTACGTTATGGTGTTCCCAGGAGGCTAATTAGCGACAACGGCGTACAATTTGTAAGCGAAGTCATGCAGCAAACTTGTCACGTGATGGGCATCAAGCAGTCGTTAACGTCATACTACCACCCGGAGTCAAATCCCGTAGAGCGCAAGAACCGCGACCTTAAACCACAGCTCGCAATCTTGGTAGGTAGGGAGCATGACTTGTGGGATGCACATCTCCCCGCGATTCGCTTTGCTATGAACTCTGCAGTGACTGCCAGTACTGGTCAGACACCCGCCTACCTGACTTTTGGTCGCGAAATACGTGCGCCTGCTGACGTCTTATCTGACATGCGGGCTATTATCGAGCAAGACAATGTGGTGGCGTCGATAACTCCTTATTTAAGGAAGTTGTCAGTCGTGCTGCTCGATGCTCGAGATGTTCACGAAAAGGCCCAGGCATCTCAGAAGAAATATGCCGATGAGAAACGTCGCCCACAACCAGATTACAAGGTAGGTGATTTGGTACTATTGAAAACCCAAGGAGCTAACGACACATGTAAAGGGCAGACACCGAAATTTATTCCCCGACGTGACGGTCCGTATCGAATCAAGGAGGTTATAGGACATACCACCTATGCGCTCGAACGCATTAGTGACGGGGTCATGTTAGGAAAATACCATGTGTCCTTGTTGACGCCTTTTGCAGGGTCCGTACAGGCTCCTCTTCAAGAGAAGCGTAGAAGGGGAAGGCCGCGTAAAACTAACCCGGCAGCGGGGGCGCAACGCCAGGGTTAGAGGGGGAGGATGTAACGCGAGGACCAGCGGTAGGTAGGTTTCCGCTCCCGCGCTTCGGCACTCGGCCGTCCGAACGTACGACACCACGCGCATGCGTGAGTCGCCGCGTCGCCCTCCAATCAGCGCGGCCGTCCGCCGCGCGAACATTCCGGAACCGTTCCGAAGCATACCGCGCACGCGCGAGACTCGGCGTCGTCAAGACGCGCGCAAGCCAAGCTCTCTCTCTGGCCGGCAGCCACCGCCGCACGCGTCACGTCACGAAACCCTTCTATGACTCTTCCCGCGTATAGTTAATAGTTCTGCTCTGTGTTCTAACTTAGTGTTTAATGTGTAACCTAATCCTTTTGTACCTAATCTTGTGACTATTGTATCGTAAAAACTGTTAATAAACAAATATACTTATATCAAGTAATACAATTGTCAAAACTAAATTATCGGTTCAGATATACTTAATTTCCTGATAAACTTAGTTTACGATAGTAAATTTATAAACGAGAGTAATCGATACGGAAATATTCGATTTCCATATCAAATAAATATGCAACGTTACTATTTAGTACTTTTCATAACGTTGCAACACTGAAATTGTCAAATCAGGAATCTAATTAAAATTCCGAGTATAGGTGTCAAATCTCTTGTCAAGTCATCTGATTGGTTGTTGATAATTCAGTTAACAAATCAGATGACTTGACAAGAGATTAAATTGATTTTAACATTGATCGGCCTTTCGGAAACCGGGTGTTAGTGTATATAGATCAATCTATTTAATTTAAAAATATACATTAGAATAATCTATAAGTATGTACTTATACGTTTTAAAACCTCTACCATAATAACCTACACGTGTATGGTGAAGTAACGGCTTATATTTTATTAGTTCTTTTTCTTTTTTGCGTTAATCTTAATACTAAAAAACCACAAAAACAGTTCTTGTAATTTTGGAAAAAAGTTGCTGTGGCACACCCACGGACGAACACATCAAGACAGACAGACATAAACGGAAGATTCGTAACTTCCGGTTTTGACATTGAAACCCTAAAATTAATTTATAACAGAAGCGTTTTATTGTAATTATATACCAAAACACTTACTTTATAAAGATAATGATGACATATACAGAGGACGCCTTTCTGGTCGCACACTATTTGGAGGTCCAGACTGCAGTCGTGAACGCGTAGAGGGATGGGGTCATCCTCGTACGCTCCGCAAGCAGCGCCCTCGCCCGAACTCGACACATGAGGGAGACTCAGCGGGATGTTTAACTGTTGTAAAAAGATATTCTTTAACATGTATTTTAAATATTAGTAAACGCTTAATAATGCAGAAAGTCCGTAAAGTAGCTATAAGTTTAAAAAAAATACTTAGGAAATTTTTCAATGGCAACATTAGTCGGAAAGCGGTTTTAATAATGGTAACACGATTGTCTCCAGTTGGAAGTTAAATGCGTCTCATGTGTTTATCTGCACCATCTTTTTTGTGAGGGCAATCATCAAACGACTTCTCCCGGCTATGGGGCGAGAGGAATTGTCAGACTTTTACTGACTAAAAACCCCCCCGTTCCTTCTCCTGTTACTCGAAAATAGTTAGTTAAATTTGTTGACCATCTGGAAATCTCATATTACCTTAAGTGTACACGCAAAAAATATAAAAAGTTATAATAAAAAAGTTTGGTTAATTGGCAAAGTAACCAGTTCAAAAGTATTGGCATTCATTCAGATTTGTATTTAGGTACCTACTTCTGGTTATTTTAAATGTTCGACGAAAGTTAAACTATAAATAGAAATAGATAATGATTGGAAAAACAAGACGTCACCTATTGTTAGGGACGAGCGAGTGCCACCTAGTAACACAATAACGTCTCGATATTTATGAATGAATGCGAAACTAATCTCAACTATCACTATGCACTACTATGGATGAAACTGCAATAAACAATGTCGAGTTACTTATTTTATGACATCTTTGGAATAAATTACATTAATTATTCCTATTTATTGATAATGTGGAAAATATTGGCGAATGTGACATTGAGCGACATAGACGCACACCAACCATTAAAAATCGGTACAACAAAGACACCGTAAAAAAAGTCGTGGTGCCCCAGAGGTTAAGGCGCCCGCTTCTCATGCATGAGGGTGCGGGTTCGAAACCTGGCAAGTACCAATGTGACTTTTTTCGAGTTATATGTACTTTCTATGATTATTTAGACACCACTGACATACGGTGAAGGCAAACATCGTGAGGAAACCTGGACTTATAATTTCTAATTATAAGTTTGAAATCACCAACCCGCATTGAGCAAGCGTGGTGATTAATGCTCTAACCTTCTCCGTGTGAGAAGAGGCCTTTGCTCAGCAATGGGCACTTATAGGCTGATGATGATGATGATGATGATGATGAAAGACACCGTATCCATTACAGATAAGTTTACTAAAATTGACATAAATTTCGGTACAGTTTACCTGGGTGATTCTCCAAAAAACCTTAACTTTTATTTAACAAGTCATTATCCTCCCAGGTTTTTAAGCATCTTAGTAATTTATTTTATACAATATTTTTAATCGGTTGCTTGTAAGCAGTGGTGAGATTTAATTTAATAAAATAATTATCTGTGTTTTAATCAGCAGACTCGTTAATTTTCGGTTGAGGATAATGACATTATTATTTTTTTTTTAATTGATGTGAAGAATCACCCACCTGTCAATATGGTATCATGAAATCATTACAATGATACTATGTATTGAAAATCATAGAAAAAAACATCAATGAACTCCAAAAAGCAGGGACATGCATGTGACAGTCGCATTTGCTCCTGTACTTATTTACTGATTTACAACATTAGATAATGACACTTTGCTCATTAATCGATAATTAGTTAGTGAGCTACTAGCGAAATAAATAACTAATTAGTAAATTAGTTAATTAATAAGAAATCATAATATATTAAATACATACAACAGTCTCGTGCGGTAAGTCGGCATGAAACTGAAACGCGGATAAGGTCGGAGTCATTTCCGACGGAGATTTCACTTCTTCACCTTCGGCAAAACTTTGCGTTGGCTGCCTGTAGTGGATGTAGTACAACACCTGAAAAAAAATTAACAAGTTACTTCGGATCACGGAGCGACTTTTCAAGTAATAAAATAAGTAAGTATCTAAATGTAGTTACACAATTCGGTAAGTACCTAAGTACCTAGTTTCCAACTGGTCGAGTACCTAGATGAACTTATTCAATTTAGTAGTTTCCAACTAGTCTCTTCAATGCTCTTGTTATTTTTAATACGATAGTTTTCTATGAATTTTCTATGAATTCGCAAAATATGACACCATACTATTATTACAATTAAGTAATAATAATAATTCATTGACTTATATGAGAAGTAGTCGAATTTCATACTTTCTTCGAATTATTGACAAATACAAATAGGGAGTTTTCTATGCATTTTGTACGGAACTGTATGTTGTAACTGTATGATGTTTTTGTTGCGTCAGAAAGCACAGGTACCTAGTATAATACCTTGAAGAATACGTATATTAAGTTCATTTTTCATCAAGCCTAGTCCCCAATGGCAGGACTGACGCAGTGACTAACTGATTGTAACGCAGCATGTTTCAAGTTAGATTCCCGCATTGTTCTGGTTCTGAGTAGACGTGTTTGCTAATTTGAATCTTTATAAATAACTAGCTCTTACCCGCGGTGTTGCTCCCGTCATTTGACTACCTACCCTACTCTACCTACTCTATCCTATCCTATGTCCTTCTCCTGGCTCTAAACTACCTCCCTGCCAATTTTCATTGAAAATTGAATGGCAAATTAATTATTTGGGGGACCTGCGACCAAGTTCTTAGTTTCGCTAAACCATCTTATAGGCATGGCTTTTGAGCGAGACTTGTAGGAATTTCTGTTCTTGCTACGCGTTTATTACGGCACTCCCAGTCTTCTCAAAATATCAGTGAACCTACTTAAATTTCTGTAGGTATCTAGTTCTAATTTTATTCTAAAGACAAACATATTAATAGATAAGCACAGCAAGACATGATAGGTTAAAGAAAGCAGATCTCTATTTTTTATTAATAGTTTTATTGGTTAACGAATCTCTTTCATTCAATGTGGTGGTTATTTTCGTGGGATTTTAGGAAGTCGCGATAGCCTTGTGGTTTGCGGTGTTAGGTTAAAACTCGATAATACGCACCGCGAGTTCGTATCCCTAAGACGATAAAATATGCTTTTTAATAATGATTATTGTAAAATATTTCGGTTGCTGTCGTAATATGATAAAATTCCAGCTTTCAAAAGTGCATAAAGTTTTTATACATTATTCTTAATCTTTTTTAATCAAATTTGATGCAAAAAAATTATTCTTTCAAAAATTTTAAAATTCTCATTTTTTATTTAAATTGCTTAATATAAGGTGTTCATCACTCACCTGGTTGACACAATCCCATTGTGCCCATGAGAACACTTTGACAATCTTCTCTGGTTCAGGGTAAATACCATCAAAACCCCATTTGTCTGTACCATCGTCACACTCATTGAGAAACATAGGGGTGCGGTATATTTTGATACCTAGAAAAATAACCATGCATTTTATAACAGTGACACCCTGGCCCACTGCCAGAGTTGGCTTGAAAACTGATTTTTATTACTTAAATAAAAGAGGTATTTTGACAGAAATAATGTGAGTGCAAAAACGATACTTTTCTATGAAATACTGAGTTATGACATCATAGTATTATTGTGTCAAATATCTTACTTGTTTCTTTAAAATTAGCTAAGTAAAAATATTTTGTTGATGATTAAGACATATTAACATTGTATCTAAGTCTGCTATTAGCCAATGATGACCCAAAAACATGATAATTATTATAGTAGATTAATTACGCTGTTACACTTTTTTTATAATTATTGCATAATCCTATAATGAATTTTTATGTTGTTACACTTTTTAATAAAAATCTGCTGATATTGCCTGTGATAGGTACAGGCTTAACATTAATTTATTTTGTGCAGGAAAGGAAATCTAATGAGTTTTTAAGAAAAAAAAAGCATACATGACATCAGCTTAGAGATCAGACATAAAATATAGACGAGACATGGTCAGTTTTGAATTGACTGACCACATCTTTATGGGTATAAATATACAAATAGGCAACTTAATATGTAATATTAATGAGTTGGACATGACACTTACATTCCAAATGCTTAAACAATAAGAATCTGTCATTCCTTATCCCTGGACTGTATTTGGTGCTTTTTCCATAAACATATTGAACCATTATTTGCTTTGTAGACGGATCTTCTACAGCCTCAGGTGTCCTATCACTCTCTGGCAATAAGCAGATCAAATAAGGACAATATAATGCATCCTTGTTCTCATCATTTTCATTTGCAAGTTTCTTCACAATATAAACCAATAAAGTATGTGTAGCATTCACTGATGCTTGTATTATGTTCAATTTCTCATCAAAAGTGTGTAGAACAATCAATGTTTTATTTTTATTGGTATAAGATCCTATATTTAAAACCTCTTTGCCATCCTTATCAGACACCCAGCTTAAGAGTTGTGATCCATCTTGTTCTTGTCCCAAAAGACGCCATTCACGAGCAGTCACTTCTGAAAGTATAACAAAACGTGAAATATAACAATAATATCGACTATTGACTGCAATATTGGCATTGCAATTGGCAAGATTTTGTAGCCTATAATTATTGACAAAAATGACCCTAGATTATTCGTGGTTGAAGTATATTTCATTGTTTTAACCTTTTATAAAAATCTTTTTATGATTTATTCATCGCGTTAACGTCTGAAATACTGATACAAAATAAAATCATGTTTTCATGTTACCTTTTTCGCCTTGCGCTTGTAGTACGCCACATAGTTTCACTGCTATATTTTGAACCGCCATAATGATATATGACCGATATTCACTGAAAATTCACCTGCCGTTCACATAATACAGAAATATGTCACCGTATCGCCACGTTATCAATACCGAAATAGCGCACCTTTATTGACTTTTCTCGCTCATTTTCTATCAGCTGGCGACCAGCTGAGATACAACTTGAATTTAGCTATTCAACAAAATGCCAACAACAAGGACAAACAATGAGCTTGTTAGTGTGGTAGCACTGTGGCGCTAGTTGCATTTTTTAGCCAATAGAAAAGAAGCGTTGGTCTTCAGCTGCAGTTCCATTCTACACAACCATTGAAAAAGGAGTTTATAGATATTTAACATTTTCTTATATTTTAATTTTAATTTATAACTTTCAATTACTTATATTACAAATAAAACCAACTAGTAGGTTTAAACACTTTAATTTTTAAATCTGAAAATAACTCAAGACAATATTTTGCATAATTTCTTCTAAAAATTGGTTAAATATATAAAAAAGTAGATAATTACAATAATAAAACAATTCAGTGACGAGTCAAACAAAAGAATATTTTAATAAACAGACATTTATTCTAGTGAAGAAGTCCCTCAATTTCTTCATGTAATGGATTACATTTCGCGACTGACGTTTCGTTTTCAGAAGAAACAAACATGAAGTTAGCTGATAGTTCACGCGCTAGGCATAGAAGTTTTACCGCGACATTTTCGCGCGGAAAGCCGGGCGTTATTGAGCCGTGAAAAGCCATAAAGTATCATGAAAAATTAATAATTACAATAATTGTGTAGTTTTATCGGTTATTTAGTGAATATAGCCTCATATGTGACCAAAATACAGTGTAATCCATCATAAATGTGTTGATAGTTCGTACATCATATCTCGTATATGTGCAAAGTACGTTTTGTGTGATTTGGATTAATTTGTGAATGACCAGGTATGAAATTGATAAATATTTCATTAATTTATGATATGTCATATCTCTCACAGCCAAAGACTTCCAAAGAAAACGTTAGCTTATAGGCATAATTAGGTTATAAACCTTTGGTGGGCGATAAGCCAAGCTAATTATACTGTCAACGGTTAAGTTGAATTAGAAGGAAATATTCATTATAAATAGTTATAGTTCAATAATTTATTAGTAATGTGATGATATTGTATCATCCGCGTGCTATTTTTATCAATTTCCAAAAGTGGATGTGCCAAGAAACCCAAGCTTGCGACGTGTCTAATGGCGCTGACGGGAGAATTTCGCGCGCGATTGTGACGGATTCGTGGCAATTTTTACCGCATCTGATTCATGTATTTCTACATTTTTATGCTCTTTAATCGAAGCTTATGTAATGTTGTGGCGATAAATGCCCAAAATATATGATTTTGTCTACAATTATTGCCTTAAAACAGCCTCTGAAAAAAATTCTCCCGCCAATCAGCAGGGGGCACGCTGCGGGATCGTACACCTATAAAGGGTGTTTTACGTCATTTTTTTTTATATTACTGGTATCCAACACATTGTGGAGAGCTCGTTATTAAAATAGACTACAAGAGTTTCATGATAAATTTGGAATTATGCCCTCAATTACGGTTGTCAAGTGACATAACCCTATTTACAAGTTGAACATGACATGCGGTAATTTTAGGATACTAAAACCAAGTTTTGATGACCGATAACAGAATAATGATAATATGTACTAATTCTTGGTTTTGTTGTAGGCTGTGGAGATAAAGTGCCAGTTGAATTATCACAACTACAATGGCACAAACTGGGTAAGTGCAGTGTTATTGCTCTTGTGTCAGATACTGACCTTGGTGGTAGGGGTTTGTTTACTTATGGTGTTCTGCATTTATTACAGTTCCTCTTGTGAATCCAGTGAAAAACGTTTAACCTTGAAAAGAAAAAGAGATTCCACAGACGATGAGGTTTGTACAGTTTCATTTTCCCTATTTGTAGTTGATGAAACTGTTGAGTGTTACTTACCTTACATTATTGTAGGTAGAGAATATGCCACCGATGAAGATCTCATCGGTACTTGAAGATGAACTCCTTGACCAACCAGCACACAATGTGGTTGTGGAATCGTCATCATGCTCCAGTGATGATGAAAGCTCCCAATATGGGACTACAGACCAGCCAAGAAGTGTGTACACAGACATAGATTACAACCCTGATAGTTTCTTAAGCCCACCTAGTATTTCCGATTTACCTAATTGTGTGCTGAGCCCACTGGAAAATGTGGCAAGAGGAGAGTCCACACCTCACTCAAACAAGAGGCCCAGGTATGTGTAATAACTTGTATATCACTGATTCATTTAAATCTAAGACTTTATTAACCAAATCAGGCCACAACTGTGTTTCAATTCAAGTATAAATTGAAATTCTGTCTGAGCTAGTATTGACACAGAAGCCCTGTTTACCTTTCCTCGATGTTATAGCAAGGGCTTGCTTACTTGCTTGTGATAATAGATAAGTATGTATGCAAAAAGTTAACTCTCATTTGACCTTCCCAAATGATGTGTACAGTTATACCTAGGTGCATAATAGTAGTCTCTTATAGAATCCTTTTTATGGGTATTTGTGACATGAGCTCTATTTTCAGCACCAGTAAAATACCATGTCCCACATTGCCCAAACGCAAGTGTCCATTACCTGGCTTATCTTGGGCGGACCCTGAAGATGTGTGGAACAACATGTGTGACTGTGATGCCAGATCTAGTAATAAGAAGAACCCTAATATGTTTGACAATCACCCTAATCTACAACCCAGGATGAGAGCTATTCTTCTGGACTGGTTGAATGAGGTAAGATATATATCTCTATTAGCATAATGACTCATTAAAATTTAAGTTTACTGTAAGTATTATAGTTAATTAATTGCAACACCATGATTGGGCTGTATGGGACAGTTTGGAGTTAAAATAAAATAGTACACATCCACATATGAAGCTCTTATTTATAGTGTATCCTGTTAGGTCAACAGGAGTGGGGATTTGGGAATATGCTAGTTCTTGAGATTCTGAAGATTTCAAATTCACAGCAAGACATTGTTTTCAGACAGACAAGCATAATTAGCATATCTTAATTATTTATAAAAAAAACTTGAGTTTAAGTTTTGTATGAAAAAGTGTCTGGCTAATGATACCTTGGAAAAAATTCTAGTAACATTCAAATCCTCTCTATTTTCATGCAGCATTACAGTGATTTTTGAACAAATTGAGGTAAGATTTTTCAATTGCACATGTATAAAAGTAATGTTGAGTTTAAGGTCATTGACCTCTTTTTTGCGCTGTTCATTGACCCCTAAACCAACTCGTTTTGAAGATGTTACCTTCAGCGATTTCCCTTTTATATTTATCTGTAACATTTGTAGATTACTTACGATCGATTATATTGTAGATTAAAAAAAACATAATTAGGTTTTCAAGGTCGTAAACGCATCAGCAAATCGGCAAATTCGTTGTCGATAAGTGCCATTGACCCGCGGCGTTTTTAATATTCTTACTATAGGTACCTCATAGTCTGCCATGCGCGCACCCGGACATTTTAGCTATGATTTTCAGGCTTGCGAATTTTTATATATTATTATTTAGATTAGAAAACGAAGCCAATATTGAGTGACCTTCACTTGAAAACTATTTTTTTATATAATACGGCAATCCAGTCTTAGGGTAAGCAATTGGTGCCGAGTATAGGCACCAATAACGTCTCAGAAGTTTTCAGCTTTTTTGGCCTATTAAAGGGCAGTTTTGGGGAATTGGTAACCTTACTCGCACAACGAAACACAACGATAGTTGTTTTACGCCGGTTTTTGGTTAGACCGTGGTATCACTCCGGTCGACCCGACCCATTCGTACCGAAGCATGGCTCTTCCACAACTATGGCAATGCTCGTAGCATTGTAACAGTTTACATGGAATTCCGATACATTAGATAAATCTTGTAATTAACAAATGGCAGTATAATATGCTAAAGTAACAATAACGTACTTGAATAATTGCACATTGTTTTACCATACTTGGAAGTTGAACAACGCTAACGCAGAGCTTTGCTTCTTTTAGATAAGAAGCGTACTATATGTGCCAGTTGAGTGCAGGTACTAATTTAATTTGTTGTGAAAGTGGAACACTTCAATTGTAAGCATGTATGTGATAAGGTTTCTAAGATTAAATGAACATTAATGTCGTGTGGGTATTGATGAGTCGATGTTGTGCTCATCAACCGTACAACCGCTTTACTTGAAAGTAACATTATCTCGTAAATTTTAGTTCGAATATTTTAAGCTCTATTTTAATCTCGTCTGAATGAACTAGCCTCATTACGCGGTAACTTGTGGACTGGCCAGAAGAACTGCCTAATCTAAAGAAGCTAGGATATTTAGTTTTGTTCGTTCGTTGTTACTATTGTAATATTTACATGTTGAAGGTTGTAACCTATTAATGTTACTAACATTTATCTGTAAGCGTTCTTCCAAACGAAAATTATAATAATATGTAGGTAATAAAAACAACTGCAGTTCTTTATGTAACAAATAAACGTAAAATCGTGACAGTCTAGTCAAAAACGTTCACCGAATTCTAGATATTGTGCTATCGAAAATCTCGATCAGTCGGCGTTACTTAATTCCTATTGGGGCGTACAAAGAACAACAGATTTAATACCATAATCGTATCTAAAACATTTTGAACAATACAGCCATTTAATCAGATTAACAAAACATGACGTCTTGAAATACGAATCTAACGTACTTTTTTTTCTGGAAAAATAAAATGCACTTAAAATATAGGCAACTAGCTGCTCCCGCGCGGTTTCACCCGCTGCTCGGCTCCCTTTGATTGTAGCGTGATGTTTTAAAGCCTATGGCACTCGGGAACATTGTAGCTATCAATTAGTGAAAGAATTTTGGAAATCCGATCAGCGGTTCCGAAGATTACCCCCTACATACAAACTTAGAAATTTTACCTCTTTATAATATTAGTTTATATGGAACAGTTCAACTTGTTTTGTAATAAACTAAACAGCCAAGCTTTTAAACATGTTTTGAGTGGAATCAGCAAAAAAATTGGGGCTTGGTCATAGGTCAAAGTAATTTAAAGGTTCTCGCAAGTATAGCGATAGTGATGAATTACATTAAACGAGAATGCCAATAAATGCTGCACTAGTTATTGATTGCATAACTCGACAGTGACGCTTATATCGCAATGTTGACGATTTTGCAATTATTTTCACATAACTAGGTATTTGTCGAAAATCAGTGTAGGAAAAGGAAAATAGAAAACATCGCGAGGACATCTGGACTTGTTATATTTAATAATAGAGTTGAAATCGCCAATACGCCTGGAGCAAGCGTGGTGATTAACACTTTAACCGCCGCGTAGGTTGACCACCGGTGAGCTAAGGTAGCGGAGTTTTTATTTTCAATATTTTTCATAATGACGAAAATATAAAGACTGTTGATCGGTAATAAGGTGTTTGAACGTAACTAGTAAATATTCCAATTTCGATCTCTAGAAGAATCTGTCCAATAATAATTTGATTTCAATAATAAGCTGGTCAGATATTGTGAACATTTGAAAATCATCACAATTCAAAACTATGTAGATGCTACTTAAAAAAAAAATCGCGTACAGGTAAACCATGACGTTATTTAAGCTCTTACGAAAGTAATCAATTACCTTGGAATTGCGAGTAAATACTTGCACAATGTATAGCTTAATTAGATTTTAAAAATCAAAATAATGAATTTGAAATAACGCCTCTTCACGCTAAGCCCCGATCGATGCGGAACTCTATGTAGGTACATAACTGTATATTTAACTTAGTAGGTATTGAAGTTTTTGCGCGCATCGTCTGTCTCACGATTATACGCTTTACGTGCGTATTTCGGTTGTGTTTTCCTCAATCCTATTCCAAAGCATAGCATTAACTAGTATCCTTGCATTTCCGGTGTTTGTAAAGGACTGTTGTTTATCTTAAAACTAGCTTCTCTCGTACGGTTTCGTCCGCTGCTCGGCTTTTATGTGTCTTAGCGTGATGAATTTTTGCTTTCCTCGATAAATGGTCTATCCTACACGAAAAAAATGTACAATATGATCTAGTAGTTCCGAATAGCGCGTTCAATAGCTTTATAATATTAGTATAGATGTAAGGATACTTCTGTGTTAGAATTGATTCAGTTACTCATTTGTGATCAAGGATTAGAACCTTAACTGGCTGTACCTTAACTGGTTTATAGCAATTGGAGATCTAAAGGTATTACTGACGCTTCAAAAGTACCCATTTATGGTTTAGTCAGAATAAATGATTTTGACTTTGACTATGGCAAAGGGTTAGCAAAGATGTATATTTCGATGTGTGACAACAACTTTTCCTCAGTTTTTTTACACAAAACCCATCTGAAGACAATTCGTAGCGAATATTTATTTTCGATTGGGTTTCTTACAACCCGAACTTTTTATACACAAATAAATAACATGTACTCTAGCCGCCATACTTTTTAGGCACTACGCTACGGAACATGTGTGCGGCCTCAGTTTATTGATTGAGACACATTTAGATAACAGTTTATTGTTTTTTACCAAACTTTCAAACAAAACGCCTCAAATAGTATTATTATACCAATTATATGAGGTTTTTTGCTGAAGTAAAATAAACAACAGCAAGTAAGTCAGTCAACTTGACAAAATCGTACGTTCGTATTAACTTCGACTTAGTATTATAGACGCCAAGCTTATAAAACCATTTCTTCAATGTCAATAAATTAATTCAAGTACACATAAAGCTTTTAGTAAGATGCGTTATTTAATACTAGAAGCAGGAACAATGTAGTAGTCAATTTACCTAATTGATGTCTTAGCCGAAATTAATCTCGCTTTAGCCATTACAACGTCCGGGAGAGATAACCCCGAGACTCGAACAATGGAGGATGGACAGTTCTATGTTAATATGTTTTACGATAGACACGAACTACATCGTTAATAGAGACATGACATCTGACATCTTAATATATTGAAACTTGTTCGAAAGTAAGGGTCTCTTGCCTTGAGATGGCGATGACAATTGAGTTGTTCTTCAAAAAGCCGACTTCAGTATGGAGAAACGCTTTCTTCTCATGTTTGACTGAAGTATCATAATGTATCCAGTTTTTTTTCACGGCAGTTGAAAATTGGCGACCATATCTAGCGCAATTAAAAAGCGATGGTATTTATTTATTGAATAAACATTAGTTATGTTATATTTAGTCAAAAATCTTATGGACCGTTTGTTCTCTTGTTATCTTTACATTACATGCACGTGAAAGAACTAACGCTACGTGTCCTCGTGTTGCAGCACAAAAATTTAAAGCTTTCATTTTCTCTTCACCAGGTATGCGAGGTATACAAATTGCACAGAGAAACATTTCACCTCACTGTGGACTACATAGACAGATATCTATCCAACACAGAAGATGTGCAAAAAGGCAGATTGCAGCTCATAGGTAAACAAAGCTTAGACCTGTTACAAAATTAATTAGATTGGTGCTTCTCTAAACAAATAAGTAATAACATCTTCTGCTTCCAGGTATTACGTGTTTATTTATAGCAGCGAAAGTAGAGGAAGTGTATCCACCGAAAATCGGCGAATTTGCGTACGTGACAGACGGCGCATGCACCACAGACGAGATACTCTTGGAGGAGCTTCTTATCCTGAAGATATTGTCGTGGAGCATCACGCCCATCACCATCAACAGCTGGCTCAATGTGTACATGCAGCTCGCCAGCGAGGGTCGCAGTGCCAAGCGACGGCTGCTCGGGGAGAGTGACGTCGGCGCCAACGCGCTCAGAGGATACACCTTCGTATTCCCGCAGTACTCGTCGCTCGAGTTTGTGATTTGTGGACAATTAATAGACTTAGCAGTGTTACATGTGGACGTGAACCAATTCCCGTACAGTGCTGTCGCCGCTGCGGCAATGGCACACGCGTTCACCAAAGAACTAGCGATAAGAGTATCTGGTGAGTACACATAATATCGCCCTAACTTTAGGTATCAGCAGTTATAAAAAGTATCTATACATATTTATAACAACGAAAATTATGTTGCATACAAATTATAAATATCAAGGCCGTACTGTTAGCGTGGGTCGCGTGTGATTCAACATGTCGCCTATATAAAAAAATCATGTCCTATAAGTTATTTATTAATACAAATCTCAGGAACTTATAATTGATATAATTTAGTTATGATTGATATCTAGGCAAACATAGTTTTTGCAGTACTATGTACACGCGAGAAAAAAAAACTGACAAACAATGTTTTGTGTTCAGGGTACAGCTGGGAGGAGCTGGAGCCGTGCTGGCGATGGCTGGCGCCGTGCGTGAGCGTGGTGCGCGGCGAGGGCGCCGTCTGCGTCGTGCGCGGCGGGGACGGAGAGTTCGTACAGCGCGCCGCCGGGCTCGACCTCATCTGTCCCGACGTCAACCTCGACGAGAGCCACCGCATCCAGTCGCACAATGTCACCCTCGATATGTTTGTCAGTACCATTTCTCTAGACCACTTTTGTAACAGCCAAGTTAAGTGAAAATTCATAGGATGACCATTCTCGAATATTCAGTAACAGCAATATGCTGTGTGAAATTCTATATTTTGTTGACCCAAAATGAAATGAAAAAAGTAAACAAGCAATTGTAAGCGAACTATCTCATTTCTCCACGCCTTGCTATTATGTTGTCGATACGATTTATTGTGTATTACGAATCGATTATCTTAACCAGTCTAGATAATTTATCAAGTCGGGTCTTACAATGCAGTGGTTATCAATGCTAATGCTGAATTTTTGTTCTGGCAGGATAAAGTGTACCAGATAATGGCGGAACAACAGTCATCGACCCAGGCGGAGACGGCGGCGTCCACGTCACAGGAGAGCGAGCACATATACCCTCCCACGCCGCCGCAGTCGGACCACAAGAGCCCGAAGACTCCGACCACGAAGACGCCGTCCACGCGCCACCTGTCGCCAGTGCCCGAAGGCCGGCGACTCTCCGCCGAGTGATAATACACTTTATATTAAGGTGTGTCTATTGTTGTAGTGTTTGTTATGTTCTGATACTAGTTTTTTTTAAAAGCAGTTACTGTAATACTCTTTTGATTTGGTACAATTTGACATCTAAGGTAGAGCGAAGCAGCTCCGATTTTTTATTATTGTACTGTTTGCCATCGAGCACGGAATTTTTTAGCGTCCTTTTGGATAAATATATCAATTTCTTATGGTAAGATAAAATGTATTCTGACTATAATACACACACTTGACTCACAACATAGTTGGAAGACTTATACGTACAGAAGTACATACAGTAAAGTGCATATTCAACTAGCCTTATGAAATTAAGCAAAACTTATGCTAGAAGACCTACAACCAATTTTATTAGTATAACAAAATACGACTATTTACTTTAACTATTCACTTAACTACATCAAGGCACGCGACTATCAAAATATATCGCGAAGTACTTCAATGAGAAATAGATAATATACTAATAAATTTATATGTCACACTTAATTGTCATCACATTTGGACCACCAACATTATAGGTTATGGACTTTATTGAACAAAACAAATGGACTTGTGTAGAAACGACTGATATATCTGTATTTATAAAAGGCATGCACTGGTATCTCCCATTGTGTATTTGGATTGTATTTTAATTAAAAATGGCGAGCATCTAATGCGAGTGCGTGTTCGTTGCAGCTTACTAACATCACTAGGCACTAATGACGCGACTGATGTGTGCATGACACTAACACATCAATTGAGGAGATACCAACCACTCATTCATATAATTAGAATCCTACTTTCTTGATCAAAATCTGTTTTAAGTGTGCTGTTGCTGTAGATCTGTCCATGATTTTTCAACATACCATTTGTTTTGAATGTAAAAAACATCAATCCACATTCAGATCTAAAACTACCACTAATGATATAGAATTATTTATAAGTAGCTGTATAAGTTAATAAATAAACAATTAAAAAAGTTACTTAAAAACCCTTGAAGTGCACAGATAATTTATTGTATTATATAATGATAAGTAAGATAGTATCTGTGTACTGCATTAAGGTTCTGAAGTAACTAGAAAAAAAAATGTTGCTCACACAACAAATAAATATGTAAATAATATATTGTTCCTACTTTTGAAAAATTCTAATATATCAATAGTTTTGGACTTATGCTGGCTTAAGCCAATACATACTGCTTAAACATTCCATGCAATTTATGTTGTCATTACAACATGTTTAAGTAGAGATAATCCACCGTTTTACTTTTAAATGCAATTATAATAACTTTAAACAAGGTTGTGTCTTCTTGTCTTGTAACATCTATTTTCTCTATGGCTGTTTCCTGTCAGCTGGAAACATCACTTATACTTTAGTATGGATCAAATATAGCTAAGTAAACCACAAAGAAATATCGACGTGGTCGCATAATATTATATTTTTATGTAAATAAAAATAAGAATGCATTGCAATGAATCATTTTTTTCAATCAATACTTTATTCTGAATCTTTAACTAATTAGTTAGTTTACTAAACTATAACTTTATTCGTCTTTATATAGAAAATTGCCGTTCGATTGTGCATTACACACTCACGAGTTACCGAAACAATCATTTTCGTTTTTTATATCGTAATTATTATCTTTAAGTATCCAAATCAAATGTCAATAACTTATACATAATCTATGTTTAAAAAACTGTTCCCACTTACTAGTGAATTAGATATATACTTTTAGCCCTTGATTTTCTCAACAATTTGTATATAAATTGATAAATATTGTAATTTATTTCTTCTAATGGATGATAAAAGAACGCGAAACGTTCTAGAGACTGATTACTAGAGCTTTGAGTCAACTGTTTATGTTATATTGATATAAAAATATTATTGTATGTATAAAATATATCGCGGCGGATTTTAACCAAAGAATTGTTTCCGTCGGATCGTTTCATTTGGCACACTTTGAAATGACGTAGAATTGTGTAAACTACACGTGAGTATGTGGAACACTATCCGATGAATTGAATGCATGAAATTCTAACTCTCGATGCTATTACAGCCAACTCTTAGACTTAAGTAGAAAAAAATGCTTTTATATATATCGGAAATGATTCGCATGTGTGTTTATATTTTGCATAGCACCAAAATGAACAAAATGTTGACCATGATGCATTTTTATGGCCAATTTTGACACAATTACATATGTATATCAGGCCCAAATGTACTTTTACTGCAGTAGTGATTAACTACATTCATATTATCATTAACATAGAACACTTTAACAAATAACGTTCATCTCCGATTTGTGTAATTTACCTTACTTTTCTTTTAATTTGCCAAAAAAACATTCGAGTAATGGATAAAAATTTTCAATGTTTGATTAATTGTCGGTATCATGGGAATCAAGAAATGCCTGCATGTCTCAAAATAGTATCTGCTTTGTTCTACCATAGTTTAGCACCGTAAAATAATTTCTTAATCTTATTGCCGACATCGACCATAGTCAAACATATTTTCTCAAAATTAAGACTGTCCTCTGTTCTTACTAACTTCCACTTTACTCGACTACTATAACATATAGGAAATATGTTGTACAAATTGTATTCACCATATTATATGGATTTATTGTATTTTTTTAATGTGTAATGTTGTACAGTGTACCTAACTCCAATAGAACCGGGTATTGTTCGTTTTAGAAAATTCAATGTAGAAATAAGTTGAACGATTACGCTTATCCACTAAGGCAATGCTGGCCTTATAAATAAGACTTAGATTTGTTACTTTATATGAAAATAATTTAAAAATTATATTCTTAGTAGAAAATGATTAGAATTTTTAGATATAAGTTATTTTTATATCAATTTATTGAAGTAATATAAAAGGTGTACCTACAATATTGTTTGCCGGACTTCATTGCATGTGATCTCATGTCATGGATAATAAAAGTAAATCAGATGTTATTAGTGCAATAACTGCATCAATCACATTTTGTATGTACAGTCAATTCAAGGCGAAATAGTATTAATAAATAAATGGTGTTGATTATTTATTTGAAAATGTTTTTATTTTCATTCACTGTTAAACAGGATTTTACTTAAAAATAGACAATATCGAGTATCATAAAAATACCCACATATTAAAATCAAATAACAATTCCTTAATGTAACAAAGGTAAAACATTAATCAAAAATCTCCATCGGATTACGTATAAAATGCTTACTTGCTAAGGGCGTGGGTCTGGCATTCTGTAAAAAGAAAAATAAATTTAGCTTGCCTCCACATACGAATACTTAGTGCGTCTGTGCGTAGTTCACTCTTGAATATAAATAAAAAAACAAAATCGTTGCATAAAAAAACCAATATCTTTTACTTACTTGTATATGCTAATCTTTGGTCCGGAGGTAACACTGGATATGTCTTGTGGTGTAAGGAACACGTATTGTCGCTTAGTGTTTTTCAATGCGTGATCAATCAACATCTCCATCACTACCTTCCTATTCACATTATCCTGGAACAAACAAAATAAGGAGAATTTAAAACTGGAAAAAGATTTTAAAGATGAGCAACAGACAAATGATACAGATCACTTGATTATAAATCAGCTCATTTACTCAATTATTTAGAGAAGATACACCAACAACTTCTTTACTAAATTAAAAAGATTAATCAAAAATGTTGAGATACTGATTCCAAATTGTTTTGTCACTTTGTAGTGGGCACGGGCACAGTTTGATGATATAAAATCATGCATTTTGATCTGCACATTTTATTCAAAGGACTCCGACTGGTCATAAGCTCTTGATTTATGGGTGATTCTTTATGACTGCATTATATCCCGTCCTACATAGATACTTTCCTTCTTTTAGGGTGAGCAGACATTCTTCCAACCCTTTGTTATTAATCTGCTTTTGGAGACAACGCTTCTGTTGTCTGCATGTCAATTAACTTTTTGTGCGAAACGGAGCTGCGTTCCTTATCCTATCCTTTTCGAAGCACAGCAGTTTTGAGCTCCTTTTAAGGTAATGGCGGTACCAGGTGCCACTCCAGACTTCGTGCTACTACTGATAACTTTAACGCGAAAAATCACACAATACAATGTTTTCCCGAATCTACGATAACTTATTGAAGCGTTCGCATTTATAACAAATATACCTCATAAGACGAACAGGAATTCATTTACTTTTTATATTCTATCTAAAGCTAGCATTCATTCATTATTCTAAGTTAACAATGTCTACGCACCATAAAAACATCAAATTCGTCCATGAAACAGAAGGGCAGGCTGGCGCACTCCCAGAGTGCCATGATGAACGCGACGGTGGAGTATGAGCGCTCGCCGCCTGATAGCGAGGAGGTCGTGGAAGCCGCGCGGTTGTTGCCCTCGCGGCCTGAGCACAGGATCTCAAGCGTGTTTTTCGAGAGGTCCACCACCATGTGACCCTGTACAAGTTGGTAGGATTAATTACACACAGCTACTGGTTAAAGGCCAAATTAATCTCTGAATGTATCTAGGTTTTCATTGAAACTAATTTTAGTTATCTACATAACTAAATCTCGCACGTTATACAGTGTACTTGTATTTATGGACATCCAAAATTATACGTGTCAACAAAATTTCAGTAGGCCACAGCGCTCACGCATGGGCGACCGGAATACTATCAGGACCTTACAGAAAACCGGCGAGGAATAACCCCAGCGTTGTGTTTCACTGTTACCGGAGGCCCCAATATTTCCCGAAACCCTAATCCCCAGAAGGCCGTTCATAACTACTATTGTCCATGGGCGGCGCCGATTGCTTACAATCAGGTATCCAGTCTGGTCGTTTGCCGTCATATCACATAAACACAGCTCAATCAGGTTTTAAGTGTGGGAGAGCCATGCTTCAGCACGAAAGGGTCGGCTAGACCTGAGTGATACCACGGCTTCATAGAAAACCGCCGTGAAACAACCACAGCGTTGTGTTTCGCCGTGTGATTGAGATTACCGGAGGCCCAATCCTTCCCCTCCCCCAATCCCTAAATCTCCAAAAACCCTAATCCCCAAAAGGTCGGCAACGCATTCATAACTCCTCCGCTGCGGGTGTCCATGGGCGGCGTGATTGCTTACCATCAGGTTATCCGTCTGCTCGTTTGCCGACATATTACATAAAAAATGGTTCTTTTAAAAATCTATATTTTTTATAGGATAGTTCGGCAAATGACCATATATATCACTAGATGGTAAGCAATCGGCGCCGCCGATGGACACTCCTAATACCAAAGAACTTAGTCCAAGTGCGTTGCCGGCCTCTAAAAAGTTATTAGGGATTTAAGCATAGAGGAATTGAGGATCACACAGGAGCAGACGACGTTGGTTTACGCTAGTATTCTGTGAGACTGTGGAACTCCGGTCGAGCCGACCAATTGGTGCCGAAATATGGCTTTCCCACACTTATTTATACCAAGGTTATATTCCATAAAATTAAAAATATGCTCGAAATATACAATGGGCTGTTATATCGCATTCTGAGTGCTTAACCTGACATCCTTTGAATGGACAGGAACTGGCAGCACTTTAAGTATTTCCAAATAATAATGATGATAACTTACATAAAGACATAATACCTAAAAGTACGTAATATAAATATGTATATAATATTCATAGGTATATGTATTATATTCATTATTCATTTATTTGACTGCATGGTTGGCGCAGTGGCTGGGCAACTGGCTGCAGTGCACACTTTGTGTGAACCACAAGGTTAAGTGTTGGCACGAACAGGTCGGGTCGTCCGGAGTGATACCACGGCCTCACAGAAAACTGGCGTGAAACAACTACAGCGTTGTGTTTTGCCGTGTGAGTGAGGTTACCGGAGGCCCAATCCTTCCCCTCCCCCAATCCCTCCTCAATCCCTAAATCTCCAAATCACTAAAAGGTCTGCACCGCACTCGTAACTCCTCCGTTGCGGGTGTCCATGGGCAGCGCTCATTGCTTACCATCAGGTAATCCGTCTGCACGTTTGCCGACGTATAACATAAAAAAAACATAATTATTGTTCTAGGTCTGGGTGGTTTCTATGTTTGTAAACGAACACACGACGCAGGAGAAAATGCAAGTGTGGGGCAACATTAATATAAACAAAAAATACTTACCCTGTACCCTCTGACCAGCAGGATCGCTTGGAAAATGTGTTCCACTGTTCTTACTACTATGGTCTGTAGTTTCACGCATAGTTTCAGATGATAGTCGGTTGTGTGGCTCAACTGTGAAATATTCATTATATTTTAATAATGTTATAAAGAAAACATTATGAAGTAGTAACACATAATATCTTAAATCTCCAAACATTGTTTACCAGTCACGAATCTCATATATAATACAAAAATGAATCGCGAAATGTGTTGGTAAACGCAAAACTCAATAACGCCTGGACCAATTTTGCCAATTCTTTTTTTGTTATTTTCGTTATTGCCAGCGGAAGGTTCTTACGAAAGACAATTTGGGGGAGTCAGGGAAATAGGGACTCCTTCGTCGTAAGACCCTTGCGAAGCAGTGGCGAGCCGCTAGTTTAATAATAATAGTGACTAAAAAAACCAAAGTAGTCAAACATCGGAATCTAAGCCCAGTAGGATGAAGAGGGATAGAGCTATAAAAGATGTATAGCTCCATCCCTCTTTTTCGCCCGAAAGATTCACGCTTTAACACGTCATGGAAGGCCCTCAGGTCCTTGAAGTTAACTTAATATACTTTACTAGCGACCCTACCCGGCTTCGCACGGCTGTAATGGTGATACTAAATTTCTTAACTATTTTATGGATGTTCAATGTGTTATTTTATGGATATTTGAGTAAAAGATATACTGATGGAAAAGGAGGATTTATCAGTATATCTTTTTACAATACCGCATGAAAAACCATTGTGTAGTTTTAGAGATTTAAGCTTATGAGATGATGCTCATCCTTTTGAGAGCTACGATGCCACAGACAGACACGTTAAACTTAACACCCCGACATTTTTGCGTGATTACCATATCAATAAGTTCCTTGAGATGTTTTAGCTCGTTGCTCGTCTGTTGGTACTTGCGCTTGACGTCGACCAATCTCTCCGTCACCTCGGCCTCGGTCAGCCCGTCCGCGTCGCTTCGAATAGAGTTCAGTTTCAACTCTAACTTCTTCAGCTGATTCGTCACCGTTACTTTATCCCTGGGGGAAAGAAATTAGATAATTTATATAAAATAAGTTTCCTTCCTGACGATATAACTCCAGAACGCACGAACCGATTTCCACGCACCGGTTTTAGTGGAAGGAAAGGTCTCAGGCTCCGTGGGGTTTATAGCAAAGAAAATTCAGGAAAAATGTCAAGAGAAAAGCGGGAAAATAGAAAACTAAGCCATCTTGTGGCGAAACGGAGTTCGCCGGTTTGCTAGTAACTACATATTATAAAAGGTTTGATGTTCTGTTTAACGATTAATAGAAAAAGTTTGAAAGATTAAGCGATGTGTAAATCAAATTATGTTCCACTATAATTTTAAATGTGGGAGAGCTGAGCTTCGGCACGGCTGGAGTGATACCACGGCTTCACAGAAAACCGGCACCGGCGAGGAACAATCATAGCATTGTCTCTCCGTGTGAGTGTGGGTACCAGAGGCTCAATCCCTCCCCTTATCCCCATCCCTTCCCAATCCAAGCCAAGCCGGCAATACACCCGTAACTCCTTTGGTGATGCTACCTCTATGGAGAGCGCCGATTGCTTACCATCAGGTAATTAATAAGAAGTGCCGTTTGCCGACCTAGCCCATAAAAACATGTTCTGTTTAATATTTAATAAAAAAAGTTTAAAAGCATAAGCTATTTGTAGATCGCCATAGTTTTCTAGCGGGTGTTTTAGAAGATATGGGACCCAGAGCTGCCGTCTCCTATCTGCTTGGCAAACGTGGAGAAAACACAAAATCCACTGACTTATTGGGGGCTCAAATCTAGCAGAAGATTATCACGGGCTTTGAGGTTTTGTTGATTGTCTGGCAGAATATCTTACCTAGGATTTGGCATCCTGGGGCAGAGTCGTTCAGCGGTCTCAATTTTCTTCCTAATAACCGCATGTTTCTCTTCAAGGATCGCTTTCACTTGCGTCATCTTATTCTCGTCGTCACGAAGGCTTTTCTCGTATGTCTTCCTCTCCATCACCCCTCGGTCCAGCTTCATCTGTTCTTGGTCTATTTCTTCCTAAATTGCGGAAAATAATAAATGATCAACACTAAAAAGAAAGTTCATTTGATTGGAATTACTAGCGTTCAAATTCAAATTCTTTATTTGCTTGTTAAGGTGGGTACAAGGATCTTAAATTAAAATAACAGCCACAGCTTAACGGCCTTTTTCAGGCGTTGCAAAGAGGGCTATTACTAGCTTATAAAATAATATTAAATTACTTAATTTACATCACATTGCATAAAAGAGAAAAGAAAAAAATAACTAAGTATTAGATAAAAAAAAATGTTGTTACTTGAGTTAGTATGTAGGTTAGTATGTAGGTGTTTGTGTGTTTATGAGGTGGGTTTTAACATTAATGTTGGTGTTCTATTTTCCTTCGAAGAATTCTTTGGTTGAGTAGAAACATTTTTGTATTAAGAACTTTTTAAATTTCCTCTCAAATATTATTTCTTTCCTTTCGTTTTGTAGGTCTTTCGGTAATCTATTGAATATTTTGACTGCCATGTAGTAAGGGAAGCGTGTTGACTGGTTAGCGTTCTGCTATTAAATGGTTAATTTCAATTGGTTAGGTGGTTAGGTTCCTAGCTCAAAAATAAACTTATTCAACGTTTCAATACAATAAAATAGTGAAAATACTTTATTGTATTGAAGCGTACGCTAGATACACTTTTATTCATTGAACCGTCGGTACACTAAATGTTCTATATTTTTTAGCTACAAGTATATTTTAAAAAATAAGTAAGCTATTTCACGCAAAGCTATGACGTCAAAATTTGGAGTTTCATACAAATTTCATAGAAAAGTATCGTTTATGACATTTGGATAAAAATATAGAATTTGACTAGTTGGAAACTACCGTATTAAACTCCTAAGCTCCAGCTAGGTGGACCGACGATATTTGTAGGGTGGCTGGGGATGAGAAGAGCTGAACATCGAGCTCAGTGGCGTGCAATTGGGGAGGCCTAAGTCCACCAGTGCACGAAATCAGGCTGATATTGATGATTCTGAAGTGCTGGAGAGCCAAGCTTCGGCACGAATGGGTCGGCTTGACCGGAGTGATACCACGGCCTCACTGAAAATCGGCGTGAAACATCCACAGCGTTGTGTTTCGCCGTGTGAGTGAGGTTACCGGAGGCCCAATCCTTTCCCAATCCTTAAATAACTGAGATCCTTATCCCTAAAAGGCCGGTAACGCACTCGTAACTCCTTTGGTGTTGCGGGTGTCCATGGGCGGCGCTGATTGCTTACCATCAGGTAATCCGTCGGCTCGTATGCTTATCTATTCCATAAAAAAATTATGATGTATTAAACAACTAACTGGGTACTTTGGAAACGTGAAGATAGAATCGCCCGTCCATGTGTGTTAGTAGAACTAGGATCATAGTTCACTTACCCTTGTATTCCGACAGGCAGCATTGACTTCCCCGAGCTGTTTCTTGACCCGTTTCATGCGGTTATCGTACTCGTCCATCTTCTGTCGATTCTCTGCCTCCTTGCTAGCTAGCTCGTCCAAACGTCGCTGTAAGCCGGCCTTCTTGTCCTTCGATATGTTTAATTCTTCCACCTGTTAAAAATGTTTTGAGTCTTGCTAGAATTCAAGCAGTTTATGGATAAACACAAAATAATAGTACAATAATAAAACTAACAACTTTCGCCCCAAAGGGCATTTTAGACTTACAATAATGGTACATCATTATTAAGTAAAGTAAGTCTTTTATCGGCCTGGAGGAGGAGAAATAACGGGTTGGTGTTAAGACAGTAGCAGTCTGACAGTCTCTTGCCTCGCCCCATCTTGAGCTGGAGTCATTTGATGATTTTACCTCCTCAAAGAAAAAAACTGGATGAAATCTAAAGGTTATGAACATACCATAGACCACTTTAATACTAATAAATAATGTCAGTTTATAAATACAAGTAAACAAGCACACAAGTCTTTATATTATTTTCATTTTAAACTTCTTATTTAAGTTCCTTCTTCCTATTTCATTAATGACTAAATCAATGTCTGTTGTATATTGTATTGTACGTATTGTACCTACCTACTTGTATTGGATCTCAGAAAAGTTATTCTTATTATAAATTTATTTTATGAATAGGCATAATTTGATTTTCTTAGTCAATTCATAGAAAACTAGCTTTTTAACGCGAATCCGTGACTTCCTGCAGATTTTTGGTATAAAAACTATCATGTGTCCTTTCTCGAGTTCCAAACTATGTCTGTACCAAATTTCTTAGAAATCGTTCAGTAGTTTAGGCGTGAAGATAAGACAGACAGAGTTAGTTCAGCATTAATAATATTAGTTTGATTTGGATAACGACTTACTCATATTCATATTCATATTTATTTGCATTCCACAATCGCGGCTCGCACGCTAATTAAGTTGTTGTGGCTGGAAACTAATAGAAATTTTCTCACATAATTTAGGTAAGTCGTTATTTTCAACTTATAAATGTTTAACTTCATATTATGTGACTAGCTACTCTCGCGGTTTCAGCGTGATGTTGTACAGCCAATAGCACTAAGGAACATTGTAGCTATACCTATGTATTATTGGAAGAATTTTGAAAATCTGACCAGCGGTTCTAACGATTACCCCCGATCTAAAGTAGTTAGTTTTGGAAACGTACCGACTACACGGGAGAGTATTCGTGTATGAAGCAACAGGAAAAAAGCATAAAGAAAACAAGGTAACTTACGAGTACAGCGTGTTGTGGCGCCTGTAGCTGTGCGAGTGCCTCCCCTGCGCGGCGCGCGGCCTCGTCGGCGCGGTGGCGGTCCCCCAGCAGGGCCTGCAGCGCGCGCCCCGCCGCCCGCTCCTGCTCCCGCGCCGCCTTCGCCTGCTGGCCCAGCTCGCCAGCTTCCACTTCCAATTTTTGCAATACCGCTTCTTTTTCTTTTATCTCGCTTACTAGTTGCCTGTTAAATTTTGTCTTGTTTTTATGTGTGATAGGACGGCAAACGAACAGACGGATTATCTGATGGTAAGCAATCAGCGCCGTCCGAGTGCGTTGCCGACCTTTTGGGATTTAGGGATTGGGGGAAGGGAAGGAATGGGTCTCAAGTAACCTCACACACACGGCGAAACACAACGCTGTGGTTGCTTCACGTCGGTTTTCTGAAACCGTGATATCACTCCGATCGAGCCGACCCATCCGTGCAGAAACTTGGCTCTCCCACTAGTGTGGGATCCGCAATCATTTTAAAGCTTTTATACTTGTTATTCAAATTTAAATCATTTGTTCGCTGGGTGTATGGGCAGAGGGACGGTGATACTTATTTTCGTTATATTCTTACAAGCTATTGCTGGCGATTTCGTATATTTTGAATTTATCATCACCTTTTCCAATACCTTATTCTACGACTATGTCATAATAGGCTGAGAAAAGTATATCGCATGGCCTTTCGTGGGTGTCCGACAATCGTTATACCAAATTGGTTCAATATGAGAAATATGACCAGTCCGGATTTTAATTTAATTTGTTTTAATTGGTAGCATTTTTGTTATGAAAACTATAGTCATAAAACATTCCTCCAATATAAAATCGAATGAAAGGGAGAATTTCATTTGAAGATGTGTAATTGAAAAAAAGAATAATCTACAAAGTTTAATAATAAAAAACCGACTTCAAAAACAAAAAAGTGTCAAATAATTAAAATAGATATTTTAATACCACTCTTACGTACGCAAAGCTAATACTTTTAGTATTAATAATAAAACACTATCGGTCGGTGCCAAGCCTAATACATAATATAATAAGCATTTGATTGATGGTCTTAGCGTAGAATCAGAAGTCTATATGGTTTCGTTACATGCGAAATTATATATAGCTTAGAAAGATATTCGGGTGAATTATGAATTCTGAAAGTTTTCTCGTACTAAACGTAACTCGTGGGTTGTTAAAATTAGTAGTAGGTAGCTTCGTTGTTGGTTGTGGAAATTTCGTCCTTTAGCAGTTAAACAGTCTTAATTCTCATTTAGTTTTATTCTGTTTAGGGCTTGGCACCGACTTCAAACCTATGAATAAGTAGCACATAGAATTGATAGTGTTTTATTATTAATATTAAAAGTATTAGCTTCGCGTACGTAAGAGTGGTATTAAAATATCTATTTTAATTATTTGACACTTTTTTGTTTTTGAAGTCGGTTTTTTTAAACATAGTTTTTTTTATTTTTTACTTTTTAGTGTCTGTAACAAGTTCTTCTGTAAACTACAGTAACATCTCAGAATACAGAACAAACCAGAAGGCGTCATCGCGCTTCAAACTGAAGCAACTAAAACCACTCTTAACTAGACTAGTATGAAATTTCTACGATCAGTCAATTTTGGCACGTGGCATGTCGTGACGTATTTACGAGTATCAATTTTAATTTCATTATGCCGTATTGTGCTATTCCTACGAGTAAAAATGCGGCTGGAATTACGAAAAAAGTGGATAAGATTACATTTCATCTGCAAGCATCGACTGCAATAGTTTATTTAATTAATTATTGAATTTTTTTATCGATTTATTTTTCTATGAAAATGATGCGGCCATTTTGTGAGTGTTGTCATTTTTGGTAAAAATTTTACCTACTTATTTATTTGTTGTGGGTTATATTTTTGTCCATTATGGAGCCTATGTCATATTAGTTTCCCTGCCGACTAAAAATTTAAAATCACACAAAGGGCACGGTTAGATTAATTTTGGAAACCATCTAGCCAGAGCATAGTTTGCTCAATTCACTTTGAAGAGATATATTTATGACAAAGGTGGTTTGAAAACAGCATTTCCTACTAAGATATATCTATACTAATTATAATGCTGAAGAGTTTGTTTGTTTGTTTGCTTGAATGCGCTAATCTCAGGAACTAAGTAAAGTACTTACTTTCTAGACTTCTAATCTTTAGTTCCGAGTCTAAAGACAATTCATATTATAAAAACTAAACCAGCAAAAGGGAACGCAATAAAACCTTTCTACTTATTGAAGCTTTGTTTTATTTGTTGTGTACACAACACAGTCAGGAATCGTGAAATGTGTGAACAACTAGTCTTTTGCATTTATCGTAAGTTTACCTATTTTGTTGAGTTTACCCTTATCTTACCCTCATGTTGTAAAATTACCCCAAACCCAGGGAATTGTTCCAATGTCGGCAACACTACGCGGGTGGGAAGTGCGGCTGGCGGGGGGATTGACGTATTGTTTTTGGACACATTTGACGACATGTAATTATGAGTGAACGCGGATGGTTGGTTTGTCCTGTATTCTGAGAGTAACATTTTAAATATAAATTAACATATTGAATAGTATATATTTTTTAAGTAGCTATGTGTAGCCCTGCGAAAGGAGCCGCTTTGAAATGGGAAAGTTCTCATCATCATCATCATCATCAGCCTTTTTATTGTTCCCACTACTGGGTCACAGGCCACCTCTCTAGGAGAGGGAAAGTTCTTATCAATATAAATAAATTAAGCCCAAACACGAGGTCGCTACTGTAAACCGTTGAGGAGTTCCCTAGACTGTCCTTCGTCTTCACCATCAGATCTCTAATGACAGTCACAATCCATCTAGATGTAAAGTTCTTATCAAAACGAATTAATTAAGCTCAAACACAAGGAAGCTGCTATGAATCGTTGAGGAATTCCCTCGACTGTCAATTGTCTCCATCGTCAGGTACACTGCAGACCTTCAGTTGTTATAATCCATACAGGTACAAAGTTTTCATCAATATAAATGAATTAAGTTCAAACACGAAGTAGTTACTGTAAACCGTTCAGGAGTTCCCTGAGCTGTCCTTCGTTCTCATCCTCAGAGCCTTAATGACAGTTACGACCTAGCCTGGTGCAAAGTGCTCGCCAATACGAATCATTCAAGCCCAAACACAAGGCAACTACTCCAAATAGTCAAGGAGATCCCTCGACTGTCTTCCAGCTCCAACATCTGGTCGACTTCGACCTTCGTAAAGTTGTAGTGTTGTTAAAGGCCTACTTAAACATCATACAAAAAAACTACTCGCCCCTACAATTTTCGAAAGTTCCCCTCGTTTTCTCCAGGATTCCATCGACAGGTCCTGACCTCATGACAATGGGACCAAATGGCAAGTATCGAATAAAAAAAAAATTTGCAAATCGGTCCAGGCGTCTTCGAGTAATCGGTGTACATATATAAAAAAAAAATACTCGTCGAATTGAAAACCTCCTCCTTTTGTGAAGTCGGTTAAAAATTGCTTCTATCTCCAGGCTATAAAATGAGTATACATATAATAATAGAAGAAATATTATTTTGTAGTTTTGAAAAGAACTTAAAATCCTTGCTCTTCAAACATAAAAGAAATGACACTTTTTAGTCCGTTTCCCAAATTATATGTATATCCATATTCTGTACATTCAATAATGCAAAGAAAGAAAAAATGTTTTAAAATTATCTGCCATTGAATGACGTTTTAAAGACTACTTAAATTTTCTTTTGTTAAAAATAAATTTCAAGTGAATTAAACCTTCTTTGATTACACATATACAAATTATTTATGCCACTTACTTCTTTCTCTCGGCAGTGCTGAGATGTAAGACGCGACTGTGTCTGGCGGACCCTCCGTAGCTGCGGTAGTTGGGCGCGGGGTGGTACTCCGTGGAGTCCAGGGTCACTATCTTCGAACAGTTCTCCGGGACATTCTCCTCGTTGTCCGACAAACGAACCGCATCCTCTGTTACGTTTGTTTACGATTAATAAATAGAGAAAGAAGAAAGGAGCTTTTCAATAATAGTGATCGTGTGAATAAGCCGTCAAAATTCAATCAATCCTTTCTTATATATTTTTTTTTTCTATGAAGGCTTTTTAATTTTGCGTATATTATAAGCCGTCACTGTTTTTTTTTTTTTTTGTTTTTGTGACGGGAAAAATCGTCAAACAATTTCTCTTGCCCAAAGTTTTCCCCTGAACGGGACTGAGTGTCAGACTCGAAACGAAAACATTTATTGTAGACAAGGTAGCTTCCGCCTGCGTTATAATATAAAAGAAAGTCGTGTTAGTTACACTATTTATAACTCAGGACCGGCTGAACCGATTTGGCTGAATATTGGTAGGGAGATAGCTAAGAACTGGGAGAAGGACATAGGATAGGGTAAGTAGGGTAGGGTTCCCCGAGGGGGGTGCGTCTCCATGAGGATTTTCCAACCCGATACCAAGTAGGTAGTAGTAGGGTAGGGTAGGTAGTGAAGGGTAGAGTAGTTAAGGTAGGGTAGGTAGAGTAGGGTGGCTAGGTAGTGTAGGGTGAGAAGTGTAGGTAGTCAAATGACGGGAGCGAAGCAAGGGGTAGGTACAAGTATAGATTGTGAAAATGACTGAAGTGTATGTATTACCGTGGTCAGGGACGAGCAAGACGCTTTCACATCCGATGTTATCGATGAGGAAGTTGGCGACGACGGGGTCGGCGACGTCGAGCGAGTCCAGGGCAGACACGAAGCTGCCGGCGCGGACGCGGCGCCCGCGGACGTCGTGCACCCGGCCCAGGAACTTGCTGCATGTCACGCCAGGCTTTGGACGGTTGCCGTATACCTACGCCACGGGTAGCAAACTCAACATATATTATTTTATTCGGTTTGATATTTTTTTTTCTTTTATGATATCGGACGGCAAACGGGCTGACCGGAGCCGGGACGGATTACCTGATGGTAAGCAATCAGCGCCATTACGAAAGAGTTACAAGTGCGTTGCCGACCTTTTAGGGATTAGGGATTGGGGGAAGAGAAGGGTTGGGCCTCCTGTAACCTCACTCAAACGGCGAAAAACATCGCTGTGGGCGATTCACACCGGACTTCTGCGAGACCGTGATATAACTCCGGTCCAGCCGACCGATTCATATCGAAGCATGGCTATCCCACACTACTTAAATTCATGGTGAAGTTAAAAAGTTAGGATGATTAAAGTACTAATATTAGGTACTAATTATGACAAATTAGATCTAGATATATGACATAGCTATCGTTAGGCACAAAATTCGACCTTATTCCTCTAACTTAAGTCTGAACTTGAAATATGCCTAACCTGCTCCATTATCTGGAAAAGTTTCCTCATATCATCAGGTGTGTTCACGCAGAAGGACTGGATACTGCCACCAATGATGTGCTCCAGAGCACCGCCCCATTTCTTCTCCTTCACTTTTAAATAGGCACCTGTAGGATAAATTAACTATTAGTTAACAATTTTTATTTTTATTTATTTATTTGTCCATTTATTTCAGGCATCGAAGGCCCATATAAACATATACAATACTATATTTTCTAAAACTTAACAATACTATAAATATATATTACATAATTAACTTATTGATTATTCATTGTTTTATTAATGTACACAAAGTGTCGGCGTCGTGTTTCGCTGACTGGTGTCACGTAGCTGGCCACGAAACCGGCGGTACATAACACCTTTCGGCCAAAACTCGTCTTTGAGGAACTTCTCGAGGTGATGTGTTGGAACCCGCACCACGAACGACTTGAAGTTCGTTTTGTGACGCGGCTCCAACAGCTCGACCCTCAAAGTCCAGTTGGTCTTCACGCGCATATATTCCACGACCTCCTCAACCTTCGTGGAATGATGCAGTCTGGACACGTACAGCAGCGTTGTCGGTACGGCTGGACGCAGCAACATGTTGGGCCCTGCCAATGCGGTACCGCACTGGTTCCGACAAGGAGGCTTCTTCCTTTTCTTCCTCTTCTCCACCTTGATGAAACCATCGCTGTCGCCCGTGTCCTTATCTGGGCACTGCCCTTTCAGAACCTGTTTAGGTTTTGGCAGGCTCCGTTTAACCCCTTTCACTTTATCCGCTACTTTAACCTGCGAGTTTTGTGGCTCAACAGGCTTATTAGCGGCGGTTACAATTGCTGCGTAGGCTCGATTGGGTGTCGTCGAACCTACACACGTCGTCGTCTCCACCGGTGTCGAGGCAGGGACGGCCGCGGCACGCGTTGCAACACGTGCATCCTCGGCAGCTGGTGACGTATTCGAGCCCGCTGACTCGAAACTGCAGATGGAGGCGTCTTGTGCCCCGCGACGTGTGTTCACATTCGCGTTGCTGGGTGACCTACTTGCAGTAATTGCATTGCGCAATGACACTACTTCTGCCCGTAGATCACGGATGGTATTGTTGGACACCTCCAGCTGATGCTGCATCTCGACCTGCTTTTGCTTTAGGAATGTAATATCCTTAAGCAGCCTGGTGACATCTACGTGATCGAACGTGACGGGAGGCAGCTTGTGCAGGTCCTTCGCCACGAATTGAGGCACGTCGTCCGGGTCGATCTCCTTCAACAATGTAATTATGTCTTGGATGCTTTTCTCCGTGCCATCCCTTCGACGAGACGGCATCTGGCTGAGTTTGCCAAGCGTCGTGAACAGCAGCAACTTGGCACTGCATATCTCATCCTCTTTGAAGGATGTTTTGCAGATCTGCAAGATGCTGACCTCGTCCATGTAGTCGATGGCATGTTTGATAAATGCCAAAACTTCATTGGCTATGAGCGTTTGGGTGCTCATAGCGGAAACCGGGCAGCAGCTAAAGCCGCGCAAATCGCGAATATAATATTCAGACGTAGCAGTGCAAAACGCGTCCGTACTCGACCGCGCATCGCAACCGATTGATGACACGACACACGATGACAATGTTACTATTATTCCTGGGATTAAAATTAAAACTCTCTTATGAATACACAGCGAGAGATTTGCACCCGACTTGACGTATGCTACGAAGTCGGAACATAAGCGACATGGCTGACTTCACGTCGTTCAAATCTATTACTACTGTGATTAGTTTTTTTATGTTATAGTTCGGCAAACGAGCAGACGGATTACCTGATGGTAAGCAATCAGCGCCGCCCATGGACGACGCCGACGGAGGAGTTACGAGTGCGTTGCCGACGTTTTAGGGATTAGGGATTTGGGGATTTAGGAACTGGGGTACTGGGGAGGGAATGGGGAAGGGGAAGGATTGGGCCTCCGGTAACCTCACTCACACGGCGAAACACAACACTGTGGTTGTTTCACGCCGGTTTTCTGTGAGGCCTTGGTATCACTCCAGTAGAGCCGACCCATTCGTGCCGAAGCATTGCTCTCCCACGCTCTAAGTTGACTTAAAAATACTTGTATAGACAAAAATACACACAGACTCTACCGGGTTTTGCGCGGATCCGTGGACTCCAGTGGTTGAAATCAGTTTTTTTACTTTGATTGATAAATTCGGGTAATTACAGTATTGTTATTTTTACATAGGATGAGACGTTACAGTAGATACATACCGATGGGTCCCCTAGGCTTCTGTGAGAACTGTCCATTGGCGGCGGCGGCGTTGACTCGCTGAACCAGTTCCACCATGTTAGCGCCGTACACTGCCAGCGAGTCATTGCCCCGGGACTCCAACTCGCGAAGCTGTTGCTTTAGTTGTTCTGACAAAATACAACTATTATTATGATAGTGGCTTTATAATGGTCTAATTAGGTTTTAAAAAAAATCTATATAATTAAAATGTCACAAATCAATCAAAAACCTGAAAAATTGAGAGAGGGATTGAACCTCCTGTAACCTAACTCACACGGCGAAACAAAACGCTGTGGTTGTTTCACGCAGGTTTTCTGTGACGCAATGGTATCACTCTGGTCGAGCCACCCCATTTATGCCGAAGCATGGCTCTCCCACACTTAATCGATTTTATGACCATTTGGAGATAACGTTTAGTATATTTATGATGAAGTGAAATGGCGAGCGCCTGAGTAGATAGTAAGAGTAGTTACGTAGTGATTGGCGTTGGGTCTGCGCGCGGCGGTCGGCCTGCTCGGCCTGGGCCTGCGCGTGCGCGGCGTTGTCCCGCGCCTGCGCGGCCTCGTGCTGCGCCGTGTCGTACCGCGCGCGCGCCGCCGCCGCGCCCTGCGCCGCGCGCTCTGCGGCGCTCGCCAGCTCCGCGCGACGCGACTCCGCCGCACCCGAACTAAAGTAACCGATATAACATGACATGCCTCTTCAATCCCCAAGGAGTTTAGTACAAGTGCATAACATATTCGGAGTCTATTAAGAGACGAACCGATCGCTTAAGCAGCGTGCAGCGCGCAGTGTACAATTGCGTATTTTCCTCGTTCAGAAATAAATTCCTTCAAGATTACAATACCATTAAATACAGTTTTTTTTTTACTAGCCTATATTGTCCCATTGCTGGGCAAAGGCCTCCCCATCTCGCTTCCACACCTCCCTAAAATACACTTATTCTTACACTTACTGAATTAAATACAGTATTCAAAAATAATCGTACTTCATTGATATTCTTTAAATTAGTAAAATTTTAAGAAAAAAGTAGGTACTTATACTGTTTGACTCAAAAATATAATGACGTCACATTTCTTTTTTTCCATAAAACATTTTAGTTTTTGACAATTCAATAAAAGTTTGGTTTGACAATTCAATTTGACTACTTGCCAATATTTTTGTTCTAAACCTCTTGGATTTCGTATGAATTCGACCATTAGGACCAACGCTAATAGCGATTTTTTTGTTACTGCGACTTTTTGATCCTTAGTAGTCAGTTATTGTGCAATAGTGTTGCACTATAAAGTACATTTCGAGCCGCCCAACATATGCGGACCAGCTCCCAATTTTCACATCAAATATAAACTGGTCTACTGTTCATCGCGAATAGTTTCAGTGAGTGAAATGAGGCACATTAACAAAAGTCATAAGCAATGAAGGAGACGATCGTGACTGATTTGTACCAAATAAAAAAATATACCTAATCTTTATTATTGAAATGCCATTTGAAGTACCGTTACAAGTACGTACCCAACTACTGACATAGATAACAATATCTACGAGTCACAAATATTAATAATGCTATGTGGGCTTCCCCCTATTGACGATAACAATATATTGCTTTACTCATCCGAAACGGCTTTACAGACTCTTAACAAATTTCATTATAATAAGCACGATAGGTCTGAAAATCGGCTAGGTACTGGCTATTTTCCATACCCAAAGTCAAAGTCAAAGTCAAAAATCATTTATTCCAATTAGACCTTTACAGGCACTTTTGAACGTCAAACAAAATTTTTTAATAAAATAGTGTCAGTCTGTCGGTCAGTCCTCTTAGAGAAGCTATTTGCTCGTTCCAAAGTGTAGATTCCGATGGAGAAGAACGAGCAAGAAACTCCATGATTACTCTTTTTAAATCAGTTTCACATACAGATTCCTTTTACAAACAAACAAAGGTTCAATTATGTGAGAACAGTGTAACACTAATATTTATTCAAATATAAAAATAAACCAACCTTATGGACAATAGACAGTTGTCGACCCATAAATTTGAGATAAGGGTTGTTCACCCTTAATACAGTTTCGAAATTATTTATATGGCAAAACAATGTTAACAGGGTCATCTAGTAATAGGTACTTATTAATCGTGTGGAGTGTTTATTATATACTCTTTGGTGCTAAGTTAAATCAAAGTTACTTTGCCCGCATTTTTAAAGTTAAAAATTAAAAACTTACCCAATATTCTGTAACTCCCTTTCCAAGTCAGCAATTTTCCTTTTCTCCCTATTTAAGGACTCTGTGCATTTGGCAGCTTCATTCTGTGAGGTACGAAAAGAAGCCTGTATGCTATTCTCTTCAGCTTCTAGTTTACGGAGCTGTTCTTCAAGGCTAGCTTTCTCTGCCGATTTTTCGTTAAGAAAATTTTTCAGCTCACTAAAAGAATATTTCATTGGTATTATAGTTGTTTTGGTATCAATACATACCTAATTATAGTCTTTATAATAGTACATACATATACATAATTGACTATTTATCCCAGATTATTATGTCCTTTGCTTATTTTTTTAATTTTGCCCCACACTAGGATTTTCTCCTGCGTCGCATCATATGCTTGTAAACGCATCCAGCGTTTACAAGTATATGATTTCCATACACAAGACACCCAGACCCGGAACAACAATTTGTTGATCACACAAAGTGTTGTTCCGTGCGGGAATTGAAACTGCGACGACGCTGCGCGGCAGTCCAGCCACCACGGCAACCGTGCAAATTGGCGTGGTGGCTGGGCAATTTATACTATGAGCTTTAACTTTTACATTACCAGAAAATTTAATTACAAAGTTATAACTCAAAACATATAAGTAGTTGAAGATTACAATCAACAAGTTGAAGATTACAAAATTATGACTGCACGGTTGGCTTGGTGGCTGGGCAACTGGCTGCCGCGCAACGTGTCGCGGGTTCGATTCCCGCACGGAAGCACTCTTTGTGTGATCCACCGATTGTTGTTCCGGGTCTGGGTGTGATGGGCATGTGAAATTGTATGTTTGTAAACGCACCCACGACACAGGAGAAAATCCTAGTGGGGTAAATTTCTTTAAAAAAAAACATGATAAAAGAAAAGTATTAACTTACTCGATAGCACTAGTATTACTTCCATAATTCTGTTCCATTTTATTCAGTTTCTCTCTCAGCTTGTCCATTTTAGCTTTCTGTTTGTCATATTGATCTTGTATATTTCTTGCTTCTCTCTCTAACTCGGCAACTTCGCTCCAATAAAATTCGTTTTGTAGAGTTTTTGAGAGTGCTGTGATCTCTTCTCGGGACTTCCACTGATCTAACTGAGCTTGCCTCTTCTTGTATTCGTCTTCCAATTCCACACATGCCTATAAATGGTAATTTTTTTCTTGAATTGATTTATTTTTGTAGATCCTAGCTGATATATGCAACTTAAATAGGAGGGGGAACAATAGCAGTGAATGAGTAATATAACATTAAAGAGTTTCGTGTAGTTATTCTGGATCTGGTTAGCTCTCTAATTTCGCTATTATTTTTGGAGAGCCCGAACCAAGAGCCTTAATTTACAAAATATCATCCATTGCACATTTCTGTTTCTTCTGAACTCAGAATGTAGTTTGTTTTGCATTGAATACCACACTCATTTCCTAAATAGGGTAGTATAATACTAAACTTAAAATAATTAGGGAAAAATTAATGATTATATGTAACAAAAATGAATTATTCATAGGTTTTTGTAATTCACATCCAAGTCACGGACAATTTATTTTCTAACTAGCTACTCTCATGCGGTTTTACAGGTCTACTCGGGTCAATTTTACCATAGCATGATGTTTTAAAGCCAGCCTTCTTCAATGAATGTTCTAACAACCACAAAAACAATTTTTCAATTCTAGCCAGTAGCTCCAGAGGTTATCTCGTTCAAAAAACAAACTCTACAGCTTTATAATATTAGTATACTTGACATGACTCATCTGGCATTCAACAGGATAGAAATGATAAAAATAATGAACAATCACATGGATACTCACTTCATGTTTCCTCTTCCAAACTGCTCTTGCCCTGTTACAGTTTCCCAGAGCTATTTTATAATTATTCTCTGTGACTTCAAAATTTGTTGCTTTACGAAACAATCCAAATTTTTTTTTCGGGTCTGATGCATGAAAACTTCTTGCATCATCCTGGTTTAGCACTGATATTGGGTTGTCTACTTGTATGTCATGTGCAAGTGTAATAGCATTTACATCTTCATATTTCGTTGAAATTATTTCTCCTAGAAAAAACATTGTTTTTATGAATGGTATATATCATATAATTATCATGTAACTAAGTAATTGACACTTGAAATTACATTAGATTATTGTAGGTATACTGAATAAAGTTTTAAATTAATAACAAGCACTATATACAAACAAACAAACACTATTAACATAATGTGACATATGTCACATTATGTTAATATTTACTCACTTGAGATATTCAACTAAGGTTAGCAAAAGTTATTAAAAATCATTGCAAGTTTTCATAAATATGTACTTGATACTGTCTGATACCTAAGTACTATGGAGTTGCATTAAGTTAATAAAATGAAATGAGAACATACCAGAAGCTGACTTAATCTTGTAACTGGAACCACCTGAAGCATTGATGTGCCTCACAATTGTAATGTAATCACCATAAATATCATGCTTGTATGCTTGTGGACTGTTGTTCTTGATTTTTATCTCAATTGTTGCTGAATTGGCACCCTTCTTGATAAATGCTGCAAAGTTAAACATCAAATATAGCCATTTTGAATGTTATTCATTACATTGTACTTGTGTAACTTACAAGTGGCAAGCAAAATAAAATAGTTTTGGTCTATGGGTATCCTTGGGAGAGTTTTTGACTTATAGATTTGTTGTTGTTAAATACATGCATAACACGAAAACTGAATAATATCTTTAACAATGTAAACTAACAAAATTTAACATGAAACAACAAAATGAACTTAAAGAAACTTACAGCGTAGATTTCTTCCACGGTTAGTATCGGATGCCCTTCCACCTAAACCGACTACTAGAGCAGTTAAGATTGCACTTTTGCCACTACCATTACGACCCACAATAAAAGTAACGTTTTTGTTCAAATTAACTTCCAAATTATCATGACAAAAAAAGTTACGAACATGTACACTAACTATAGAGCCGTCTATATCTACATCCATTTCTGAACTTTCTATGTCCATTCTGATGGAATTTTATACTGCCAGAGCAGTGTATCAAAACTTTTACATTAAAATTTGCTTGAGTACTATTTTGGCAAAGTTTGAGCGCGCCGACTGTAGTGGAAGTGTTGATAACAAATTGTATGTACCAAACATGTATCGAAAGATAATTTCTGTCAAAAATGACAGCGCCAGTTCATGTCATTGATGTCATTGTCATTCTTTAGAGGTAGGTACACCAAATTTTCTACTGTTTAGATTGGTACTTTTTTCAAAAATCGAAATCACTTTGAATTCCTAAAGTTGCATATAAATTGTAACTTTAATGCTGCAGCCGTGTGAGCTAGGTTACTACAGGTCCACTCCGTCCATCTCTCTTCCTTCCACATTGCTTTGCTGGTGATCATGGGCGGCGTGGATAGCTTACCATCATTAATCGGTCTGCGCAAAAAATATATATCGTTCTGATTCCTACTCAGAACTATTCTTTATGTGATCCGTACTGGGTATGATTTGTATGCGAAATTGACGAATCCAATAATTAAATCTGTTCAAGTTTACAACCCATTATATCAAGCATACCATACCTATAAGTTAATGATTACATTACAACATTGTAAACAAATACATAAGGCTATCATCATAATATAAATAGATAGTGAGAAATTATTTTACAGTAGTTTTAAGTTACATTGCTGCGCCCTAACAGAAATGTAACTTCATTTCCGGAATTCTCTTCTTTAGAAATGTGCAATATGCAAAAGTAAACAAATTAATTTAAAATAACCAAATTAAATCTCTCAAGTGGTTGCTTTATATTGGTAGAAATGAAACTCTAAACATTGCAACATTTTTTGAAAACGCCATTTTTTACGTTACGAAAATCACGAGAAATTGCGATTGTTGTTAATGTTAACGATAAAAATCGATTGTGGTGGTTCCTTGTTATTACAATTGCCGTAATATTAATTACATGTGCTAAACATCAACGTAGCTACTGACTCAAATATCAATATCAAGGTAAACAACTTTCCTTTTAATGAACGTTATTGAATTACCTTACGAATTTATTGTTTTTTTCTGTTGAGCCATGTGTTTCTTCTGTAATTTGCATTGTTGTGACGGACTTAGAGTACATTTTTGTTGCTTATGTTTGCTTAGCATTCAATTATGGATTCAATATTGTTCTTGATTTACAACACACCCAGTTCTGTTTTTATTAAGAGGGTAAACAAAACAGTTTGTACTAACAATAATCGCCTAGTAGGTTAGATGCTCTGATAACCCGATAGCGAACTAGAGTACATTCTAGATACTATTAATTTATGCAAAAAGTATTGATAATTGAAGGGTACCTTCCTTATTGCAGTTATCAAAATGAGTGATTCTCCTGATCAACCTGAACCCCCAAAGGACGTAAGTACGATTTATTATTATATTTACTATTAAACGGTTGTCATATGCTGATATTTCTGGTCAGTGGGTCGTCTTAGGGTCTTTTTTGTATTTTTTTTGCCAAATCATTACTTAATCACACAATGCATATCTACCTACAACTGTATGATTAAGAATTTGATATAAACATTGAAACTGTATTAAAAAAATATCAGAAGTTCATAAGGTTTTAACTAACTACTGCCAGATTATATTCTCAAGTTCAGAAACAAAAAATTTAGAGGCTTTATGATCACCTGAAATAAGTTTAGTAGCAATATTTAGTAGTACCTTTTGATTATTCAAATTAATAATTTGGAATCAAGACACCTGCTATTCAAGCTCTTGCTGACAGTGAGTTCTAAGCCACACATTTCCTGAGGACTGAGGAAGACAATATTGCTGGATTTTCCTTTTTGTACTAGTGAATTATCCTGGTAATGTTAATAAAAAGATGCTTACCTACATGGTACATTCAGGTGCTATATTTCTGTACAATCCTCATTAGTGTTGACATTATAGTATGTGATAGCAAATCCATCAAATATAAATCAAGAAAACATACTGAGCCAAGCCCAAGTAGTTACGTACCTAGGTTTCTGAATATAACAGCTTTTAGTAGCCCATAAAGGGATTTCAGTAGTTACTTGAGTGCATCAGATTAACATTAATTGGGAATATTTAGTATCCTGTTGTTCAATGTTGAATATACCATGATGGGTGATAATCAAAAGAAAAAGCTTAATACAGTTTTTTTTGTCAGATTGAGAAAAGACAGGTAGATTTAATGCTAAAGAAAGTGCATTTAAAACTTGTGCCACTTTTATAGTGGTTTACACAGTGGTAGAGTTCCCGTTTGCATCCCCTCGGTTGGTCTACCCCACCATGCAATTAGGCAGATAAAAATCTTTTTGTTATTAGAGATACACAGAGTATACTCTATCAATATCTGTCACACCTGTGCAAAATTTTGTAAAAAGTTGATCCACCTTCACCCACCTGGGAATGAAATGTGAATAAACCATTTTTTCCTTTCTATCACCAAATCTTCAAAATCCAGTTGCTCCGAGTAACTACAAATGTACCATGTTGGGCTCTCCTACTATTTCTTATATAAATTAACTGGGAAAAACTAACAGTTGCAAGTAACTAAGCAGGACTCTTATTCATAAACAGCGTGCTTGTAACGGTAATGTAATTCTACTGCAGAGATCACGGAGTGGCTGGCCAACCGATTGTCGTGCAATGTGGCGCGGGTTCGACTCCCGCACGGAACAACTCTTTGTGTGACCCACAAATTGTTCTTTCAGGTCTGGGTGTGATGTGTATGTGAAATTGAATGTTTGGAAACGCACCCACGACATAGCTGAAGTCTTAGTGTGGGGCAACGTTTTATAATCAAGAAACGAAATGTATAAGTCATAATTTTAATAAATTTAGGTAATATTAGCAATCAAAACTTTTGTGTTTTTTTATTACAGCCCAAAGAATTGGAAAAATTAGAGGAAGCAAAGTTGAAGGCAAAGTTCCCTAATGCCATGCTTGGAAGAGGACCAGGTGGCCACTCAGCATTCCTGCAGAAGAGGCTAGCTAAAGGGGTCAGTACCATGGCAAATTTTTACTTCACTAAAACTTTCATTTCAATAACCTTGGCTTATGATTTATAATTACAAAATTTCAGCAAAAGTTCTTTGATTCTGGAGATTATCAAATGGCGAAACAGAGGCCGAGCAATCTGGCTCAACCATTCAAGGCTCCTGCTGCCCCTGCTAAGCTGCCGACTGGTGATGCCATCCCCACACCTGAAACCGTCCCGCTGCGCAAGACGTCCATCATCCAGCCCAAGTTCCAGGCACCCAGTCAGACTTCCTAGCCCACAGTGCCTGTTGTTGACATTCGGCCGTGTCACTAACTAATATTCCAGAAGGCCTGTACAATGTTCTCTTCTACAATCATTATAAATGTGGCTTCACTAGGTAATATATGCAAATGACTGTTTACACATTCCCAGTCACAGCTCTATTGATTATATGAGCATACCATTTATTTGCATGCATTGTTTTCTTAGTGGGGCCTAGAACAGAATAAAATTTCTATTAATAATCTGTTGTAGAAAGTCATTGTATTTTAGGGCACATTTTTATTTTGCAAGTAATGCGTCGCACTCGGCATCGCTTTTATTTTTATATAAATGTTCACTTACAATAATGTTGCATTAATTCATTTCTCATCACATAACATTTTTCTTAGCACCTTGATTGATAGATAATCTACATTGTGATTCGTAATTAGTCTGTGTTGAAATTTAAACAAAACTTTTATAAGAACAGCTGTTATATTGATGTATAATAAAATTAATAAATTAGTGTTAGTGTTGTGTGTTAAGGATGCGTGTGAATTATGTTCGAATGATACTTGTTCATCTTTAGCCAGTGGTTTAGACAGTGTTGTCACTTGCCAAACATGCCTGTAAACAGGTGATGTTTGTGGTACACTACTCATACGCTTCATGCTGCACTGTATTTGACTTTTGGGAAAGTGACGATTGCATGATCTTGCCTTAAGTATCTGCAAGGTCTATTCTATCTAAAATAAAAAAGTAAAAATAACTTTCATAAAATATTTATTCTTGATCATCCAGTGATAAGTAATAAAATATGGCTGACATGTAGATTAACATCAAATGCATCACAACTGGCTATGTTACTTGTTAACATAAAATTATTCCAGCTAATATTAGTACTAGTAGTTCAATGTTAGATTGGTTAAATCAAGTTTGTTCGACGGTAATGGCCAGATATATAGATATGTCTTTTTTAGATATAAATATTTGCTGTAGAACACATTGTCATCACTTTCTTGAACCAGTAATGTACATAATGTGTCAGTTATACAAAGAAATAATGATCCTTTAGAAATAGATATGAATCATGTTATATCAATATATTCACATAATTATGTATCCAGTAATGTTTCAATGTGATGGCAGTAGAGACTGTATATATGCCATAGTACTGAGTAAATAAGAGGGTAAAATACATGAATAAGGATTAAAATAAGACATTGGACTTGAGATCTGCTCTCTAGTGCGCTAAACACAAGACAAGAGCATAAAACCATTTGGGCAAGTGTTTTATTTTTATACATGTGGCTCATTTGCGCATTTTTTGTATGTGTTTAGTACATTTTAGGAGCCTAGATACAACATTGTTTTATACCAGTACTTTGTTTTCGCCGCTAAGCTCCTAGAATGCGCTTAAACTTCATGGTGTGATTGTCGTCGACAATCTCTTTAGTTTTCATGTTTTACTCACGTAATATTGATGTTCGTCTATAAAATAGATTGTTAAGCAGTCTGTATTGCGTGTCAATAGCCGGGACGTACAAACCACATGAATAACGATCGCACGAGAGTGATAAGTGAATGGTATGGATTAAGGGAATGTTGAAAAGATAGCTACTATTAAATATAAAATAAATTCTTGGTAAAAAAAGCGGACTTTTATTCAGACAGTGCGTGTTTTTGGTAATAATGTTTATACCATCGTAACATAACATATTCGAGTAAACAATGTTAACAAAATGAGATTAAAAAATACAAAAATAAATGGCACATGTTAAATAAAAAAAGTTATCAACCGAGGGTACATCATCATCATAACACCACTTGACATCTCCTTTGGAATTCCTTTCACGGTGTTTTTAATCCAGTCCTGTTAACATATTTTGTTCCATCTTCATTTATCTGTCAGTGTTATATCTGACTACTCTCTGAAAAAAAGCAGAAAATAGCCTATTATTATGCTGGATGCCTCAATCGGGAAATACCCAACAGGCAAAGACTTCTAGACTTTGAGGGTATCTATGGAAGTGATGCAATAAAAAAATACATATACCTATGCACCCTAACTATTATTTCAAAATTTGTTCCGTAGATAGAAGATTTGTTAATATTATGATAAAAGTATGTAGCTAGTTACCTGGATTCCAATGCACATAGTCAGGGGTAGCTGCAGCCTGGTACTCCTGGACGAGGTCGTCAACAACTCCACGAGATTCATCAAATTCCTCCAAAGATTCTTTGAACATCGGTTCCTTGCGGAACACCTCCAAGAAAGCCTCGCGCTTACGCAGCTTGTCGAACTGCTGTAGACATCTGTCAAACAACTGAAACAAATAATTATTATTGTTATGTATCTGTCTACCCAAGAACAGGTGTGATGATTTTAAATATACCTAAGAATAAAACACTTACTGATGATATGTTGGTGTGATTCGCAAGAAGGAGCCCTGAAACTTTGTGGGACGCGTGAACATAGGGCGACCGGCGGGACAAGGCAACTTGTATAGACGCTGGCCCCCAGGGAATGAAAGAGGCTAGTTTTCGTTCTCGTATGCGTTGCAGGGACTTATGTACTTGTGATGGATCTACTTCTCCCTGAAACACGGAAGTATAATAATATTTTTTGTGACCGAAACAAAGTAAAAATATTTTACCTTGTAAAGTAAATGGTCACCTGTATAATATTCAGAATTGATATGTAGCAGTGTTGATTCGTTCTGTCCGGACTGAGCGAAACCATCATATTCTTTGGTTGAAGCAGCCTTTGCATTACGTCGAGTACTGTGGTTTTTCGGATTTTCGGCGCCTAGAAATAAAAAAAATATCAGGTATTTCGTCCGAATGTTACAAAGCAACGAAGCCATCATCATCATCATCCCTATCTAGTGCGGTTTTCACAAGTTGATAGAATGAACTCTGAGGAGAATTCCTGAAAGTTTTAATGCCATAGACTACATTTGCTATATATTTAAAGCAATTCCGTTATATGACGCGTCTATTTATAATATCGCATAAAAAAACTCGATATCAATATAATTTGAAACTTATGACTCACGGTATTGAGTTCATGGTCGGCGGTCAGCGGCGTGTACCCAGTCATGAGGAAGTGCAGTCTGGGCGTCGGAATCAATGGCGCGACCAGACTGATCAGGTCGTTGTTCATGTACGACGGGTACCTGTGAAATAAACATAATATATTTAACTAGTTAGTTATTACGTCAAAAATTACGAAAGAGATTTAAAAGGAACCATACAAATTATAAATCTTATAGGAACCTTCATTGAAGCTACCTATTTTATGTTGTCGTACCGAGTATTGGTATCGGCGAAATGGTGAGTATGTATTACATACTCACCATGTCATTACATACTATGTAATGACATAAAGTAAATGCGCCGAAAATCAAATGTGTGTGCATCTTTTCGCAAACTCTAAAAATGCTGAACAGTTTATATGTCTTCTATTCGTGAAAATTTGGTATTTTACGGTTGGACAGCTCGACTGAAATAAAACATGATATAAGTATTTACCTCAATGTAGCAGTACTGGCACTCATGATAGTAGAGACGAGGGTGTTTATCTGTGCAAATGATGGGTTCTGTATGTGTAGACGGTCGCTGGCGATGCGATTCAGCGCTGTGTTATCCAGCACCATTACGCAGTCAGCGCTTTCTGTTAAGCGCTTCAATGTCAGCAGGGAGTTGTATGGCTGGACCACTACGTCACTAGGAAGGGATAGAAAAAATATTATTTAAAATGCTTATATTTTTTAACTACATCATTTAACTGCTTGCTGTTATCAATCGCACTTCGTAACGTGACCTCCAAACGATGAGTATCGGATATCCAACTCGACTAAGTGTCATACAGATTGAAAAGAGGCTGAATTTGTACCTCGTGAAAAATGCCAATAGATAAATAAAAAAATTATTATTAAAAAAACAAAATACCCGACTGCACACTAAAAAAAGAGTAAAACAAGCCCCACAATACAAATTTACTGAATATAATTTATAAATGTTGATGGAAAGCATCGCAGGCGGGGACCAACAGAGGCTTATTTATAGTCATTTCAGTTGTGCACCATTTAGCAGAATTTTCGTTGGTGGCGGTCAAGGTGGTCCCCGCCTGCGATGCTTTCCATCAACATTTATAAATTATATTCAGTAAATTTGTATTGTGGGGCTTGTTTTACTCTTTTTTTAGTGTGCAGTCGGGTATTTTGTTTTTTTAATAATAATTTTTTTATTTATAACTTTTTAGCTGTTTTTATTTTTTTATTAATAATTATTATTATATTATTAATTAATTATGAAGAATTTAAGAAAGAACCAAAAAAAAGAACGGAAGAACGAGTTAATTAATTAGAAAGAACGAATAAATTTAAAGAGAGAAACACGAAAGAAAAAGAACGAGTTATTTATACTTTATAAGTTTCGCGTCAGACGACGAAGTATCGAAAAAATCGCTATTTAGAGACGACCGTCAACGACGTGTGCCCTTATGCGTGTGCCCGCATTCGGGCTGTATACTCGAGCATATCCCCCTCCGCACCGCGCCGCGCGCCGCATGCCAGGCCACGCCCTATCTTTTTGCTTGCTAACCATCGATCACTAATAAAGAACTAGATACACAATCAGTGGCAAAAAAATGTCCCAACTGAAAGTCCACCAAACTCAACATCGCGGTGTAGTTTTAGTTTAGTACCACTCGAATGCTCCGACGGTAAACACGCCTCAGTGCTCGTTAAAAAACTGCAAAAACACACACATCTAAGATGCAAAAAAGGATGGAATTTCATATTTTCGTTTAGTCATAATATTATCATTATATAATTGTCATCATTCTATTTTAAATATTGATATTTTATTAAGAAATTAACTTTAAAACTTTTTCCAAATGAAATCGTATTCAAAAACCGGGGTTATAATGCACACAGTTTATAAAGACACTTATACTAAACGTAAAATCATTCTCTAGCATGACCACTTAAGTTGTTCGGTTTACGTGGATTGATTCTGTTCCGTTTAGCGGAGACGCTATTGTTCCTAATTTTATATATTGTTTTTTTTTATTAAAAAATAGTTTTTATTTAATATTATAATTCTTTACTGTGTTTATTAAAATATGGAATAGGCAGATATAATGGATTTAATTTTAACTGCAGTAAAGACATTTTTTTTAGCTTTCATCAAAATCCCGTGCGATATGAAAAATTTACAACAATAACGCCAACATTTTCAGTACTTACTTTAGATATATATTCTTTTTATTATTTTACATCTTTTTTATTTGACTTCGAATAGAAAGGATTAAGGAGGACGAAAATAAAAAAAAAGAATTATAACTATATGCATTAGTTTAATTGGTAAATAAATGAACAAACCTATAGAAAAGAATACTATAAGTAATGCGTTTTAATTTGCGTATTTTCTAAAGAAATATTATAAAGAAATATATTTCTTACGAGACATTTCGACTCCAATCATTCTTTGTCCTAGCGGTGAGCCGAAGTCGTTAAATTTTATTGCTTATTTTTGACACTTTGTAAATTCGACTTAAAAACATGCGAATATGGTTCAATTTCTTATGATTTGTGTTTGTCAAGAGCTTCGGTCGCAAAAAGTATTAAGATTTTGTACATCACTTTGTAAAAACAACTCTATGAGTTGCATTTAAGGTTTAATTTACATTAATGCATTTTTATTTCAAGTATAAGTACCTAAATACAGTTGGCGACAGTTTTGAAGCGAACTTTTGTATGGGATTGTGTATCTAGTTCTTTATTAGTGATCGATGTTGCTAACGCATGAGTTGCTTTGCGTTGACGCAGAATTAACATGTTCCCGTGGGAATTTTGAGAAAAAACGTATCCTATATTAATTACTCCCGTGATTGAAATGAATCTAATGATACCGCATACATATTTTTTTAAAGGGAAATTTAGAAAAAATATTATTATGTCTTTATCCCGTGGGACTTTTAGGATAAAATGTATCCTATGACACTCCCGTAATCAAGACAAATCTAACGATACCTCATACATCAAAATCCATCAAGCCGTTTAGGCTACAGGAGGTCACAAAGGAACAGACATACATACATACTTACATACACTCGAAAAACATTACCCTCCTTCTTTGGCAGTCGGGTAAAAACTACTCCCTATTATAGGTACTTAAAAATACCCCGCCCATGGACACCACCACCGCAACACCAAAAAAGTTACGAGTGCACTGACGGACTTTTGGTGATTATGGTTTCCGAGATTCATGAATCAGGGAGGGATAGGGGGAGGGGAAGGATTGGGCCTTCGGTAACCTCACTCACACGTCGAAACACAACGCTGTAGATGTTTTATGCCGGTTTTCTGTGGGGCCGTGGTATCACTCCGATTCAGCCGAAGCTTGGCTCTCCCACACTTAAGTCTAAGTAATAAGGTAGGTACCTTATTTTCACTGTGGGGATGGAACTTTTAACAACTTGTGAAACATTTATGTAATGGGCATATCTGTAGTAACTTTTTCGACTTATCTTAGTGTGTACCAAAATTCATGTTAAGAGCCACATAAATGAACAATGAAAAATGAACAACACAATTTTTTAACAATTCATATAAGCCATAACAGCCATGACATTGGAATGTTCCTTAACAATCGTCGTTGACCTAGCATCGCGTGACTAGATCAATTCCTTCATTGAAACCACGTTAAATAGACGTTTTTTACTCTTTTCCAATTAACTTTGGCAATGAACCAAGCACATCAAGATTGATTTTCGTTTTAAATGTTCATCTTCATTTTTTTCCACTTATGCTTGACTGCAAACCCACCTGATAGTAAGCAGTGGTGCAATCGTTGATGGTATGGCACACTGGTTTATTAAGAGCCTATTCAATCTATGATTGCAACATGATGTTTCTAGCAAACACTACTTATAGCATCTTACTTTAGCACTGTACCATACTAGTACACTACAGTATCATCTTACCATCTCAATATTATAAAAATATTCAGAAACATTCACTATGGCAGGATCCAATTAGACTTGCCTAGTAGTTGATAATGTTGGGGTGCTTTGCATGAGGTAATTTTTGTATACTACAGATGCAGTCTTTACAGTACACACTAATTATCAAGATAAGATGAGCAAACTTATCAACATTTACAAGACTATCAAAATTCTCATCATTATATACCTGATTTCATCCAAGTTGGGGAAAACACTGTAAGTCTGCACAAGCTTCTTGGGGAACCTGTCTGACAAGTGTTCCAATATGTAGGAACCCATGCCTGAACCTGTTCCACCAGCTATTGAGTGGCACAGCACAAAACCCTGCAAAAAAATATATATAAAATTGTATTTCAGTTTATTATACCTTAGAAATAGATGTAAATGGCTAAAGTTAAATAATTATTTTAGTGTATACTGCACACACTATTATGTTATTTATAAATATTTTTAGGTTTTGGATCTTTTTTTATCTACATCCTGAATTATTGTAATTTAAATTTATTATAAATCATTAAAGTGGGATATACATTAAGAAATTTTCAACTATTAGGTAGGAGAGAATGACAAATAGAATATTTATCACATATATATATAATTAGAAATGAAAAGCATAGCCCATGACAAATTCAAAACAACTTTGTGACTATCAAATCTCCCTCATCCCCAGAGGCAGTGACGGTATATCAAAAAGTTTCTTCATCTTTTAAGGCTGCATATCGTTTCATATGTTGTAGACTCCAGTTAAAATACTTCTATGATGTTAACTACATTGTAGAATACCAAAACCTGCAGCTATGGACTTACCTCCAAGTTATCGCTGCCGTCAGCCTCTCTGTTTATGATATCAAACACTTCTTCATTCAGTTTCTCACCCTGAGCATATCCTGATGCCCAGTTGTTACCAGCACCTCCCCCATGTTTTGAGAGATAAACGTTTTCTGGGTTGTATAACTGAAAATATAATACTGTTAAGGAGTTATCCAATACTTTGTAGGAATCGTAATATTTGGGATTTGATGAATAAAGTTCAAAGAGTGAAATAAATTTGTGAAAATTACTAGGACCAATAAAACATGTCTGGTGGTCAGAAACTAGTAATTATTGCTAAAAGATACCATACCTTAGCATATGGCGAGTTCATAATCGTATGTATGACACGAGGCTCCAAATCCAATAAAACGGCGCGAGGAATGTAATGATCATCGTCGGCTTGATAAAAGAATACATCTTTTCTATCTGAACCCGCCGAAGCATATTCCTCGAGTATTCCCTCAGGAGATATACCGTGTTCTATACACAACTGTTTCCAAAATTCGAAACCAACTGTTAACAAATAATTAATTGTTGTTATGTACCCTTGAAACAAATTTAAAATAACCGATTAAAACATATTAATCTGACTATGTTTTACTTACTTTGATTACCGCATTGGCCGAGTTGTAATGTTATCATTTCACTCGGCATTTTGAAGTATTTTGTTTACTAGTTTTAACAATAAATTAACCTTTGTTTAGGCCGTTTATTTTTAAAAACAATTTAATAAACAAATCCATGAGCCGCTGTCGCCCATTACCGAATCATAAACTTGTTGTCAATTACACTCCTAATATGAAATGTCAATTGATATTGAGAATACGACAAACGCTATTGGCTATAAAAATTTGACACCTTGTATTTAACCAATGAAATGAACACGAAAGCTGAGTGTTGAACTCACCAATACTGATCACACTATAACTTTCGGTACGTTCAAAATATTCGAAACAATTATTTATATATATTTTTGAAATCTGTTCCAATCAAACTATACATTTCCATTACAGCAGTTTTTGCTAAATTTAATTTTTTATTTTCTTAAAACGTATAAAAATCTTACGACTTTTAACCGTTGTATCAGAAGATTGGATAAAAGTGAACGTTACCTAACTTAAACTTGAGAAACAATGAGGAAACATGATGAAATGTCAAACCAAACTTCAAAGTTTCCAAAAAAGTTTTGTAACTTTAGAATCTAATCTAAACTTTAGATTTGTTTTTATTTTACTCGGTACAATATATGTAATAATTAAAGTAAAGTTTACTCATTAATTATTACATGTTGTTAATATATTAAACGTGCATTTCATTCATAATCTTCTTTATAAATATTGTTCAAGGTATGAGCCGTGGTCATAGTTGATGGCCTTCGATTAACATATTTCTCAACTTTGTTATACACAGCCTACGATGTCAGAAGTTTAATGAGATATTGTTGACTCGTCGTAGGCGTGACTTTCATAACCACAAGGTTCTCAAATGCTTCTATTTGCTGATAATCAAATAAAATCTTAGTGTATATTTTTGTTAAGTTGTGGTGTGTAAAGAAAAACTTCCTGTGTACTTAATTAATTATATAACACAGACGTTACAAACGCTTACGCTAATAGCTATACCTCCTTTTAAAGTGGTCAATATTTTATCAGGTACTAGTAATTCTAATTGATTAGTATTTTGCTCTGTGTGTGTAAGTGTTAGGTAATTTAGAAGTGAATTAGTGTGCTGAAGTGACCCAAAATGCCGCGCAAATTACTCAAGTTCCTCATAGTATTTGATAACACTTCATTGTTATATTTTCCTGGGCAATTCTTGTCTGGGAAAGTTTTAATGGAATTGCAAGATGACACACCGGTGTTAGGTAAGTCCATTGTTATAATAATAATAATAATTATTATAAAGATTTTTCTTAGCTGCATAACTTAAATGTTACAGAAGTTTCCAAGGAAAATTAGAAGAAAGTAATACCTTTTTTGTTTTTAAATGGTAATATATGATTAATTTTATTGGCCATTGGATCCGAAAGCATTTTTCATGTTTCCGGGACACCATTTGTATAATATAATAGAAAAAGTATTTTTAATGTTGGTCTAAGTTAATGTAGGTGGCTGAGAACAGAAACAGGCTTGTAATAAAAATAAAAGTCTGCTCTTGAAATAAGACCAATAAAAACATAAAAAGATGTTGAAAGTAATGCAGACTTTATTGACTTTAAAACCAGTCATACGTAAAAATCTATCTAAGCCAACTTGCATGTGTGTTATGTCTATTTGACGATTGATATTACTTTCTACTTTATTTATTTTACCTACTTTCTTATATGTACAATTGTATTTGTATGACTAACTGAATAACTGAAGAATTGTAATTTCCTATTTTTGAACTGCCAGATATGTCTATGTAAGAGGGTTTTATCATAGTTAATAATAAATTAAAAATGTATTTTTAGGTCTTCACTTCCATGTGATTGGTGAGGGTGTTGTGCGAGTTGGGTCAGGCAGACACGAAAGGCTATTTGATAAAGAAAACTACATAGATTTCAGAATGAGACTACTTGGAGAACCAGGTATTTTTTTTTTTTTTTTTTTTTTTTTTTTTTTTTTTTCTTTTTTTTTTTTTTTTTTGATAATATTAATAATTTTATTATGTTCCTCCACATAAGGATTTTGTGCTCTATATAGTTCGTTCCATAATTAGAGACAACGATTTGACGTTTCGAGTGTTGCAAGTTTTTTCCATTTCATAAATAGTGAAGTCCCGCGACCGATATTGACCGAAAGACCGAAATTAAATTCTGGACTTCGTGCAATTTAAAAGCTTTATTATTTTTAGCTACTTTCCCTGGTACCGTCCTGCGCCCATACTAACTCAGTCGTGTTAAAATCACAATGGTAAGGAGGCAACCGTAAATAAGTGACCCCCCTTTTAGCAGCCATCAGTCCACGACGTATTGTCCATAATTACTGTTCTCTTTCCGGGAAATCTCCAACAGCTCTGCTTTCAGCATAGGTTCCTCAAATATAATGTTTTTCTTTTAGCCAGTCTTGGATTTCGCATTTTTATTTTAAATTATTATTATTTAATTCGACTTAACTATAAAAACATCACCGCAACTGTTTTATTTTGCTCTGGGTATTTTATAAAAAAAACGGTATCGGTATTTTATTTAAAACATCGTACTCGGGCCCATCACTATGTTGAAAAATCTGGCCACTTTATTTTGTAGTTTGACATTTGCTGTTGTCAAATTGTTGTCTCTAATTATGGAACGAACTATAGTACATGCATTTCCAAACATCTACATTACACCTAGGCACAGAACAACTGTTTGTAGTTTTATCAGTTAAGGTACTAATAAATTCGAATTTCATTTCATCAATAGGTCATCTATTGTTTAAAACTGCACCAACCACCTAAAGCCCGGTTTCCACCGCGAGCGGAACGGACCCATTAATGACTTCGTTAAACTCGCAAACGCAAACTGCATACTTGTATTTCCACCAACAAATAGTCGAACGGAAAGAGACGAGCGTGTAGAAAAAGTAGAAATGATTTCTCTATCCCAGTTTCATTTTGCAGTGGAAATCAAATGACCATCTCTTCGATGGTGGAAACGCAAACCTCTTTCATTAAAAGGGAGTCCGTTCCGCCTAACCATTTTCCGCACATTACCCTTTCGCAGTGGAAACCGGGCTTTAGCCTCACCAACTAGATGACAGAGGAACTAGACTTCGTTTAATATGCATTCTGAAATTGAAGAGAGACGATGAACTGCAGTTTTTCAGCATTGACCATGTAGACTAGTGTCTCTCTGGGCATAAATGCTACCCCAATCTAACATTCTCTTTATAGAGGTCTGGATCTAGACAAGTCTGCATCAACTCTCGATGAAAATTTCCCCAGAAATGTTAGCTTGGCCGATATAAGAGGTGTCGCCCTTGCTATAATCTGCATAACAATAGATCCTACTGATTTGCAATGTCATTGATATGGAGGTGGAACAAGGTGGTCCATAGCATGCAGCCTTGAGCGACATCAGCGTTCACAAACAAGGAGTCCAGGGCATTGGCCGTCGACGCGAAGAAGGTCTAAGCCAAACCCGATCGAAGGCATTCACTACGTCCAAACCGACAGACATCACTTTCCCCTGTAAAAAATCTATCGATCGCCTATGCCCAACTGTGTTTAGGGTAGAAGGACTAGAATATCACCAGCAGACCAACCCTTACGGTTTGTTAACCATTGCCCACTTAAGCCAATGATCTTCCTAGTACGTAGCTGGCAGGCTATCGGGCATAATAATGGACTCCAGAAGAGAGAAGTTCTGGCTATAGGTCTGTAGATGGACGGAGTTGTACGATCCCTTTTTGGAGGTATTGATAACAACAGTAAACTGCCGAATACAACGTAATATAGAAATATTCTTAGTAATTTGCTAAGGGGGAATGAAAAATGAAACCTTTCCAAATCCCCAGGTCACAGCACGTCAGTCCTATCGCCTGGTATACACAGCTTTCCATTCAAGCTGGGCCTGCCGATGGGTCTGCCTTCCACGTTCCTCGGTACTCATGGTTGGGTCCAGTACTACTGCAAGGCAGCGCTTAGGGAACCCAATGGCCTCACACACAAGAACCAACAAGTCTTCATTGTGATGAACCCCATCGACCTCAATTTGGAACCACCGGTTTTGTCTGTGAGTAATTTATAAATGTTTTGCGTTTGGTATAAACTGTACCTAATAGTTACTGAATTTAGAAACGAAGACAGTCACGTATAAGATTTTAAAACCGTTTCTCTATCCCAATATAATTTAATTTAAATCCAACCTGATGAACGTATATTCTATGCGTACCTAAAGCAACACTGTCATAAAAGGGTAGTTTCCAACTATAGTCAGACTTTTAATTCGATTCCTGATTTGACATGACCTATTGTCATTTTGTGAAATAATGATACCAAATATAACAATGTAGTGATGAACACAAAAATCGATAAACAATCAGTGAATCAGTTTCAGGAAGGCATTCAAAAAATTACGGCTACCGAATGGTCTAAATGTCTATCCCATGTTTTCAAAGAAGACGAAAAAATGAGTAAGCTAGATATGTTAATTGACAATAAATATCAAAGACACAATTCATAATAATTGTTACATGGAGTAACGGCGATAGCGATAGCGATGACGGCGACAATTTATAAAATGTCTGTTTTATTTGTCACGTTCCTTCATGATCACATTTTTTATTAATTTCACACACAATTACAAAAGAAAAGTCTCAGATCGTTAATTAATTGTCAAAACTAAATTATCGGTTCAGAAATATTTTATTTCCTGATAAACTTAGTTTACGAGAGTAAATTTATAAACGAGAGGAATCGATTCAGAAAAAATCGATTTCCACATCGAATAATTTCGCAACGTCACTATTTATTACGTGTCATAACGTTGCAACACTGAAATTGTCAAATCTGGAATGGAATTAAAAGTCCGAGTATAGACACTCAATTCTTTCCCAAAATGTCAATTAAGTACTTTCTAAGAAATAGCATATTTTACCGTCATACTTTTTACGTAAGTACTTACTACTACTAGTACTACCTACTTAGGTATTTCTCTTGAATTATTTAAAAACACGAATTTTAAGTATATCGCAAAGTTATTGAATGAAAGTGTGATTTTAAAGAATGTTTGTGTTTTTATAAGGTAAAATTATTTACTTTTGACTGAGGAAAGTACCCAAAGTGACTGATTAGATGACAGTCATATACCTAGTTTAAAACATATAGATAAATAATCCCATATACAGATGAAAAGGAATACATTCAACATCTAACTTCGCAAACAACAAGCTACTGATGTCACAGTAAGTGAGCATAGTATAAAACACTCCTATGTTACATAATGCAATGTGTAGATACATAGCTAATTATGTACTTACGTACATAATGTATCATGCGTATAAGTTCCCTAGCTGTCAAGGTTACAACAGTAAAGCGTACAGGAGTGGATGCTTGGTTTATCTTATAAATTAACTAGCTCTTACCCGCGGCGTCGCTCCCGTCATTTGACTACCTACCCTACTCTACTTACCCTACCTACCCTACTTTACCTACCCTACTCTTCCTACCCTAGTCTACCTACCCTACTCTACCTGCCCTACTCTACCTAACCTACTATAACTACCCTACTCTACCTACCCTAATCTACCTACCCAACTCTACCTACCCTACTCTACATACCCTACTCTACCTACCCTACTCTACCTACCCTACTCTACCTACCCTACTCTACCTACCCTACTCTACCTACCCTATTCTACCTACCCTACTCTACCTACCCTGCTATACCTACCCTACTCTACCTAACCTACTCTACCTACTCTACTCTACCTACCCTACTCTACCTACTCTATCCTATCCTATCCTATGTCCTTCTCCTGGCTCTAAACTACCTCCATGCCAATTTTCAGCTAAATCGGTTCAGCCGTTCTTGAGTTATAAGTGGTGTAACTAACACGACTTTCTTTTATATATATAGATTATGGACTTCATCTTAACTGGCTTAGTATCGGTAGTTTCCCATTAATTCCCGAGCACAGAGCAAGTAAAAAAAAAATACATGTACTTTCTATGATTATTTAGAAACCACTTTTATACGGTGACGGTAAACATCGTGAGGAAACTTGGACTTATTATTTCAACTTATAAGGTTGAAATCGCCAATCCGTCTCGAGCAAGCGTGTGATGAATGCTCAAATCTTCTCCGTGAGAGAAGAGGCCTTTGCTCAGTAGTGGGCACTTATAGGCTGATGATGTTTGATGTCCTCTTTATTTCGGTTGCAGCAACAGTTCGAATGTAGCGTAGAACATAGGCTAGGAGTCGGGTGCGTGGGCGGTGGCACGGTATCCTGTGCTGTGTCACTCGACCGCGGGGCCTATGTTCCGGGGGAGAGCATCATGCTCACTGCTACACTTGTCAACAACTCTAGGACTACAATCAAAGCCACTAGGGCTGCTCTTACTGAGGTATGTGTATTCTGTCTTCTTATCTTCTTAACAAATATTAACTGATAAAGTTTAGTGAATAATCGACGGTATAGTACGGCCGACGTGTCTTGGCGAGTCTGAAGTTAGCCGTTTGTCTGCGCAATGAATCTTTTACGAACAAAATCGTGTTAAATCAATAAATAAACAATTTAATATTAAGTAACGACAATTCAAATTATACGACGAAGCTAGTACCTACAGCTATATGCCTGGTAGGTTCGCAGTAGGCAATATTCGCAAATTATATTCCAATACTCAATAACCATTAGGAATTTATAGATTTGACCAAAAGCATTAGGTATTATGTAAAACGTTGTACGAGTAAAATTGGCGAGATAACCAGACTTTCACGTTTTTATAACTGCACGTAATAGGTATTTCGATATTTCCTTTGTTCGTTTTTTTACTGTTATATTGTACATTGAAACGAGTTCACGTAATATGGAATTATGGAGTTACTCGTCTGCCTGTCCGAAGTCACGATCACGACCGGTCAAAGGCCTTGTAGCCTCGAGTAACGCGCAACATATTTTTTGCGGTTTACGAACTAGCTAGAGTATGCAATAACCAATTTCATGGCGTACGATAATATTTTTTTGTTGGCAATGCAAGTAGTTCATAGTTTAGCTTTTTAGAATCTATTCTAAATTCTACATACGGCAGACGGATTACCTGATGGTAAGCTATCAGCGCCGCCCATGGACACTCGCAACGGAGGAATTACGAGTGCGTTGCCGACCTTTAAGGGATTAGGGATTTGGAGATTTAGGGATTGAGGAGGAATTGGGGAAGGGGAAGGATTGGGCCTCCGGTAACCTCACTCACACGGCGAAACACAATGCAGTGGTATAGTATTTCACGTGAAAAAATAAATAAATAGCAAACAAATTTAGATAATGCGAGATTTTCTACCTGACTACTCAGAAGAATAGGGATGTCTCCTGGGTTAAAACAACAAGATTATAATTAGTCCGTCAGTTAGATTATAGAAAAATACTCGATACGTATTTTTTTATTTGTCCATACGAATAATATTGACAAAGATACAGCACATTCAAATTCAGGAGTCTGCTCGTGACGTCACTCTTTCGTAAAAAAAATACGAAATAATAAAGTAGCGCGAATTTTCGATGATGATTGAAAAAATACGTATCTACTATTTTCTGGCGTTCTAAAAGATTGACTAAACCCCTATTGCCAATACAAACTCAGAGCTCACAATCTCTTTCATTCCAGACAAACATTAAAAGCGTGAGATAAAATTCTGTGATGGTAAAAGTACCCCCGATCTTGCACCCAACTGAACAAACAGTCGAATAATAATTTAAATGTGAAATATTTATGCTTTAGTTGCAGTTGTGCATTACAACTGCAACTAAAGCGAGGAATTAAGAAAGCAGCACTCTCAAACCAAACTTTCGTCAAAATGTAGCCTAGGGCAGTAGTAGATGCTGCGAAATCTTTACTTAATATTATAAAGAGGTAACATTTTGTACGTTTGTATGTAGGGCGTAATTTGGAATCGATCGGGTTCCAAAATTGTTTCACTGATCGATAGCTACAATGTTCCTGAATGCTATAATTATAGGTGTAGGCTATTAAACATCAAGCTAATATCAAAGGGAGCCGGGTGAGCGAGGCTAGTCACTAAAGAAACTAATAAACATAATTATAACCAGACGATCCAGTACTCGGCCCACGGCAAGGTGGCTGCGAAGGAGGTACGAGAGCTAGCATCACTGTCGCACGGCAAGACTCGGGCTGGGGACAGCGACGTGTGGCGCCACGAGCTCCTGTACGTACCCCCGCTGCCCCCCACCAACCTGCGCGGGTGCCATCTCATCTCGGTGCAGTACGATGTCTTTGTAAGTACTTTTTTCATGTCATAGTTCGGCAAACGAGCAGATGGATTACTGGTAAGCAATCAGCAACGCCCATAGACAGATATACTAGGAAGTTGCCGGTCTCTTTTCTTTTGGGTTACGAGGATTGAGGATGGGGGTAGGATTAGGTCTCCGGTGACCTCACTCACACGGCGAAACACAACGTAAGTTGATTCACTCCGGTTTTCTGTGGGCCTAAAGTGTCAGTCCAAACGAGCCGACATATGCCATGCATCGTGCCGAAGCATGGCTCTCCCACATTTACTAATTAAAAACTTGAATTAGCAGGCTAATTCAAGTTTTTGATCCATATCTATTAAACACTGTATAGTAAAGTGCCAATTAATCGGTGACAGTCGGTTACCCAACAAGGATATAGTTTTAGCAGTTTTACCGTGACGTGGACCGATCATGTGAGTCGCTAGGAGGACTAAAGAAAGGGCAGGTTTATTTAGCAGTAAATGTCGGTTGCGCGACTCACTCGCTGCTTATGAATTAGAGTCCCATTGTGACTTGAAACTTGTAGAGCTTTTCTTACTTAATTAAGAAGAAGTCGTTATTTTCAATAATCATGTGTGAATGTCTTTGTTCTTGTTGGCTATGATAATGATGGCCCACGTCTACTTTCAATTAGTCAAAATACGTTTTTGATGTTTAAATACGCCAACGAAAAAGCGACCCGCTTTCACACGTGCACTATAGAATCAATATAAGTACAACGGTGTTAATGTGTCATTATAATTCCAGTTCATAATCGAGCCGAAGAGTTTGGAGAAGGAAGTAAAGCTTCAGCTCCCGATCCTGATAGGTACGTATCCGTTCCGCGAAGAATCCGATGAGCCGCAGCCCCCCACGCACTACCCCAGTACGCTGCCCATCTTCCGCGCCTGGCTACACGATAAACCAGCACACTGACTTATTTAGACAGATACTTTACTGCATTACAGGATATAACGCGCATATAACTTTTTTATTTCTTTTTGTTAATCGAGAAGAAGGATTCAAACTGTCGGCCACATGGAATTCAGTGATTGCAAATAAACAATATCACGATTATGAGTCGACTAAAAAATCGGACACCCGGCACCGGTCGATGAAGATCAATCTACTGCATCGACGGAGTAGTGTCGCCAAACAGTCTGCTTTGTGACCATGGCAGATATAAAAAAGGTACGTGCGCGTTAAATCCTGTAACACATTAAAGTAAACGTATAATATGCAACGCGAAATCTAAAGTGTCTATAGACAGACACAAAATATTGACACGCAGTACTGACAATATAATATCGCAAGTTTCACTATATAGTTCGGTGCCGATATAAAAATAAACACCTCTTAAATATACGATGGACTTGTTGAAATACTCTTACACATCGTGTGCAAAAAGGTTCACCAATTTTACATTTGTAAAGCAATAATGAATAGATCTGTATGAAGAATATCGGAATCAGAATTAAAGTGTTTATTCGTGAAACATAGGTTTATGTTTTTCTCAATTTCTCTCTGTATGTCGAAGCACGTTTTTGACGTTTGACACGATTTAGAGTGAGATTCTTCATACATACTTACATTTTTATTCATACTGTACTTTTATGTACTAAAATGTGGTTTTTAATAAAATCTCTTATGAATCTCTCTTATGAATTTACTCTCTATGAAAAGTAAAAATACGAGTCAAATATTTTAAAACTGCTATTAAAATATTAATTAGTTCATCCTTATTAGACTTGCAAGCTATTAATGGCTAAAACAAAATTATTATTTAAAAAATAATATTATAAACTTGTTGAAAAATAAGTTCGTTATAATATATTAAAACATATTATTATAATTATTATATCGATGGCTCATTCGTAAACGAATTAGCCGAACGCGAAGCGAATACGACTTTGGGAAATGCAAGAAAGAGTATGCATACGCAAATCTTCTATCGATATGGGGACTCTGGGGATTAGTAACAAAATAGGTACACTTCGTTTTCGTTTCGTTTTCTTATCATATATACTGTGTTGTACACGAAACAAAAATGACGTTTTATGAAATACACTAATCCCCAGATTCCGGTGTAATGTGACTGAAAAATAAAAATATATTATACAATTTTATAAATAAAATTAAAATGTTGTTAAATGGAATTAATACATATTTTATAAGATTATAAATATGGAAATTTTATTACTACCTACTGATAGTACTTATCCAAAATTATTCACTGCCATAATTATAAGATTAAAATTAATTTATTTTAACTATCTTTTGTGCACCATTTGAAGGAGAGAATTTTGTTTCTAATTGTATGTAATCTCTAGTGCCATTTTATTTGTTTAACTTCAATTTTATTGCGTCTTATTTTTGGCTATATCTCATTTAATTAATACATTCAACTAGACTTTCAGAGATACAATTTTGTATTGTCAAGTGATCTTGTTCACATCCTCAGAATACAGAACAAACCAGAATCCGCGTTCACTCATAATTGTATGTCGTCAAATGTGTCCAAAAACAATACGTCAATCCCCCCGCCAGCCGCACTTCCCACCCGCATAGTGTTGCCGATAGTGAAACAATTCCCTTGGTTTGGGGTAATTTTACAACAGGAGGGTAAGATATATTTTGTTAGGTAAACCAAAAAAAATAGGTAAACTTACGATAAATGCAACAAACTAGTTCTTCACACATTTATTGGAGATGTAATAAAAAGTTAACGATTTCTGACTGTGTGACAACAAATAAAACAAAGCTTCAATAAGTACAAAGGTTTTATTTGCGTTCCCTTTTGCTGGTTAAGTTTTATATGTATTGTCTTTAGACTCGGAACTAAAGATTAGAAGTCTCCTTACTTACTTTACTTAGTTCCTGAGATTAGCGCATTCAATCAAACAAATAAACAAACTCTTCAGCATTATAATTAGTATAGATATACTTTAGTAGGAAATGCTGTTTTCAAACCACCTTTGTCATAAATATATTTCTTCAAAGTGAATTTAGCAAACTACCTATGCTCTGGCTAGATGGTTTCCAAAAGTAATCTAACCGTACCCTTTGTATGATTTTTATTTGTTTAGTCGGCAGGGAAACTAATAAGACATAGGCTCCATAATGGACAAAAATATAACTCACAACAAATAAATAAGTGGGTAAAATTTTCACCAAAATGACAACACTCACAAAATGGCCGCATCATTTTCATAGAAAAATAAATCGATAAAAAAAAATCAATAATTAATTAAATATAGGTACTATTGCAGTCGATGCTTGCAGATGAAATGTAATCTTATCCACTTTTTTCGTAATTCCAACCGCATTTTTACTCGTAGGAATAACACAAGACGGCATATTGAAATTAAAATTGATACTCGTAAATACGTCACGACATGCCACGTGCCAAAATTGACTGATCGTAGAAATTTCATACTACTCTAGTAAAGAGTGGTTTTACTTGCTTCAGTTTGAAGCGCGTTGACGCCTTCTGGTTTGTTCTGTATTCTGAGTTCACATCACAGGTTCACATGTATATAGGAAATTGCCAATAAAGACGAATCAGTTATGAAGTATTAATTCCTAATTATGTACTCTATGTAGGTGTTTAATAACGAATGTATTACATACTAATGGAAATGTATATAACTAACCTGTGATATACCGATCCGTCCATTTATTGTAGTGTATTGTAGTGATGTACCAATTTTTTACTATTATAAATATTTACTTATTACTAAATTTGTTGTTTTATTTCTACACGTACATCTTATGGCCATTCAGAAAAAGAGACAAAAAGGAAAGTATCATAAGTAGTATCTAAGTTATGATGTCTTGAAGTAGAAGAACTGGTTCTAGAAGTAATAGAAAATGATCCTTCGACATTCACGTACAATACATTATTACATAACCAAGATATTTAAAAATTGCTGCAAAAATAAATTATGCACAATTTGTCTAAAATAAATTAATTTGCAAATTTTTTTCAGAACTTCTTTTTCGTAAATTTATTTTTTCTTTAATTTCTGAATGGCCATAAGATATACTCAAATGCAATCCACGATTATCCATTCTTTACCGGACACCTGTACATTTGAAAAGACACAGATGGGACTTAAGAAAAACTTTTTAATGGGGAAACATTTGGGGAATTTCATTTCCAGCCAGTTGAAAATCAATACTTCCGAAGACACTAAACAGATCCGCAGATCGACGCCTCAGGGACAACAGTCAGGCCACCACTATGAACTATTCCATACCACCTCTCAACCAGTATCTATTAAGAAAGGGTGAAATAAAACTCGAGTAATTACATGAAATCGTGTATTTGCATAACACTGCACTGAATAGAGGCGTGTTACAGTAGTCGCTTGCCGAGATTGTTCCCAAATATTACGATGGTTTTGTTCTAACAATTTGGCGAAATATTACAGTATTCACAAATATATAAACTATCACTACACGCATCCATATACAATATCACATATCCAATTCCAACTCATCTGTTGATTATTTCAATTGAAAAAACAATGTTTCACAACAATCCGTGTTGCATGAAGTGTAGTTAATGGTATAAATTAAATCCGAACCACAAACAAAACTCTCTCTAGACTACCTGACTTACTGACTTAAGTACCTCTGTTTTTCAAACCAATACTGTTCATTTCGAAAGTGATTCAAACTTGATCATCCAATAGTCTACGCCTACATCCCAATACTTCTTATGCACAAAATTGTAATCTATCAATAACAATTTCTTGTGAAAACATTTAAGTCACATTCATGTCTAAGAATAAAATAAAAAGTGATAAAAAATTACAAACTATATCTATACGTAATTGCATTTTTCGGCTCATATTGGAACGTAGGCATCATTTTATTGTACTGCATATAAAATTAAACTTTACAATTTTAGAACGAAGATTAGTTTTTAGTAAATGAAGTGGTTCTACGAGTTATTTAAAATACAAAATACTTGATTAACTTCATGCTAGGAACACGACTGTCGAGAAAAGTGAACGACATCGAATGAGGCAATCTTTTTCTTGTGTTGCAGGTTAGCACTGTACATATGTGTGGTTGTTATACGCCAATAGTCCATAATCCAAACGTAAAGCCGCAGCGTTCTCGTGCAAGGCCCTAGTCACATATTCACTGCAATTCTTGAATTCTTAAAGCAGTTGGTGAGTAGGGTTGCACTTTGAACATGCCGCATGGTGACAAGATGGCTCCACTGCGTGATCAACTCACATCGTTGTATCGTGTAGCGTTATAAACCTAAGATATAGAGAAGCGTATGCTTTTCTAGTATACCCGCAGCCCGCTGCCTAGTGGTCGCTGCATCAGAAGTCGGGTGGCGTGGGCGCTCGGAGCGGGGAGGGCGAGCGGCGGCGGGCGGGCGGGGCGCGGCACTACGCCATCTTGTTGGCCAGCGCCAGGTGCAGGCACGACAGCTGCGCCGTCCACTTGTCCAGCGCGCCGTACCGCGCCGCGCCGCGCGCGCTGCTCGCCAGCTCCAGCACTGAGTTCACCTGGTCGATGCGCCCACTGATCGTACTGCAACCACCAAACATTATCATTGTAAATTGCCACTAATCTCATTGGGCATTCCTTCAAGATTTCAATACAATTAAATATTCAAAAATAATCGTACTTCATAGATGGATTCGACGATATACTTCATACTAAATTTTTATCGGTTACATTAAAAAAAAAATTGCTATTTTACCCAAAAATGTGATGACGTCACATTTCTGTTTTCCATACCAAATTCGGTGACCAGTTTAGTTTTTGACATTACAAGAAAAGTATTGAATTTGACTAGTTGTCAAATACCGTATTGAATATTCTAAGGGAACAATAATTAGAATCTACTCACTTGTCTAAAATACAGGTGACCAGAAGATTCTCGACCTCCTTCTCATCAATGTTCAGTTCCTTAGATATAAAAGGTATATGAATCCTAGTGTAGGGACCAATCAATTTGATCAGCACTTGGGTCCTGATGTTTCTTAGCAGATCCTCTATGTGTTCTCTGATGAAGGGGTCATCCATAATGTTGTTCCTGTTGTGTTTCAGAATGGACTCGAACTCGTTAATATCGTTGTTTTGATACGCCATCACGAGGTTCGTCATAGCTAAGATCTCAGGATCGTTCTTATAAGGTTTAGCTTCTTGAGAATCAAAAGGATTGATTCCGGATTTCATAAGCCTGTTTAAATTAAAATAATTTAATATGATTGTTTCTAAATTACATATGTTTACTGACAATGCTAGTAGTACTTACATATTGGCTAAAACGAGATACTTCAAGCATGTTGTCCTCCTCGGACTGCCGGACTCGTCGTAATTCTTGAACGCTTCAAAGAAGTCTGTGTGAGCCTTCTCAAACTCACCTTCGCGTAAGTGCATTTTACCACCACACTCTGAAAAAGTTGTACAATCATTATCATAAACTTAGAAGAGTATTATACGAGTTAGAATTCGAATCTTAGAATCTTTAAATTATGATGAACTGCATTTCCCTTTATAGTCTTATTAGATATTAGATTTGGGACAGTAAATCTCATCACATCATGTCTACAAACACCCACTGCTGAGAAAAAGGCTCACGCAGAAAAGGTGTGGTTAATGCGGATTGGCGGTTTCAAACTTTTAATAGGAAAAACAAAGGCCATGTTTCTACACCATGTATTGCAAAAGGAAATGGTGCCTTAAAAAAAAAATTAAAGTACATTACTCGGAAAGAGTCACAGGCGTTAAACAACCACGGCGCTGTGTGTCGGCGTGTGAGAGAGCTTGAAGAGACTCAACCCTTCCCCCCCAATCCCTGAAACTTTGAGATCCTGATGCCCAAAAGGGCGCCAAAGCACGCGTAACTACTCCGCAGATGTACAAGAGCGGCGCCGATTGCTTACCATCAGGAAATCCGTCTGCTTGTATGCTGTACAGTCACATACTACTCCGGGCTACCACGACGTTAGATAATAAATAAACAATAATTATAATTTACCTCTAATAACACCCATGATCAGTGGATGTGGTATAGCAGACTTGATGTGCAGAGATTGTTCATACAGGGCCTTTAACTTCTTGTTGTTTTTTTGTGCAGTATACATTTGAATCTCAAGGGCATATATCTCTAGCAACTGTGTGCCTTTCTTCAAGTCATCCTCGCCTTCATCAGTCTATAATGAAAATATTCATAGGAGGGTAACTAAGTTTGATTGTTGATCAACTCATTGACACAACAGAAAATTGTATAAGCAATTTTATTGTATTACAAGTACAATAAAATTTACTAAAAGATAATCTTATGAACTGACTATGCGGCTTCACTCACGATAAATCGGGGCACAAGAACATTGGTGTTTTAGAGTGGATAAATATTACTTTAATATTCTATTGGAAACAATATTAAATGACTTTCTCTTTAGGAAAAGATAATGTAATAAATATTCTGGTCATTTTAGCGGTTGGCGGAAGATAATACCCTAGGTACGTAATTTTCTTTAATAGTCAAATTTTTTATTGGTCACAAATAGTCTCAATGCTTTGAAAATTAATTTTCCCAAGGCTTTCTACCTTGAAAATGTCCGAATGCTGAACTGGGGAATTATAAAAAGATAAAAAGAAGGCTGTCTCTTGGTCCTAAGCTACCCCACCAATTTTCAGCCAAATTTTTTCAGCCATCCTTGAGTTATAAATCATCCAAATAACAACCAACCATCCAAATTACTATTACAATGACAAATTCTATATATATACACTTATATTATTAAGTGTTTTACTATTGTTCATTTTGTATTACTCAAAGTTTAGGTAGCTTCAACAATAAGCACATTCCTTATGGTATATGGTGCATAAAATCTCACCTGGCAGCTCTGGTGTAGTTGCTTGAGAATCTTAGCAAGTTTATTGAAGTCTCCTCTATCATAGTACAGTTTTCCTAGCTTTGTGTTTGTCTTGAACCATAATCTGTCATTCTTCGCATCTTTTAAAGCTTCTAGGGTGGTTTCATAGAAGTCTTGTAATAATTCCATCTGTACAGAAAAAAACTTTATGTAAAAAAATATATGGTAAAGAGTTCTAGGCAATAACAATTATTTTATTGGCAATATTAGAGTGCTTGAGATTTTTTAGTTGCATCACTAGGAAAGAACGGCACAATCTGGAACAACTAATGGTAATTGGTGAGTTATAAAGACTAACACCCTGTTTCCGAAAGGCCGATCAATTTTAAAATCAATTTAATCTCTTGTCAAGTCATCGGATTGGTTGACTGAATTATCAATAACCAATCAGATGACTTGAGAAGAGATTTAACAGGAGATAAGTTAATTTTAGCATTGACAAGCCTTTCAGAAACTGGGTGTAAAAGGATGTAGTGCAAGCAGATAATCTGATCACATCCAAACAACTTTGGTCACCAAAATGGTTGGTTGAAAATTCCATTATAAACCAATTATCTAAAATAATTTGTGGTTTATTTTATCTTGAACTAAGTACAGTAACATAAACATTAACAAATCACTAATAAAGACTCAAGCAAGACAAGGAACTCACATTTCTAGAAGTAGAGATGTAATCCAGGATGGAGTTGATTGACTTCTCAGAGTGGTTCCTAGTTACAGCACTCTTGATGTATGTTAACAGTTGTTTATAACGTGACATCATTTCCGTAAAGTTACCCTGTAATGAAAATATAAATTATTAACATATATTTCTTAAAAAATCTGTCTTATACAATTAATATAATTTGAAACAGTTGGTACTCCATGGTTTTTGTCTACCCACAAGGTCTAAAAGTGGGATATTTTGCAGTAATTATGGTATTATTGATATCATATCTAGTTTGGTACTGATTAAAGAATATGAAAAACATTTTCTTCCAGACACAACAAATATTTCTAGTAACTTCCAATAAGAAAATTCTTGAAATAAATATACCAGTTTAAAGTTTATCTTGATCATTTGTTTGAGTGCTTTGAAGCCCCATTCGCCTTTGTCCCCTCCTTCGAGCTCGAGGACCTTTTGAAAACTAAGCAAAGCAGCCTGAGGCTCATCTTCCTTAAGTGCTTTACTATTGTAGTACTGATTCTCCAAATCAACATCTGGCTCCGAGTTGCTGTCTTCAGAGTATTCCTAAATATGAACGTAAGTTTGAATTAGTAAATAATTTTCATTTAAACGTTTGTTTACCCTACCAAACTAAATCTGTAACAAAGGTCACCGGCTATCACGTCTTGGGTAAAATATCCGACTGAATTAATGATAACTCTGATACCAAATGCAATGTTATGAGGGAAACTATAATGCAGTAAACATTTTTTTCTAAATGCAAAGTATACGACAAATTTAACACAAAGACAGGTTATATAGTACGGAATTCTAAAAGCAATGTTTAAAACGTCACTACACACAATAACATTAACGATTGCTTTACAGTTGATAAATTTTCATACCAAGCCATAATCCTCCTCCTCCTCACACATATAGTCATCGTCATTATCGGACATTTTTATTAACTTTCCTTATTTATTTATTTTACAATTTCACAAATTACAAAGCGTATTTTATACAAGCTATTATTTTCCCGAAATGACATGACATGACACTGACATTTGATTTGAGTCAATGACACGGTTTTTATTTTAATACTGAACCATAGATTGATAGAAACATTTTACAGCAGAAAAAAAATTACTGCACTGCTTTATTTGTGAACATTTAATACATAACGCAACCTCAGCTAGTATGTTGGGTGACTAAATTTCTAAATTTATAAAAAAGAGGCCGACAAAAAATATACTAACAATGAAATTAATACTGAAGGAGACTCGGATTAAGGATGTATTTCAGTAAGATGGTAGTAGTCTTGACCGTACTTCCGGGATTGCTCTTCCTCTTCTTACCCAAGCATCTCAACGAATGTTGCCCCCGTGTCGCTGCATGCTAGTGGCCGTTTCCGGGGGCCCATTAATTGAGTTTGCCAGTCACCCCCTGCCTGTTTATCCGTATGTTTGTATCGATATCGGTCAGGGGCAGGGGCCATAGTTTTTCTATAGTTATCATTTACCAGTCCACACCTTTTACCATTTTGCACGATAGTCCTGCATCGATCAGGGATTGTCCTAGGGTGCTCTTTTGTTGTGCGTACAGGGACAATTGCCGGCTGAAGTCCTAAATTAACTAAACTGGTTCGAAACTAGTAGAGCTTTTCTCAATATATACACGTGAGTAACCCCGCGATTTTTAGTTTATTTATTATGTCTCACGATAGTTAATATAAAAACATGGCTGAAGTCCTATTTCACTAATATTAAATTTGTTCAAAGGGCCTCCGTAAGTTGGCTTCGGCCCCTCATACGCCTACCCTGAACCCTGTGGTTTCGTGAATAGACAGAAACTACGGCACCACTTATTTGGAATTGTAGGTAGCTTGCGGGCCGTAATAATACTATGCATTTTAAATATGACATAGTTTAGTTTGCAATATAGCCGGCTGATAGAAACAACACCAAAATACCCTATATAAAAAGAGCTAAAATGACAGTTTGTTTCACCACGTTTATTTCTAGATACGTAGGTACATGGCTCTCAGTTTGTCTTCTGTTTTACCCTCTGTAAGGCCCTGTACCTACTATGGATCCAGAAACCGGATCCGGGAGTATAAATACTATCGTATTAAAATTTAAATGTTGATTAATTATTATAATCCACTAAATTATTATTATATAATCAATTAAAACAAGTTTCGTGGTCACTATTTTGGGAATTGTTGGGATGTCAAGATTGGTTCCGAAAAGAACCTAATTTTAGAGGTCAACAAATATTTCATCAAAATTCAACATACCTATGCTTAATTTCTCTTTGTTGTTGTTTCAGGTTTAAATATTTTTGTGTTTTGTTCAACAAGTACATTAAAAAGGGTGTTTTCCTTCTTTCCCAACTGTGAAATCAGACAACACTACCTGTGGTTTAGAATAACAATAATCAATTTACCTACTTATTCTTCCGCCGCAACTATAAAAGTGCCCTATGAAGGTAGTCAACAACCCTGACTGAGATAAGCTTAGTTTTACTTCATCACCACGCTGCAAAGGCCACAGCGCGCGATGGCCGTCAGGATATATTAGTGGAGGGTGGAAGCAGTCGAGCGGGGCCTGCGTGCCTCGACAGGTTGAGGCACGCAGAGCAGAACTCCGCCAGGCCTTAGTGGCGGAGTGGCAGACGCGTTTAGCGCAACCCACAGCGGGGCACGCTGCTATAGCGGCGGTAAGGCCCGTTTTAGAGGAGTGGCTCAATAGGAGCCACGGCGCCCTCAGTTTCCGGCTGACGCAGGTGCTTACCGGACACAGGTGTTTCGGGAAGTACCTGTGTCGCATAGGTCGGGAGCCAACGTCTCAGTGCCACCATTGTGTTGTTTGCCGCGATGATACGGCGCTGCATATCTTGGTGGAGTGCCCAGCTTGGTCCGAGCAGCGCCGTGACCTGGTCGCGGCCGTAGGTGCTGTGGGAAATCTCTCGCTTCCGGCTGTCCGGTGTCTACTATGGTCGGGAGCGATTCAGGGTGGAGTGCCGTCGCTACCTTCTGCGAGGCCTTGATGCGGCGGAAAGGGAGAGAGAGGCTGCCTCCTCTCTCCCCTCCCGCAGCAGATGCACTAGACGTCGTAGGTTGGCCGACCTGCGGCCACAGTAGGGTGCGGCCTGCGGACGACAGACTCGGGGCGTCTTGTCGTCTGACCAGCAGCAGGCCTCGAGGCGGCGGCGCCGTGTTCCGCGCGCGCCTCATAGTGGAGTCCTGCGGTCGGGGTGACGGGGCCCGCCTAACCATCTGGCGGGCCTTTACCCGTCGGGGGGATGCGAAAAATGCTTCGGCAATACCCGCCCCTCCGACACATGGCTAAGTGGAGGAACAACGGGTTGGTTTTTAGTCAGTATGAGTCTGACAGTACCCTTCGCTCTTCCCCAAGGGCGGTGGGTCCCCATGAGGACTTTCCAACCCGACACCAAAAAAAAAAATAACTTCATCAACCCAAACCTCTGGGTATAAAACTACTTTTTTGTATCCTTACTTACACGGCGAAACAAGGCAGTGATTGTTTTGCGCACGTTTACTGTAAGGCCGTGGTTATCATTCCGGTCGAGAAAACCCATTCATGCCGAAGCATAGTTCTTTACATTAGAGGGTTCGCCATACTCGCCAAGCTCTGATTTGGAGATCTTGAAATATGCATTCAAATAGTTTTGTTATTTACTTTAATTAATCCGAAATAATGATTTCCAAGAGGAAAACTGCTAGTTTTGGGAATTTTTCAGATGAAACGTGTTGAGTCTAGATGGATGGTTTTGTTTTTCTTTTTTTAAATCTTTATTTTATAGGGCTTTTTTTCAAACAGAAGATTTCAGCCCTATTATTGTATACAAAATTCAGTACTTACTTACCTATCTACTTATTAAGCAACTAAACCATTTATAAGTTTAACTAGCCCTTCAGTTTAAACATAAAATAATAATTAGACGATACAATTTTTTGGCCCCAGATGATTATGGCGACGCTAACACACTATGATAAAAACTAATATCATAACTCTTAAAACTGAAATGCTGATATCTCTGGGATGGTTTTGTTGATAAACTTCAAACTCGTATTTTTTTAACTTATATATTGTTGTTATATGTTTAAGAAAAGGGTATTGTGTAAATGAGCCTTAGGAGCACTCGTACCTACTGTATAAAAGAAAAGTTTTTTTTAAAAGATTGTTTCTATAGATCCCGAGTAAGTTTTTTGTAAGTCCAGCAGTGCCCCATCCCATTTTTGCGTCGTTATTACCCAATACAACACATTTAACTAAATAGCAGGTAGACGCGTCTTGAGAGATTTGTAGGAACATGTCCAAACATGTTGAATCAAACGACTTTTTTTAGATAAATGCACTTACAATGCGGCAGCATAGCAATGAATGCATTGCATTGCTATCAAATCATAGGTATTATTATCGTCTTCTATCAAACATTCGATAAGACAATGCCCAGGCTTTGATAATACACTTGTATAATCAAATTGTCTAGGTAAGGTTTTTTTTTTTTTTGTGAGGGGAAAATCATCAAATGACTTCTCCCGCCCAGGGCCGGGCAGGAGGGAGTGTCAGACTCTTACTGACTAAAAACCCCCCTGTTCCTTCTCCTGCTCTGTGCCGAGGTCGCGGTACCTTATTGCGCTTACCCCGCAGCCCCGGCTGAACATCAGCCCTTTAGGGCCCCGTCTGTGGTGGTCTATTGGCTCTTTGAGGCGCGCGCGGAACGCTACGCGCCGTACGCTCGGGCCTGGTTCTGGTCGGGCGGCGAGCTGCCCTTACTCGCCGACCGCAGGCCCGTACTTACGGTGGCCGGAGATCGTCCCTCGATCCCCGACGCCCGTAGTGTCGCCAGTTGCGGCTGCTGGGGCGTGAGGAGGAGGATTGCTCCCTCACGCGGGCCGCCTCTCTCTTTGCGAGCATGACCGCTTCACAAAAGGAGGAGACGGCGTCCCAGTTCCTCTCACTCCGCACCATGGCCTCGACTAAGGCCGGGCGCGAGAGGTCGCCGCCGCCGATCACTTCCCTGAGGATACGGCGGTGCTCAGCCCAGGCAGGGCATACCGCTACCGTATGCTCCACCGTATCCTCTAGGTGGTCCTCACAATGACGACACTCGGGCGTTTCCTCCCGCTGAATCCGAAACAGGAACCTACCGAAGCTGCCGTGCCCGGTAAGCACCTGCGTCAGACGGAAGGTGAGGACGCCGTGGCGTCTCTCAAGCCACTCCTCAAAGAGGGGTCTTACCGCTGCTATGGTAGCGTGCCCGGCCCTCGGTTGCGACAGTCGTTGTCTCCACTCTGCCATGAGATCTCGCCGGAGCTCATTCCGCCACGCATTTATTTGGCGCGGCAGAGGATCTTCGCCCCGGCGACGCGCGTCTGCGCGCAAACTGTAGACGCGCGCGAGCGCCTTCGCTTCTAGATCCCACGGCGGTGATCCGGCAAGGAGGTTCGCCGCCTCCCCGGAGATCGTGCGATACCCGCGGATTACTCGTATAGCCATGACCCTCTGGGACGCGACCAGCGTACGAGCCGGCCGCCGCTTCAAGTCCGGCGCCCACACAGGGGCACCGTAGAGGGCCATGGATCGCACAATCCCCATATACAACCTCCGGCAGGAGGCGTTTGGCCCCCCGAGGTTGGGAAGGAGCCGCTTGAGCGCGGCCCCAGACCGTTCCAACTTAGGGGCCAAACGACGAAAATGCTCCGTGAAGTTCCATCGGCTGTCGAGGACGAGACCAAGGTACTTCATCGCCGACTCGACGCCGATGGTAACTCCTCCTGCCGTTACTTGGGACCCACCTGGAGGTGGCGCGCTCCGACGGCCATAGAAGCACATGGCCTCGGACTTGTGGAGCGCCACCTCGAGTCCCAACTGCCGGATCCTTGCAACGACTGTCGCAACCGCTTGTGACATCAGGTCGGCCGCCGCCTGATGCGACCTCCCGTTCGCCAGCACCAGCGTGTCGTCAGCATAGCAGACAATGCTGACGCCGCTCGGGAGGTCGGTGCGTAGCACCCAATCGTACCCGATGTTCCACAGGAGAGGTCCCAGGACCGATCCCTGTGGGACACCGCGCGACACCTCTCGCCGATTCCACACGCCCCGGTGACCGGGGTAGATGACGCATCTGTCCGTCAAGTAAGACTCGACTACACGACGGAGATAGGCAGGCACCCGGTGATACCGGAGTGCCTCCAAAATGCAGCTCCAGGGCAGCGAGTTAAAGGCGTTGGCGATGTCCAGAGACACCGCCACGACGACTCGCCTCCCGGCCAACGCTGTCCCCGTCGTGAGGTCCCTCACGCGCATGATGGCGTCCACCGTGGAGCGCCCTCTGCGGAAGCCGAACTGGCCGTCCGCTAAATCCGGCCCCCTTCCAGACAGGTGCCCGACGAGGCGGTCTGAGATTATCCTCTCGAACAGCTTTCTCACCTCGTCGAGCAGCACAATGGGCCGGTACGCGGACGGAGAGTCCGCAGGACGCCCCGGCTTCTTCACGAGGACCAGTTTACCCGTCTTCCACGACAGCGGAAACTGGCCTCTCTCCAAACATGCGCTGAACAGACCAAGTAGTCGAGGCCTGAGAGCCTCCGAGGCCAGGACCCAGACCTTGGCATGCAGCCCGTCAGGTCCTGGGGCGGTATTCTTGCCGCTCAGCCGGCGCACCGCCACTCTCAAATCTACCTCGGTCACTTCCGGAGCGGATTCGTCGTCATCGTCGATGTAGCCCGCATTGGGCACCGCAGGGGGCGGGGGCATAGCCGGAGGCGTGTAACCCATCTGTGGTCGGGGGAATAGCGCCCCAACCACTTCGTCCACGACCTCCGGCCGGAGACTCTGAGTCAGTGGGGGCGCCCAGGTGCGGAGCTTATCACGCACCATCCGGTAGGGGCGTCCCCACGGGTCTCTGTTCAGAGTCTCCAACATCTCCTCGCGGGGTCTAGGTAAGGTATGATTTAAATATGGGGGAGCCTAGCCTCTGCGCGGTGCTGATTGCTTACCATCAGGTAATCCGTCTGCTCGTTTGCCGACCTAACTATACCAAAAAAAAGATGATATGGCTTGAGAATTTGGCCTTTAATGAATTGCAGTTGTTACCAATGTACCTTTCACACACACCTAAATTGTATGACGTCGGTCTTGTTCAGGGATGTTGCGAACATTCGCATCCGCATCCGCAAATGCGGAACATCCGCATTGATTTGGACATCTGCACCTGAATCCGCATCCGCTTTCATCAATGCGAATGTTCATGCAGATGCGAATATTATACAAGTAGCGACAAGAGAGAGCGAACCTCTGCGTAATAGACTCGATTCAGAAAAGGCGGCAGTACTTATTACTTTTTATAAAATATAATGCCATTTTTAATTTTTATTATTAATACTTACAAATTTGAAACAATTTAAAAAAATTATTACCTCCTTCATTTTTTATTCAACATATTTTTTTATCCATTCATCTTTTTTATTTAACAAAAAAATAAGTACTTAGTACTATTTTTTATTAAACTAAGTAGGTAGTTTGTGTTTGATTACAATAAAAATGTTAAGGGAGCCCATTAATTGAGTTTGCCAGTCACCCCCTGCCTGTTTATCCGTATGTATCAATATTCGTCAGGGGCAGGGGCCATAGTATTTCCATATATACTACACACATATACATATATAATACTAATATATACTAATTTATTAATTTTATTATTATTGTAAACTTAACATAATAGAACCTATAGTAAGTCAATAGTTTAGAAATCTGATCCAACAGACAAACTGTGTATACAGTTTTGTTGGACATTTTATACTTTTTATAATGTAAAATGTACTTCCTAATATAAATAAATAAATAAATAAAATAAATAATAGTTATTATATCCACCAGTCCATAGCAACCCATACCTTTAACCCTATCAATTTTTACCATATTTCACAATAGTCCTGCATCAACCGGGGATTGTCCTTGGGTGCACTTTTATAGTGCATACAGGGATAATTGCCGGCTGATGTCCCATCACATTTAGATTAAAACTGTTCAACGGGCCTCTGCGAGTTGGCTTCGGCTCCTCGTACGCCTTCCAAAAGGTCCGGGACCCTGTGGTCCCGTGAAAGGAAAGAAGAAGGTTATCATTGTTTTAATTCTTCATTAATAGACTTTGTTTACATAATATCTTAAACATCCGCATCCGCATCCGCGGATGTGAGCCTGCAAGACTCCACATCCGCTTATGCGGATGCGAAAAAATCGGCATCCGAAACATCCCTGGTCTTGATTGATATCCTAGCTGGGCTCACAGTGCTAAGCAATTAAACAAACAGTAAGTCGGTAACAAAAAAAATATGTAGCCGCCCGCGGCTTCTCACGCATATTAAAGTGATGTATCCCGATATTTTACAAAACATATAGGACTCAGGAATATAGTAGCTGTCTATCAGTGAAAGAATTTTAGAAATCCGACTAATGGTTCCAAAAATTTCTGCAAATGGATAATCCTAGTTTTAAAATGCATACAACAGTCTTAGTGACGCGATGCCAAAGCATTATGTGTCGCGTAAATTTTTGTTATTTCAAAGTATACTAAAGCCTTCTCTAAATAATATAGAATTACGTCTGTTGATGGTTTTAAAGAAAATATTATAATTGCTAATTGCAATATTAGTTCACGTCATATCGATATAGAATTTATTTTATAAGCATGGTATTTGATATCGTGCTTAAAAAACTAAAGAAATTTTAAATTGCACGGGTTATCTTGAATGTACAATTTTCCAATTGTGGACAGAATTCAAAACCAAATAAAAAGATGATCGTCAATCGAGTCTTCTCATCATTTTTTACGAGTGACGAAGAAAGAAAAAGAAAAGAAAGAGGAAAAAGCTTAATATTATAGTATTAGTTAAACAGCAAAAGAAATATTTAATTATAAACGTTTTTTTTTTTATAGATAGAGCTTTCAAGCATATTGATTTTATAATTTTATTATTATATGTATGACTGCACGGTTGGTGCGGTGGCTGGGCAACTGGCTGCCGTGCAACGTGTCGCGGGTTCGATTCCCGCACGGAACAACACCTTGTGAGATCCACAAATTGTTGTTTCGGGTCTGGGTGTCATGTGTATGTGACATTGTATGTTTGTAAACGCACCCACAACACAGGAGAAAATCCTAAAGTGGGGCAAAGTTTTTAAAAAGAAAAAAAAAAAAAGAAAAAAAAATTCTATTCTTCTGGAGGTGGAGATTTGTAGTCTATGGTTGATATCTGTTATTTGATTGGCTAACGCGAAACCCAATAGAAAAAAGTGAATTGGCGGGAAATCTACTTTCCGTCGATTTTCGTTATATTTCCATTTTTTATTTGATTGTAATTAATACGATATTAACCAAAAGTTTCACAAACAGGATCCACATATAATGATGAACGAATTCTGTGTATGTGCCTGCAAATAAATTTAGAAAGAAATGGCTTATTATTACCGCTCTTTTCTGTTGCTGTTTTCTGAATGGCCAATGAACCCACAATCATATGTTCGGTCCGAATCTCTTGTCTGAAGTACACTATATTAAAAATATTATTTAATCGTTAATTTTTAGATATAAATATATTAAATAATAAATATATTGACCTGAATAATATAATTTTACTGTTGTATTTGAATTTATTTTTTTATATATTTTATAGTTTGAAAGCTGTGAAGTTTAATAATCTGACTTCATTAGTAGACTTCGGAACGCAACAGATGTTCAGAAAACAAATTGGAGGGAAACGCTGACCAAAATAGCGAGCGCTCACCACGATCGCTTCAGAAGCGGCATACAGCAGTTGGGAAGTAAGACATTGTTCGTTCATAACTTAAAGTTGAAATATTTTTTTTCATTACGTTAAACTAAATTAAAATGGCCCCAATCGTCGATAAGGAGAATTTGCACAACGAGTTCAGCAATGTGCATTTAAAGGTTAGTAATTCTAGACACTTATTTCATGTTGGTTAATGAATATGACAGCATGATCATGTCAGGACAGGTATTTAACTACAATATTATCAAAATATCTTGCAGTCCCCTGTTAAAAACAACGTTTTGGCTGAACGTAATGAAAATATGAGTGGTGAAAGCATGGAGGTCGAAGGAAAGACCACGGAGGTTGTTGAGTTTGACCCACAAAAGGAACCATTGCTGAGGGACAACCCTCGCCGTTTCGTCATATTCCCTATCCAGTATCCTGATATTTGGGAGATGTACAAGAAGGCTGAGGCTTCGTTCTGGACTGTTGAGGAAGTGGACCTTTCCAAGGTAGTTTTTGTTTATATTTGCTTTATTATTTTTTGTATGTTACACTGTTGTGGGTCGTAGGAATCTATATTTATTTGTCGTATTTATAGTAAAAGTAAATAGGTGTGACTTATTTTAATACTTATTAAGTTTACGGGTGGACGCGGTAGAGCTCCCCCGCAAACTGTTAACGGAAACTTCCTAAATTAAGGCGTTATGTTTAGCGTGTTATTTTTCCAACAAAACATACATACGACGTTATAGAATCGCGCGTCCCTTTTAATTTTTTTTTTTTTTTTGTTATTGTTTATTAAATTGATTAGTAGATTTACGATATTTTCAATAGCATTTGTTGCGCTGTTTTCGCGTTAAAGCTATTTAGTTCAGCGTAACCATTAAAAAAACATTACAAACACCAAATTCAAACAATGATTATTGTACACTTAACTCTGCTTTAGCAATGTGACTCATTTAGATATTTTTTGTTCAGGATTTATCTGATTGGGAGACTCTTAAGGACAGTGAGAGGCACTTTATCAAACATGTCTTAGCTTTCTTTGCTGCCTCTGATGGAATTGTTAATGAAAACCTGGTTGAGCGTTTCTCTCAAGAAGTTCAAGTGACTGAAGCCAGATGCTTCTACGGTTTCCAAATAGCTATGGAGAATGTACATTCCGAGATGTACTCTCTACTGATTGACACATATATTAGGGACCCGAAAGAAAGGTAATTTATTTGTCCTTTTTTTTATGTGACACGCATTATTTGTTTTATGTGTTATTGTTATAACATTGTTGCTAGACCAGCATTACTCATGCATTTTTTTTAAATAATACCATTGTATGTTATTCCGAGTATTGTACCTAATCTAAATCATATTTCCTGTACAGAGACTTCCTGTTCAATGCTATTGAGACTCTCCCTTGTGTGAAGAAGAAGGCTGACTGGGCCCTACAATGGATTGCTAGCCAGTCAGCAACATTTGCTGAGCGAATTATTGCATTTGCCGCAGTTGAAGGAATCTTCTTCTCAGGCAGCTTTGCTTCTATTTTCTGGATGAAAAAGCGTGGTCTCATGCCTGGCTTAACATTCAGCAATGAACTGATATCTAGAGATGAGGTTTGTACATATTATTTTCATTTATTTTACACACAGACACACAATTGGGCAGTTTCCAAAAGTTTCCAGGACAAAAATAAATTATTTTAACTTTTCAGTACAATTAATTATTAAAATATAATCATACTTTATTCACTAGTTTGACAACATAAGTATATTGTCAAAATAGTATTACTATTATATTTTATTAAACTTTTTAAAAGCAAGTATGCTGTTTGACATTAGCAAGCAAAGTTGTGACATCATAATATAGGTATGTACTTATGTAGTAGTATATCTACAAAATTAATAGAAAAGTATTTTTTTGACATTTCGATAAAAGTATTTTGAATTAGAAATTATAATTTGACTTAACATATTTTTGGAAACTACTGAATTGTTTTTGCACAACTGCATGCTCTCACTTACAATCAATATAATAACAGCATTAATTAGGTTTATTATGTTATCATTGGGAACTGTTATATCATACTGTTATCAGTATGTTACTCTACTCACATATACTTTGTAATCTACATGTCTAGATTGTCCAATAACCATTAAATCTTTGAAAACTACTGATTAGGTATTACAATTTTTTAATACCTTTAATTGGAATGTGTTTATAATAATAAGCATTGATTATAACTGGTATAATGTAGGTTTTTAATACTATTTCACATTCATACAAGTACTGATGAAATTATGTAAATTTTTAATGACACTCATGAATATTTGTTTCTACAGGGTCTTCATACAGATTTCGCGTGTCTCATGTACCGCCATGTGGTTCAAAAGCCGAGCAAAGAACGTGTACTACAGATTATTAAGGATGCTGTAGTAATTGAACAGGAATTCCTCACTGATGCGCTGCCCGTTAGGCTACTTGGAATGAACTGCGAACTTATGTCAGACTACATTGAATTTGTTGCTGACAGACTACTTATGGAACTAATTGGGGAAAAGGTAAGTCATGTTCAATATGTAATATCACATTAAATACACATAAGATTACTTAAGTAAAGTATTTCCTGAAGGTCAATTGGGTCATGATAAATTATGATTAAAATTACTTATTTAGTTTCTAGTTTATTTGGTCAAATCAGGTCACTCAATATCAGTGTTTTAATGTTACTGATATGATTTCATATTTATGTGTATTTTGTTTACAGCACTACAACACAAAGAATCCATTTGACTTCATGAATCTGATTTCACTGGAAGGTAAAACCAACTTCTTCGAGAAGAAAGTGAGTGAGTACCAAAAATGGGGAGTAATGGCCAACCAGATGGACAATGTATTCACACTGGATGCTGAATTTTAAACTGACTTAACACTTACTAAACTGCAATAGACCAATTTGACAGTATTATTGACTCCAATCAAACTGAAAAATTAAGAATGTTTTATGATAGCATAAGTTACAATTTTGTTTGAGACAAAAACGAGAATTGTTTGACTGACAGATTGTAATTTTTCAAATAAGACTTGAGGCCGATTTCACATGCTCTTGTAGCCAATATCTACAAAACTAATTGAACTTTATTATAATCAATGCTGCTAGTTTTATTTATCAGAGCATGCTGGTGAAATTGGCCCTAAATGTGTTTTTGACATATTGTGTAAGGATAGATAGTGTAGTTCTTTACAATTAAGTAACAAGTTTTCTCAATTTTTTGTACAGTTGATGCAATAGATATAAGGGCTTTTAGTACCTAATAATATATTTTATAGTAAAATGGGATCATTTCAAGATGATTTATTCTGTGATAGATAATATATGTGTTCTAATTGCACACATATTCATTTCGAGTTTTAAGTATAATGCTTTTACTAAATATGTATTTTAAGTGTGTTAAATATATTTTTGCTAGTAAAATTAAATACCTACTTAAATATAAAAGTGTTTCCTTTTCGTTACAAATGGCATCCTAAGCTTCTTTTATCACCACCATATAAAGAGCTTGTTTTTGGCAACCCATGCCATTGAATGTTATACATTAAGATGTATTTAGTATTCTTGAAACGAATAGCTGCAGATCTCCAGATATGCATCACATATTTTCACCATCATTATCGTTACACAACTGTCTCATCATCACCAATCCCACCACCCCCAGTTCCCCGTCTACGCATATGATTTTATATGCATTTTTGTTAGATTATTTTTATTTAGATGTATTTTGTCACTGAGCTGAGTGGGAGAAGGAACGGGGTGATTTTTAGGAAGAGTCAGACACAGTACCTTGGCATTAAATGTTTCAGATGATATGAAAAATAAAACCGTTTAAAAATTGTATACCGTTACCAATATTCGAGCATTTTGCGAGGTCGCTATGGTCTCTCGTCTCGAGCGTCGTTAAATTAATGTTAGAAATATGATTGTTGATATCCTGTTTTTTTTTTTTTTTTGGTGACGGGTTGGAAAATCCTCATGGAGACCCACCACCCTCGGGGTAAGGGCGAAGGGTAGGTACTGTCAGACTCTTACTGACTAAAAACCAACCCGGTGTTCCTCCAATAACCCATGTGTCGGAGGGGCGGGTATCGCCGAAGCATTCGTCGCAACCCCCCGACGGGTATTGGCCCGCCAGATGGTAAGGCGGCCCCCGTCACCCCGACCGCAGGATTCCACTAAAAGGCGCGCGCGGAACACGGCACCGCCGCCTCGAGGCCTGCTGCTGGTCGGACGACTAGATGCCCCAAGTCTGTCGTCCGCAGGCCGCGCCCTATGGTGGCCGCAGATCGGCCACTCTAGTGCGTCTGCTGCGGGAGGGAAGAGATGAGGCAGCCTCTCTCTCCCTTTCCGCCGCCTCCTTTGCGAGCATCACGGCCTCGCAAAAGATAGCGACGGCACTCCACCCTGACTCGCTCCCGACCATAGTAGACACTACAGCCGGAAGCGAAAGATTTCCCGCAGCACCTACGGCCGCGACCAGGTCACGGCGCTGCTCGGCCCAAGCTGGACATTCCGCCAACGTATGCAGCGCCGTATCGTCGCGGCAATTACCACAATGGTGGCACTGAGAGGTCGGCTCCCGGCCTATGCGACACAGGTACTTCCCGAAACACCCGTGTCCGGTAAGCACCTGCGTCAGCCGGAAGCTGAGGGCGCCGTGGCTCCTATTGAGCCACTCCTGTAGAATTGGCCTTACCGCCGCGCTATAGCGGCGTGCCCCGCCGTGGGTTGCGCTAAACGCGTCTGCCACTCCACCACTAAGGCCTGGCGGAGTTCTGCCCTGCGTGCCTCAACCTGTCAAGGCACCAGGCACTCGCCCCGCTCGACTGCATATCCTAATGATGTGTGTGTGCGCCTGACCTCTCTGTGGGTGGTTATACCGGTCTTCCGTCCACGTCACTTTACTAAATCAATTTTTTTTTTAATGTTTTCCTTTTTTCCCATCCTGATAACGTACCTAACTAATTTATACATTCAGCTTTTTTTCTTGAATGGCAACTGTGATTAGATGTTAAATTGTCAAAAGAAAAGCCGATCGACTGACATACGAAGGACTCTGTCATAATATGTAATGTCAACATGCAGCCGGCCAGCGGGTGATCAAATGGTGCTGTGACTGTGCTATAATAATTATTTTCTTCCTGACTTTCATACCGCCTGTGATTTTATTATTGTGCTTTGTTTTAGAAAACTTTATGTAGAGAGTTTACAAACAAATAATTCCAAAAATGGGAGAATTCCAGAGAGGGGATTCAGATTAAACTTTATAAAATAAATCATAATATATTTATCATTAATAAACAAACATAAACTTCGCAAGAAGTGATCTGAACTTCTCTAAGATCTTGACAAAAGGTAACATAACGATTTTTCTTATACTAACACATTTTGTTAAAATTAAAAACTTCACGGACGTCACTTTTATTGTCCTGTATTTCATGTTATTAAGTCTTATTTTAAAATAGATAAATAACGACTTTGTTACCGCCAATTACATACTTATAGAAGATTTTTATGAATGTGGTATGGGATGGGTGAGTTTGTAAGGTTTATGTGATGCAATACCTATTAATTTATAAACCATTACACTAACACATTGTCTGTAACATTTATTCATTGTTAATAAATATTGTTAGTTGTTGTTGTATTACATTTCATTGATTATTAAAATTTAAAACAGTTGATCTTGGAGGTTTAAGCATCTTGGTAATTATGTAAATTTTGAAACAATCTTGTGTATCATCACAACCAATGACCATTTTTTTTTATTATAGACAAAACATGTACTAAGAATAATGATGCAATAGTTCGCAAGCTCACCACTGATGTTTATGGATGAAGAAATAAAAAAGTGTACTGACTTTTGAGATGAAGGAACTGTATTAGAGCACATCTGATATGGAATCCAATTAACAGGTGCAATTAAAGAACAGTTCCATTTTGCTCAACTACTATTTGGGCAGATTATGTACTTAGAAATTTTTGCTTCCTTTATTCTTAGGTGGAATATGAGCACAAAATGGCACTTAATCTTCGTTAGAAAATAGTGATACTAAAGCACTAAATAGTAATCCTATGTACTAAGATGTCCCCCAATAAACATCAATTTCAAACACCAAACTTGGAGCTCATGTGTTCCATAATTATGCTAGTTCTGTCAATTCAAACTTAAACTTGGTATTTCTTAATTCCAGGAAATAATCTAATTCTCTCATTTCGATTATCAAGAAAAATAACTGCTTAGCTAAAATTGGTTTTCATTGATTTTTAAAGATGACAGCAGTAGAGAGTAGTGACGTGCCCCACTTAGAAGTTGAGAAAGCGGAGCACACAAGCACCGCGGCAGAGTTATCAGCCGCTCAGCGTGCTCGCATCGAGCGAAACCGTCTGCGGGCACGCCAGCTGCGAGACGCGCGTCTCGTGGCCCGACCCAATAACCGGGAGCCTATTACTGCACCCATCGCGGCTACAGACAGTGGTGGTGGCTTTATACCCGAAGTAGAGGAGTCGAGTCTGCCAGTGCGAGCAGTCCCACCGCCTGCGCCCATCGTAGACCCAACAGAAAGACCGCAATGCCTCGAATGTGACCAGCTGTTTCCCGAATCCTATCTCTTCGACACGTTTGGATACAATGTGTGCGATGAGTGCAGGTCGGTATAGTTCGCGATTATTAATTTTCGATCTTCCGACCGATCAGTAATGCTTAACGATCCTTGCACTGCAGGGACGACGATGGTGCCCATGCCTTAATCACACGCACCGAGGCGAAGAACTCATTCCTTCTGAAGGATTGCGACCTAGACCTGCGGCCCCCGGCTCTGCGCTTTGTGCGGCGCCGCAATCCGCACGGGTCGCGGCTGGGCGACATGCGACTGTACCTGCGCGCGCAGGTGGAGGCGCGCGCCAGGCTGGTCTGGGGGTCGGACGAGGCGCTCGAGGAGGAGCGCGCGCGCCGCGAGGAGGCGCGAGTGCGCGCCCGACACACGCAGACATCGCGGCGACTGCGCGCGCTACGCATGGACGTGCGCTCCAGTCTATTCGACAAGTCGCGCGCCCTACACGAGCATGCTTTTGGCGAGGAAAAGTACGACGAAGCCACCGATTTATATTCACGTTCCTGTGCTTGTGGTCACACCGAAACTTATGAAAAAATGTAAAAATGGAATGGATGAGAGTGTGTAAATGAGCTCGTTTTTTTCTTTTTATATTTGAATTCTTCCTACATGTAACAGGTCAAGCCCTAGGTACCATACTCCGTCGTTTACATTCATATATCGGTGACCGACGCGCAGCAACAGCGGATGATAGTATACAAATAGTTTATAAGTGATACTAGGAAAACCTGTAGTGTAGGACCGCATGTACATTTAGCATGTAAAGCCGGAAACAAGAAAGTTGTGATCATAAGGCGCAGCTGGTTATCGAGCGGACAACGCATAACCGTCCACGAACAAGCAGCGGTCAGACTGCGGATTATTGGTGGAGGGTTGTGTCGTCGTTTTATTGAAACGTTAAACTATCGTAAGTGAAATATTAAAATTATATATATTAAAATATATATCATATCATCGATTAGGAGTTTTTTTAAATGAAATTGACTTTTGAAATGTCCTTCTGTGAAGCATAGGTACCCATTCAATTTTGATAGTTTGTGTTCAGTCGAAATTGCACAACACTCCAATGCACACAGAAGCAGCTCGGTCGGTCGCAGCGTCTACAACATTCGAGGCAATTTATTATGAACAAATATGTATTTAATAATTAATAGTGATATTTTTTAATTTTAGCAGATAAAATTACGCAGGGCAGGTTGAGCTTGTCTTCTCAGTATACGATATTGTTTTTAAAAGAATAAAAAAATATTAAAAAAAAAGAAATGTTTTATTTTTTTTTAATATTCACCCTATCCTCTTAAAACTTAAAGTAGGTAGGTACTTAGTCAAGAATAATGTTCAACAAGTATGTGATACCTGCATGTAACTTTACAATAATTTATTATAATGAGGGTAGGATCACACTGTACTTTCTCATTATTTCGAACATAACTTTCAAAACCAATTTCCTTATTATTTTGACGTTAACTTTCTTGTAATTAAAATTAAATAACCATAAAATATTGGGAAAGTACACAATGCGTGAACTTCGCCAACTAACACAAATTATTGCTAAATTACATGTTGGGTAACAATACTACGAATTTACAAAAAGGTAAGCAGTAGTTAATATTACATAAAAGAGTAATATAGGCAATTTATTTAATTTTATATAGTATAAAAAACAGAATACAGATGGAAAATGAAATATAGTTGGTACTACTATAGGTAAAACACAATAGGTAAGTACCAGGAAATGAATTTGCAAGCTAAATGACTTGCATTAAGATGCATGTGTACCTCTCACAGTGAAGTACTACATGGCATCAAATAAATGTAGCAGTTCAAGTGCTCATTCCATTTAGTTAATATAAAAACATAGCATCAAACATAATGAAATAAACAATTGCAGTTTCAATATGAAGATATCTTTACAATTCTTAAAAGTTAAATAAATGTTAAATCTACATCATAGTCATAGGCGTTAGATGGATTTTAAGTCTTCTGGAAGGTCATTCTTGGGATGTTTGTTTTCAAAGTGTTGTTTGTAGGTTTTAGGGTCGGGCATCTGCGCCTGGAAAAAGTGAGAAAATTATAAATGACTCATTTTTATCAAGTAATGACACTTTAACGAAAGTAACACTTATAACATAAATATAGTAGTTATGGTTTACAGTAAAAAATAAATTGCTATGATGTCAATCATAGTTCACAGCTGCACCAGTCTATCTATGATTATACCAATCTGAACTTATGACACCAAAGTTGTATTTTTCTACAAATGGTGCCTATGTATGAGGCTGCCTTCTTTAAATCCTACTTCGGGACCAGAAGCGTAAGTTAAAGTTTGTTTCAGAAAAAAGGAGGATATTCATAGTTTGACCAATATGGTATAGTTACACATAAGTAACTATAACTACTAGGTATACTTATTTTTTTAGATAAAATATATATAAAAAAATTTAAATAAAATATGCAGTCAGTATATGCACTGACTGCAAAGTCTCAGTTTTCACCTACACCATTAACCTCAACTTCAATTTTTTTTTATCCACTGTTTAATTACATACTTACAAATTATGTAAAAGACCATTCTAGTTGACCTGAAATAACAATAATCTCAATAGCTATTAGTCCATTGAGATTAATGATGTTTTCTTTTTAAATGCCTGTCCAATTGTGATTAACTAAAGACCACACTCATAAGTATGTACCTACTATCAGTTTTTTGATCTCTGATGGGGAAAGCTATCCATAAACTGAGAAACTGGTTGCCTTTCCCTTTACTTTTCAGTAATTATTTCACTCTGTATTGTTATAACAATGAACTTATTTTTGTAAATAAGCCATAAAACAGCGCTTTTACATGTTTAATTATATGTAAAAAAACTAGATGATGTGTAGACTGTTATATAATGCCAAAACATATAAAGTCTACCAATGTACTGTAATTGTTGAGTACAATTTAATTAAATAATAGAGTAGTAAAAGAAGTAGTTACCTTGCACACAACACAGACATGCACAAGGGCTTTCTGCGCTGCCTTCTTCTGGTCATTGGCACTGTGGCCTTGCTGTTTCTTCAGTTTTGATTGCTTCTCTGCAGCTTTAGCCTGTGATTGGAGTTTCTGTTGACCTCGTGCCATCCTTTTAAACTGAATACAAATTGATTATTAGTAATCTATGTCTATGTATAATACTTAGTTAAGAAACAATTCACAAAAATGGCAGTATCAGTAAAAGTGTTGGATGCATTTTTTTGTTATACTTTCACTCTCCTTTCTCTTTACAGACATGTCTCCTATGTAATAAGTTTTAGTTTATAAAAACTTGAGCGTTTTTTGTTAAACATATTCTTTTCCGAGTTGAACTGTTAACAAAGCTAGGCTGAGGGGAGCTAATTGATGAAAGTAGCAAGTAGAAGGTTCAGCAGTGGATGTCTTCCAGCTGATGACTATAATAATATTGAAGTAGAGAGTCATGCTTGCAAACACAGCCTATGCCATCAGTTAGCTAGCTTTGTAAAAATACCATGGACACAACTAATACAAAAATTGATTTCATGCCTTATCTTGAACGTCACATACTTGTTGATATTATTCATTAGTATGAAATATTAACATTATTTTATTCAATTTCAAAGATTTTATTATTGATTGACACAATGTACTTTCTTTCGGTGGCTACATTTCTTTCATGATCGGAAAGATACAACGTTACGATAATGCATTTATAACAAATAGAGCATGGTACTTTGCAGAAACAAGCCAGCTGTAATATTCAAGAATAGGTTAAGTATGTACTACGATACCTTCCACGTAAATAAAAGGTTGTTTTAAAGAATACCACTGATCAAGAACGACACGCTGTCAAAATCATAAACAGTAACAATTTTGGATGATTTCATTAGATCATAATTGCAACAAAATTCACACAAAATTTTGAAGAATATAAAATCTATGCTTACCAACTTTCTAACGATGCCAGTAAATTACTGTTTACGCCACAAAAAAGTATTATGCCTTATTTAGCACCAATGACAACAAATACCACAAACTAATAATATAACAGAAAAAAAGATAAAATGCCGATAATACTGTGTGGATGGATGGATGAAACTATGATTTGGCTGAAACTTTAAATGGTTGATGAAAGTGAGTACTGACTGGTACTGACTGACTATTTAGAGAGGTACGCGACTATGCATAGACTACCTATGAACACTTTAGTTAGAGTCTGACTGAGCAGTACTTGAGCACAAAACGATTGAACGGGCTTGTTTTTGTAGAAGACTATCTATCTCTCTCTATGGTACTCTATTAGTGTGTCAGAGTAATGTCAAACTTGAATGCAATGTTTTGACGGAAAAGTATGAATTTGTATACCTAACCTCAAATCCCTCAAATTGTAATCCTAATTGCATGAAATAGTAGTTATTTTCATATGAAAGTGGTAATTTTATTTTAATTTACCTGTTTATTAACTTTACTCGTTGCTAGCCTTATAGCGGTTAGTACGTCTAACTGCTATTCGCTTAGTTTTAAGCGTGTGTATATGAAATAGAAAGACGTCTTAATAATTCAATGCAGCGTATCACGGGTGTATTTTATAAAGCTCTCCCGCCTCGTTTGTTGGCGAGGTCGCGGTTAAAATGCTCTAAAGCACCAAAGGATACAGAGGAAACACCTCTTCGCCGGCTGCTAGACGATGCAAGTTCATTTGGTGAATCTGAAGTGGAAGCTGCAGAGCCCGAGATGCGTTGGGCAACCCAGCCATACCCAGCGCGAATTAAGGGCCGGCCCGATCCTGCACAGCCGCGGGTGGACCCTCGCGAGACCACTGTCTTATTGTTCCCGGGTCAAGGCTCGCAGCAAGTGGGAATGGGACGTGCTCTACAAAACTTTCCAGCAGCCAAACAACTTTACGACCTAGCTTCAAGTATTGTTGGGTAAATTTACAACTTTAAAATTATGCTTTAAATAAGTAACTTGTTGAAAAGAATTTGATTACTAGATTAAACCTTTAGAGGGGCAGGCAGGTATTCAAGTGGCAGTGTATATTTATGTACACTGCTTTCTGAGAATCATTTTAACAAGTTCTAAGTAGCTTAAAACAAGTATATAATTATATAAACAGAACAGAATTAAAAATAAAATAATAAGAATAACATTTAATAAAAATATTATAAATTGTATATTTTATCGAACCTGGAAATCCTTAAACTAACTATCAGTGTTAGGTTTGGGTTGATGAAATAAAACTAAGTTTATTTATCAAATTGCAGAGGGAGAATTTATTGTTATACTTTTAGGAGGTTTGTGTTGCCTAAGGGTGTAAGCAGAACAGAATAAGGCGAGATGTAAACATCTCAGTGAGGGTTAGCTGGCCACTTAAGGCACTTATAGTAGTGTCGTGAGAAACATAGGTAGATTCCAACAATTAGTGTCTCAAATTAGCAGATATACCTAATTAGCTAGTTGGGGGTCAGTAGAATGCCTGTGAGAACCTATGCCTATCAAATGCTGCACTAATGCTCAATTTAACTGGGACTTGGGATATGTATGCAAACCATATTAAAATTCTGTGAGACGTGGTCGTTTTTTTTTGTTGAATAGAAGGTAAACAAGCAACCTGATGGTAAGTGATCGGCGCCGCCCATCGACACCTGCAGCACCAGAGGATTCACACGCCGTGCGTTGCCGGCCTTTTAAAAAGGAGTACGCTCGTTTCTTAAAGGTTTGAAAGTCGTATTGGTTCGGGAATACCGTCACCGGAAGATCATTCCATTTTAGGATGAGGAATGTTTTTTTACTATAGTTCAACATAAGCATTGGTTTGCACAGGTGGGATGTAGCTCGCGTGTGCATCGAGGGCCCAGAGGACGAACTGGCGCGACGTTGCCAAACTGCAGTTTTGGTGACGTCATTAGCGGCGCTGGAGCGCGTACGCGAGGAGCGACCGGCCGCCGTGGAGCGCGTGCGTGCCGCGGCCGGCTTCTCGCTCGGAGAGATCGCCGCACTCGTCTTCGCAGACGCTCTGTCGCTGGAGCGCGCCCTGCGCCTTGTGGAGCTCCGTGCCGCCGCCATGCGCGCGGCCGCAGCGGCCCGCCCCGGCGGCATGATCACTGTATGGCTGGCGGCAGACGCGCGTCTTTCCGCCGCGATGAACCGAGCACGCGAACATGCCACCGAGCGCGGGCTGGAGGGAGCGGTTTGCCAGGTGGCTAACTACTTGTACCCCGGCTGCAAAGTGCTGGCCGGGGATGAGGAAGCCTTGCGATTTATAGAGAAACACGGTGCCGAGTGGGGTATCAGGCGAACAGCGCGCGTTCGCGTAGAAGGCGCTTTTCACACACCATTGATGGCCCCGGCGGAGGCGGCCCTGCGCGAGGCGCTGGGTGCGATAGAGCTGCGAGCGCCGCGGCTGGCGGTGTTCTCGTGCGTGGACGCGACGGTGTACCGGTCGGCGGGCGCGGTGCGGCGCCAGCTGCCGCGCCACGTGTCGCGCCCGGTGCGCTGGGAGCAGACGCTGCACGCGCTGTACGCGCGCCCGCGGGGCGAGGCCTTCCCGCTCACGTTGACACTGGGCCCGGGGGCTGCGCTGCGTTCCACTTTGAGACAAGTCAACGCTCGCGCTTGGGACTCTTCACTTCAAATCGACGCATAATTGGAAGTTTTTAAATCACGTATTTCGTTAAATTTTAAGACACGCATAGAACTATAATGTGGTGTATGAAGTGCGTAGAAGCACAACGATTGGCCTTAGTGAGCTCATGGGACCAAACCCAGGAACCATTAATGGAGATACTAACTGAAAGTTATTATGTACATGAATTACATGTTGGCCATACATGACTAGATGTACCAAATACATTATCCGAATGTTTATGTACGTAATGTAATTGTGTAAATAAGCAAGCTGTACTTGCAATGATGACTGAAAAATATTGCCTGTAGTGGGTTAGCCATGATTACTTTTATATGTCTTGTAAATAGTAATTCACTTGTAAATAAATATAGTAAGACGTAATTCAATTACGAACAAACAAGGATTTTTATTGCAGTCAAAGTATTACCAACTACCTTTCATTACAATCCTGATTCTCTTTTCCATAACATATCAGGTACCCACTTAAAAACTCCCAAAGACCAACCGCAGTTTTCTACATTCAGTACTTTTGAGTGCTTTGTTTGTTAGTTCTTTACTGAGCAGAATACATTTCTCACCACGAGTTAGTAGGGGATTAACTCTCCCCCGGGTGTCGTTCATATTAGTCGTTGGTTGGACTTCCACAAAGGACATTCACACGCTGCGTCAAGCTATAAGTATGGTAGGCCGATGAGTACCTATAACTTGTCACATACGTGGACTATGAAAAAGCTATTGCTTCGATCGAGACTTGGGTAGAGTTAAGGTCTCTCTAGTATTGCCATTGATTATCGATATATCGAGGTCTTGACGTGTTTCACTAAAAACGTTACTTAGATAGTCGAGTACAAGAGCAGAGCACGAGGGATATTCCTCTTCAGCGAGGAGGAACCTGATGTCGCCTACAACGTCAAAAGTAGGTACAACACTCGAACTTCGGTTTGCCGACAAGTTGGATGTTTGGGTTTTTATTAAATAAAATAACTTGCTTATTAAAATTTATAATTTATTAAGCATAATGACATATTTTATATCTTGTTTGTAATACAACTAAGGTTCAAGAAGGACTGAACCAAATGTTATGATTTGTAGAATTTGTCTTGGAGAATTTGATTGTCACTAAAGAGAGTTCATTTCCCACATATTTTGTATAAGTTAACATAATTTTAATTGATCCTGAGGCGGTTCGAATTTCACAGTAGGACCTACTTACGTAAACAAAATGAAAATAATACATAAAGTAGGCAACAGACCGTACATATTTACAACTTTACCGTATGTTTGTTTTACTTTACTACTATAGCTATGATTATGACCGACAATACAACTATTCGACTTAATCTATGTACAGTTATTTACATTTCGTTTATTTAATTTATAGTTTATCGTTACAATGTTATTTTGGTACTAGAATAGCAATCATTATTAATTAATAAATCCAAGTCGAAAAATATGAAACTGTCGATCGAATGTGAGATTAAAACTTGGAACAATTACCTATAAATAATACTTGCTAGAACTTGTCACACTCGGAAAACGGAGGAGCACAGAGACGTTCAGATCTCACGATCACAGATTGAGCGGGTTGGGGGTCGGTTGTCCGCCCGCGGCCGCGACGGCGCCGCCCAGCTCGGCCAGGCGCGCGAACTGGCGCAGCGAGCGAGCGTCGCGCGTCGCCGCCAGCGCCGCCGGCATGCGCGTCACGGCCTCCTCGGCCCAGGCCTCCGCCAGCTTCAGCTCGTGCGCCGCCGACGGCAGGCGCAGGCGCGCGGCGCGGGACGCGCGCGACATCACGGCCGCCGCGGTGTACGCGTCGATGGCGGAGCTGGCCAGCCGGTTGAGCACGAACTGCTCGTCCACGATGCCGCGGCCGTGCCGCACCAGGGCCGCCTCCACCGTGCGCCCGTGCTCCATGACGCAGCGGCCCAGCTCGGCGGCCAGGGACCTCAGCTCGGGCGCGACGTGCGGCGCTAGGTCCGGCCCGCGGGCCAGCCCCACGGCGCCCGCCGCGCGCCTTCCGGCCTCGCTGAAGATCAGGCCCAGGTGCGCCGTTGGATTCTTGAATGCGCGTTGGAGCTCCTGTAGATGTGAGCCCGCGAACTGGATACCAGTCAGCGCCACGAACAGGCGCAGGATGTCGTTGGTACCTTCGAAAATACGGAAGATGCGCAGGTCGCGCAACACTCGCTCTAAGCCTGTAGCCTTCATGAATCCCATACCGCCCAAGATCTGAATAGCTTCATCTACCACCGTCCACGCGGAGTCCGATGCAAACACCTGAGATACAGACATATAGTTAATATTTTTCTTATTCTTGTGTAGGAACCTCCTGAATTATACAACAGAGAGGAAAATTGGGTGAGACCAATAAGGCGCAAACCTTCCTTACCTTGGAAATGGCGGCTTCTAGGTGGTAATCTGAGGCTCCCGTGTCCATGTTGCCACTGACCATGTAGGCCAGAGACTCAGTGGTGTACTGCAGCAGGGCCATACGCGCCAGTTTCTCCTGTATGGTGCCGAATTCCGCCAGGCGTTTCCCGAACTGCACGCGCGTGGCGGCATGCTCCGCGGCCTGGCGCAGTGCGGAGCGCTGGGTGCCGGCGAGGGCGGCCGCCATACCGAAGCGTCCGTTGTTGAGGATGTTCATGGCCACCTTGAATCCATTGCCGATGCCTCCTAACACGTTCTCTATGGGGATCTTGACGTCCTCGTAGTACACCTCGGTAGTGTTGGAGCACTTGATTCCCATCTTGTTCTCGGGCGGGCCGGACGACACTCCGCCGAACGATCGCTCCACGATAAATGCTGTCACCTGTAACATAACATGTCACCAGTTACATACATTCATCACGAGATATTAAAATAAATCTGTTTTACTCTGTGTTATACCTTATCGACAGTCTTGCCATCCTTCTCGATGGGAGTTTGTGCGAATACTGTCATGATCTCGGCGATGCCTCCGTTGCTGATCCAGATTTTGGAGCCATTGAGGATGAAGTGCTTGCCGTCGGGAGACAGCACAGCGCGTGACCTGTCGCATACCATATTTCACAACTTCGTCCGATAGGGCGTTATTGCCGGGATTTAGCTTACTCAGGGGTTTTTTTTTTTTTTTTTTTTGTGAGGGGAAAATCATCAAATGACTTCTCCCGCCCAGGGCCGGGCAGGAGGGAGTGTCAGACTCTTACTGACTAAAAACCCCCCTGTTCCTTCTCCTGCTCTGTGCCGAGGTCGCGGTACCTCATTGCGCTTACCCCGCAACCCCGGCTGAACATCAGCCCTTTAGGGCCCCGTCTGTGGTGGTCTATTGGCTCTTTGAGGCGCGCGCGGAACGCTACGCGCCGTACGCTCGGGAGCTTACTCAGGGGTAAGCTGTTAAATTATATGTGAAACTAGCACTACTAGCAGACCCAGCCACACTTTGCTGTGGCTAAGGTAAATAATAATGTAACTATAATTAAGATGTAAGCTATCCTATCTTTCAAGTTGGATCAAAATGCACACGGAATGCAAATCAAATTTAAAATCGGTTTAGTAGTTGGAGTCCATCGCGGAAAAACATGTGACACAAAATTTTTGTATATATAGATAAGCATGGAAATAAATAGTGGCTAGTTGGTGACTATGAGTAAGTAAAATGAACGGGTCATACTTGATGGAGCCGGCGTCGGAGCCAGAAGAGGGCTCGGTGAGACAGAAGGCGGCGTACTCCCCGCCGGTGACCCGCGGTAAGTACTTGGCTTTCTGCTCGGGGTTTCCGAACAGCAGGATGCCCTTGAAGCCGATGGACTGGTGCGCACCGAGCGTGATGCCGACACCCAGGTCGTGCGCGCCCACTACCTCCACTAGGCGAGCGTACTGTGTGTTGGACAGCCCCAGACCGCCGTGGTCTGCTGGCACCTGCAGACCAAACGCCCCAAGGTCCCACAGACCGGAAACTGTGTTTTCTTCTATTTTCGAATCATGGTCATTCTTGGCGGGGTCATTCACCTGCAAGCAAAAATTATATGAGTCAAAAAGTTAATAAATAAATTCTGCCCCCATTATATGGGGTTCATAATATAAGTGCCAAAAATGGATGTTGCATTAAATTTGGCCTGAATAATTCCTTTCTCCTAAAGCAAGTTATGTCTACCACAAGTGTAATAACTAACTCTGGCAATATTTGGTTCCATATCTAATGCAAACATCATTATGAATTTTCGTCATCTGATATTCATAATTACAAATATAATGTATAAGTTCACTGTCCTGTAGCTGTTATGTATAACTGGTAAAATTATAATGACATAATAATGATATATATCAGTTGTGGAAAGATTATTGTACTATGATATTAAATGGGGTAGTTTCCTAGATCAAAAATAAATTAATTCAACATTTCAATGCAATAATATTGAAAAATAGCTATACTTATATTCATTCATCTGTTGATACACAAAATTTTAGATATTTTTTAGCTAATTATAAAGAAATAAGTAAACTATTTGACACAAAAATTCTATGACGTCATAACTCAGTTTTCAAACAAATTTCATAGAAAAGTATTGTTTTTGACATTTGGATAAAAGTAATGAATGTGACTGCTTGGAAACTATAGTATTACCTCTTGGAAGAACTTTTCTACAGGCGGCACAAGCTCCTGAAGCATTTGGCGCTGGTCATCCGACAATGGTTCAGGGTAAGGGAACACCTGCGCGGTCTCCAGACGGCCGCGGAACAAGTTTAGTGTGAACGACGCACTCTCGCGAGCCGCGCCGCGTTTCTGGGCGGGTGCCTCGCGTGCTTCCGTGGCTAGCCATCTGCTAAAATATTTAGACATATTTTTACTTTATTCATCTTGACTGATCATGACATCTTCATATAATTATATATACTTAATAATATGTTGTTATTGATATGTCTATTTAATTTTATAAGTAAACTTTACAAAAATTCCTTTTAATCATAATCATAGGTTTAAGTGTAAACACTTTTGAAGGGGTCCTGATTTTTATCATGGCATAATAGAAAGTAAACTATAACTTGTGCCCCATGGAATCTCTTTTTCTATGACATAAGGTGTGTTATAAAACTGGCAACAAGTGGGTGTTGCTTTAACATGCATTTATATTTCTCTACCTCCTTTCAATATACCACCATGTATAAAATATGTTATTTAAGTTATCAATATGTAATTTTTTATTGATATTTCTATTTTCAAATGTGGAAAAATAAGCTAAATAAAAAAAAATATGCATTGAATAGTTTGAAAGAGCCTGAAAGTTTGACTTTCAAATAGGACACTAATTACAAAAGAAGTATCTGAGACACTATGTGTAGGTACCCACTGACTCAATCTCCATACAGATTAGGAACATACTTTTTTCATCTAGAATAAAGTAATACTTTATGATTTAATGTTTTGGACAAAATAAGAGGAGTAGACATAGTAACATCAGAAATGTAGTTACATAGATATACAATAGGTAATTATCCCATATTACTAGCATAATTACTTATAAAATAATCTCCAAGCCATAATTAAAAGTTGACCTTAATCGGAGATAATGCTTTAAATAAGTATGTCAGCTGTCTATAAATAATGAGGTTGAGGTACAAAGTCCAAGTGACCGTGGACTATGGAACAACAAGGCCATGGTTGGCGATAACCAAATTTTAACAACTTTAAACATGTTTTACGCAAATTTGTAGACATACCTGTGCACTGGCAAGGGTAGTTGAGGAGTTTTTCCTGCTATGCAGCGATTAGCACACGTTAACAACTTTGCACCTTTCATTTTTAAGTTGTTTATTAAAAAAATTAAATATTTTTATACAATAATGAACACGTATTTATATTATCTAGAATATCAAAAGTACATTATAGTTAAAAAATGGTCGAAAATAAATTAATAAAAACGAAAACAAAATTGCTAATTCAAAACAGAAAACACTAATAAGACCTACAAAAATATGAATGATAAAAAATGCCTCTACGTGCTCTGCTTGTCTAGCTTTGACGTTAACAATATTGACGTATCTATATCAAAATGAAGTGTTGACTTTATAGAGATAACTGGATACTAGTCCATTGAGTCATAATAATGAACAACCAAAAATGGTTGATCGGGTGGCTGATAGCTGGAGCAGCCCGGCTCACTCAGTGTTGGTGGGCTGACTCAGCAGAACTGTCGATATACTTTATATAAAATTAGATTGTATTATTGTGTGTTATTTGACTACTATAATGTTTTTGGAAATTGTATGACAAGGGCACGTCCATGGAGACGGTAAACTGTAAATATAAATATAATTTGCAGAACATTCAAACTTTTTCAGTGTGGAAGCGCCATCCTTCACCACGAATGGGTCGGCCCGACCGAATTAATACTACGGCCACACAGAATGAGAAGCCCGGTCTGAAACAACCAAGGTATTATTTTCCACCAAGTGAGTTGTGAGTGAGGAAACTGAAAAACGTATCATCATCAGACTAAAGCTTGCTCAAGCAAAAGTAATATAGTCTATTTTAAAATGCTTCGGTATTACTTTGTGCAACGCAATTTTCAATTTGTTTCTCCCCATTCTCCTAAACATTTTCCAATTTGTTAAACGTCCCGCCAATGAGTATCTAGATAAGTAGTCGCCTCTAAGGCGATACAATTAAGTGTATTATTTTAAGTATCATATATTTTTAGGGTTCCGTACCTCAAAAGGATAAAACGGAACCCTTATAGAATCACTTTGTTGTCCGTCTGTCCGTCCGTCCGTCTGTCAAGGCTCAAGACCCTTTTTCTCAGGAACGCGTGGAGTCCGACTCGCACTTGGCCGGTTTTTTATGATATACTTATTATTTACGGGCTCGGCTATACTCTGTGCACAACATTTAAAAATGTCAGATTGGGCGGGAAGCTTTGAATAGAAAAGGCGCCTTTTGAAAAATATTTTATTTCAATTAAATACTAAATATCTTTTTTGTATAGTTATCGTGTAAAGTACTTGTAAATACCTGGTTTTGTATATATTTATAAAAAAAAATTAAATTATCAGAAGATGGGCAAGGTGAAAAAAAGAAAAAAGGATCCACCTGACGGAGCCGCCGCCGCCGACACTCAAAGCGACTCTTCATCCGAGGCGTCGGAGTTTGAAGATCCCACAAGGAAGTACCAAATTTTTAAGGTCCCTGGATACTCCAGGCGGTATCCAGAAACTTGTAAAAAAACTGAATATATCGTATTTCTTACACATATAGATGAAAAGCAACAGTTCTCTGACAAAGATCGTCTGGCTATTTCAAACGCCATTAGAAAACATTGTGTCACAGGTGTTCTGCATTTGAGACCAATAAACAAATTCAAAATAGCTATTACTTTCGATCTGTCCAACAACGCAAATGTTTTTCTCAAAAATAAAAAACTATTAGACGAATTAAAATTAAAAGCTACTATTCCGGCGTCTGATACTGAGGTCACTGGAGTACTTACTTCTGTCCCGATAGGGCTCTCAAATGAAAGGATTTTTTCTCTGATAGGAAGTTCCCGCAATATTATTCAGGTACGTCGGTTCATGCGACGTGTTAGAACTGAGCAAGGTATAGCATCGTTCCAACCTACCCAAACGGTGGCAGTCACATTTGCCTCAACAGAGTTGCCAGAGTATGTGTACCTTGATAATTGGAGACATGAAGTAAGCGTATATGTGCCTCCGGTAAAACAATGTCTGCATTGCTTGCGATTTGGACATATTGCAAAGTTTTGTAGAAACACAGAGGTTTGCTCAATATGTGCAGAGGGACACAATTATAAAAAATGTTTAAAAGACCCAAAAAATGATGCAAAGTGCGCAAATTGTGGAGGTAATCATATTGCCATCTCCAATGTGTGTCCACAAAAGAAATTAAAAGTAGAACAAAATAAAATAAAATCCATGTCTATTAAATATTCAGAATTATTTAAAGAAACCAATTTTCCACAATTACATGCTAAAACTTTAGAGACGCAAATACAAAATTTAACCAAATCAGATACTTTTATGAATATACTGACCCAAGCAATTACTAAAATAATCTTACAACAAAAAGATAAACCAATTAATTCAATATCAATAAAAGAAATATTACATCAAACATTCCGAAATAATCATACTCCCTCCAAATAATGGACACAATAAATATAATGCAATGGAACGCCCAAAGCATCATTAGTAATAAGTTTTTACTTACACAATTTTTAAATGAAAACAATATTCACATAGGTATTATTTCTGAAACCTGGTTACAACCCCAAAAGATTTTCAATATAAAAAATTACAAAATTGAAAGAAATGACATTGGTAGTAAACATAATGGTGTAGCCATTTTAATACATAAAAGTATAAAATATAATAAAATTAATACTTATTATGACAATTGTTTACAAAATATTTGTGTAAATATTACTGTAAAAAATAAACAAATTAGTATTGTAAGTTTTTATTGTCCAACTAATTGTTCTCCAGCCTTTGATAAATTGAAGTTTGAAAATTTAATAAAGTCCATACCTAAGCCAGTTATATTTGCAGGCGATTTTAACGCTCATCATACATCTTGGGGATGTAATTCTACTAATCCTAGAGGCAGAGATATTTTGCAAGTAATTGATGAAAATGACTTGGTCCTTCTGAATAGCGGTGAGGCTACCACGATTGGTTCATTGACGTGGCGTCCGAATGCTTTAGACTTGACTTTGGTTTCTCCATCACTGGCACTTTGCTCTAATTGGTCGGTATATAATGATCCTCTCGGCAGTTATCATTTACCTATAATGATAAACATTTTTGTTAATAATAGTGTAAGTAATAATGTACAAACTGGTAAAAACCTGCCTAATTTTTACAGCTTTAAATCGGTTGATTGGAAAATTTATGCTCAGGAGGTGGACTTTTTACTGACCAACTTTCAGGCCCAGGATTTTACGCCTTTGGATGCGTATAATGAATTCATCAAAATATTAGATTTGGCTGTTCAAAAATCAATACCAAAAAGTGTTTCACTTGCCAAGGATAGTAATTTTGTTAGAAAGTCTTTTAAAAAGGTACCTTTGCCATGGTGGAACCAAAAATGTACTGAGGTAGTTAATAAATCAAAACTAGCATACCTTAAATTTAAAAATAATCCATCAGATGAAACTTACATGGAATTCAAAAGACTTCAGGCTGTTAAAAAACTTACTTTAAAAACTGAGAGGACTAATAGTTGGGTCAAACTGTGTAGCTCATTTCATCGCTGTACTCCTATATCCCGAATCTGGAATTTTATGCGTAAATATAACAAAACATATTTTTATAGTAAAAATGATGACAGCTGGATCCCCCAATTTTTAAAAAAGTACACCCCAGACTACGTCAGTAACAAGTGTTATTCGTCCCTGTCCAGTTCAATTGATTCTTCCGATAGCTTCTTGGTTAAGCCTTTTTCGTTGAAGGAATTAGAGTCTGCCGTTTTTTCCAGAAGAGACACTGCATTTGGCTTAGACGGTATTCCTTATGTTATGCTTAAAAATCTTAATTCAAATAGCTTTGAAATACTTTTAGAAGTTTTGAACTATTTATGGCTGAATAATAAAATACCAAATTCTTGGAAATATGATTGTTTAGTGCCCATATTAAAACCAGATAAACCTACTTCTCATCCAGATTCCTATCGCCCTATTGCCTTAACTTCTTGTGTTGGTAAAGTTTTTGAACAACTTTTAAAACAAAGATTAGAATTCTATGTTGAGAAAAATAATATCCTACCTTCTAATCAATTTGGATTCAGAAGGGGTACATCTGCACGTGAAAGTATCTGTCAGCTTCAGCTTGATATTGTAAATAGTATAAATAATGGAAATTTTTTGATGTCTGTCTTTTTTGATGTTGCTGGTGCTTTTAACAGTGTCAATATAGATGTTCTTTGTTCGGAGTTATTGTCAATTGCAATCCCAAGCAAAATAGTTTCCTGGATACATACATTCTTAACAAATAGAGAAGTATTTGTAAAATATAACTCTAGATTATATGGTCCAAGGTTTGCATCTGTTGGAGTTTGTCAGGGTGGTATACTTTCTTCATTGATCTTTGTACTGTACATACGTCGGCTTAATTTAATTTTGGGTCCTGAGGTTAAAAATCTGCAATTTGCTGACGATTTGGTGGTTTATGCATCTGGAAAAAAAATATCTGATGTTAATAATGTTGTAAATAAGGCGCTAGAAGGGTTGTATAAATATTTTTCTTATTTAAACCTTGATATTAATCCTCTAAAATCGAAAGTGGTATTGTTCGGAAAAACAGATAGTTGTGGTCCTGCAGTATGCTATAACAAAATTCCAATTCCTCATTCTAATGAGGCAAAATTTTTAGGTGTAATTTTTACACAAAATTTTAAATGGAATAAATATGTTGATTTATTAACCATACGAGCTAACAAAGCTTTTAATATTTTAAAAACACTCTGTAAAACATCTTGGGGTGCTGACCCTAAAATATTACTATTATTATACAAATCTCTTATAAGAAGTCATTTTGAATATGGGTTTCTTTGTTTCGCTGGTAATAGTAATCTGGTAGATTTATTGGATAAAATTCAAAATAAAAGTATGAGGCTTATTACTGGAGCATTTAAAAGCACACCAATTAATTCACTACAAGTTGAGTGCCATCTGCCGCCAATGAATATCAGGTTTTCTTTTCTAAAAGAAAAGTTCATTTTAAAACTTTACAGTAAAAGTAATAATCACCTTTTGTCTTATTTAACACGATCTTCTTCTGTATCTTTTCATCAATCTCCTTATTTTCTTCAGGGCTTTCTTCAATTTCATACATTTCTTAAAGGATTGCATATTTATCAGTCAGAGTTGCTGCCCTGTTATCAGGGTGATTTTGAAAGTAAATTTCCTGCAATTAACATAATTATTGATAGCAAACTAAACTGTAAAGAAGATGTTTATTTTAGATTCACTGAATTTAGTGGTTTCAATTTCATTTACACAGACGGTTCGAAAACTGAGTCGGCTGTATCTTTTGCAATGTTTGATGAGCAATTGAATTTAGGCACTGGTTACAAAATTAACGCTAATGCAAGTATATTCACAGCTGAGGCTGTGGCTATTCTTGCAGCTTTAAAACACATAAAACATAAAAATGGTGGTCATTATAAATGGGTCATAGTTAGTGATAGCATGAGTGTTTTACAAAATCTTAAAAATAACAAATTGAATGCTAACACTAATTATTTCATATTTTCTATTAAACAAAGTTGGTTAGATCTGTTTAGGGATGGTTTTGAAGTTTATTTTATGTGGGTCCCCTCACACTGTGGTGTATCAGGAAACGAAAAAGTTGACTTCTTAGCTCGAACAATAACGAATTCTGCAGAGTATGTCCCTGATTCAAGTTGCCAACTTAATATTTTTACTCCATACTCAGATATTGTTTCTCTTTTAAAGAAAAGGTTATTAGATTTGTGGACAAAACATCATACAATACAAATACAGAATAAAGGATCATGGTATGCAACACTTAACAATTCAATAAATTCCAAACCATGGTTCTGTCAAAATAATAGTTATCTTTGTAGGAAATTTTACACAACCATCTTGAGGCTCCGCTTTGGTCATTGTCGTCTAAACTTTCATCTATATCGTCTTAGAATGGTACAATCTTCGGCTTGCGATTTCTGCGATACTGAGGTAGAGCAATCCTTGGATAATATTTTCTTTAGTTGCCCATCCTTTGGCATTCAGCGCCTTGTGCTAATGGATGAGCTAATCAAAATTTATAAGTGTTCGAATCTAGTCCCGCGCTCCATTCAGGATCTCCTTGTAAATAATGCAACTTATCTAGCTTTGTACAAATTTATAATTAGTACGGTAGAACAAATTTAAATGTAAATAAATAGTATTCTGTCTAGCATTGTTGAATTAAAATTGTATATAGGTATAGGTTTTGTTTGCTTGGAAAAATTTTATTGTTTTTCATTCACGTTTGTTATTTATTTATTTTGTTTGAGTGAGGTTGACCACGTGTCGACTCACGTCGACTGTTGAGTTTTTTGCATCTTTTACATGACTTAGTGACTAGGTAATTGTGACTGACAAGTGACATTATCTATCACAGAACAGAACATACCTACAATTTGTTCTGTGGAGATTACCTATTGTGACAGCCCGCTAGAGTTTCTTAGGATTGAATATACGAATGAATTTATACTTTACTAACTCTACTTATGATTTTAACTAAAACTAATGACTTAATCTTGGATTGAAAACAAATGAATAACTTAAAAAAAATATGGATGAGTAAAATACACTTTAATAAAAACAAAACTAATGACTAGGCGGTATGGTCTCGGACCTTAGCCTGTTCCCAAGGAACAAATAATATTAAAAAAAAAAAAAAAATTAAAAATGTCAAATATGTCAAAATGTGATATGTCAAATAAACGTGAAACGCTGTGGTGAGGTGAACTGTTAAAACGGCACAGAGCCACAACACAATCGAAGATTAAATAAATTAAAATGGAATTCTAACAAATAGGTTCCACCGATACTTATTTTAGGTGATACCAAAATAAAATACAAATGTTCGTTGCACATTTCAGGATTTACAGGATCTCTTATTAAAGAAAGTTTTGTAGGCGAAATATTTTTTCTATCTTACTGGCATGATGTAAATAGTGCAGTGTATAAATTGACTCGTAATGATTTGGCCTTACTTTAGAAGTACATTTTCTCCTCTAACCTCTGTAATCGTGTTATAAACCCTAAATATAAATAAATACTAAGTGCTCATAAAGAACAATGTAGAAATAATAATATATGTGTATAACTTTGACTAGAGAATAATATAAGTGTTATCAAGGTGTTGCTGAATTTATTGTGTTATAAGACCTGTTATCACTAAGCAGTCATAATGTCATCATTAGGAACATTACCCGTGATTTTGATCAGCTGTTTAGACAAGACTGTTGCTAAGTCTCTTGTTTCAGGTTCGTAACTATACTACTAAGATGAAATCAAGCGGTCACAGGTAGTGGATGTAATAATTTTGTGAAATTAATTACAGAACTAATAGACAATGATGTAACAAGCACATACATCCAAGATGGGCATTCTGATGATCGTGTATGGAAGCTGGTTAATAAATATTATACAGCAAATGTGAGACTTCACATATTGATAGATGATGGACAGCTCAGTGTCAGTCCTGAGAGCATAGAGGCACACATCATACACCTCACCGAGGAGGAGGTAAGTCTGAAATCTGTTTAAATTATTAATTTGTTTTATTTAAACTCATGATGGATCTGTATGTTTTTGAACAAAAGCCTGATGAAATATTATTCTATTTTGATGTTTCAAACAAAACACAAAAGCAGATGTAAATGGTTTAGATCATTATATCTATGGATCGTCATATATTGATGAGTAAAAGTGCCATTTTATGGCCTATTTGCAAAAAAATTCATTGTTTCATAGAAGAATAAATGTTGTTAACTTTGACTTCAAATAGTCAGTCACTATTTTAAGTTAAATGATTTCCCTTGCCCGTGGATGGCTTTTCCATGGCCTCAGCTTGGAGCAGGAGATGAGGTGGTTTTTAATCAGGAAGAGTTTGACACTCCTCCTCACCCAGGGTGGGATAAATCATTTGATATTCTTCTGCCCTCACAAAAAAACCTAATAATGGCAGTCATACATTTATTGTCATCATAATTCAGCCTAGATTCACTGCTTGGTAGAGATAATGTAGAATTTATTTTTGATTGTAACAGTAGTAGAAAAAAAAAACAAATCTTAAGTATTGTGCGTTGCCTATACAGTTAGAGGACGACAGCGCGTGGTGCCGGAGAGCGGCGAGCGGCGGCGGAGCGTGGCGCCGCGCCGCAGTGCGGCTCGTGGTGGCGGACTGCGAAGCGGAGCCCGGCGGCGCGCTGCCCGCCTGGAGCGCCGCGCAGCGCGCCGAGCTGCTGGCGTGGCGCGGTGCGCCGCCAGACGCGGGCGTGGAGCGTGCGCGGGACGCGCTGCATGCGCACGTGTGGCCCGGACTGCAGCGAGAAGGCCGCGCTTCCTGTCTACCCCCATGTCAGCCTCCACTGCTTTTATTACTCTCCACTTTTTATTCTACATAGCATTGGGCCGCCATAATCGGACTGCACGGCGTGCACCTCATTCTGTCGCATTCAGATTCAGAGGGCAGGCAAAACATGCAAATCATTATGTAACATTTAAAGTAACAGACTAAATGGAAAACATAAGAAATGTCATCGCCTGTGAAAATCTGGCAAGACGAATCAGCGTAATCACTACCTTTTTTAATCATTTGAAAATTAAACTAAAGTGCAATAAGTACTAAACTTTTCGGGAGGTATTATTTTTGATTTTTCTCCCAACGAAATAAGACCGCCGCTCAACGAGTAGCCTTGGGTGATAACTTGCTTTTTGCTAGCGACTTCGATCCTGACCTGTTTCTTTGTTCTATAACCATTAACATTTATATCTGATTTCTTATTTCAAAAATATTTGTTTCTGTCATTTCTTTCAGTGCTATCATCAGAGTCATGGTCGAGCTCAGGCGGATCGGACGAGTCGGACTCTGAAGCCGAGGAGCTGCGTGCCGTGGAGCAAGCCGAGGCGTTCGCGGCGGCGCTGGGGTCGCTGGGGGCGGCGGCGGCCGCGCGGCCCGCGCCGGGCTCCATGGCCGGCCCGGACCGCCTCGACCACGCCGAGGCGCTGGTGCAAGCCTTCTGCCGCGCACTCGGCTACGACATGGACTCTTGCTGAACTGAACTCGTCTTACTCTATCATCCTTTTTACCGTCTCATTGGTTGCACATAGGCATTGACATAGCTATGTATGTACATATTATAATATATTTTATATTATCTGATCTCGTCTTTTAACTTTAGTTATATCAATCATTCATCTATGTTTATGAATAAAACTAGGAACATTTTATATAGTAATAGTAGCCATGTATGGTAGGCACTTATATGGTTGTGGCCTAGGAAAAGATCAGTATTGAGTATAAAAAGTGCTTAGGATCATAAATAAACAACAATACCAAGTGCTTAAATAATAATAATATAATAATATAAATTATCTGAAATGCAACAAATGTAACATGTATAATAATACTATATCTCTCGAACGCATCGCTCGCGACGGATGTACTAACAACTATTAAGGCCCATAAACACGAAGAAGATTCATCTCAATCGTGCGTAAAATTAGATAACATTACAACGCACGCGCGTTTGTCGTTGTCTTTAGTCATTATTATGCAACCTTGGTAATTCAATACAACTATATTAAATTAAAAATATGCTATGGTTAGTAAATCACAGTGTACTAAATTAACTTACGATATGTAGCTGTCAGTGTAAAAAGCTACGCTTTTACACAAATATTTGCGTGTCTTAACAAAGTAAGTCTTTGTTAAAAAATATTAAGGCAAAGCTCACAACGCACGTAGTGTGCGTAGAGTGACGTCAGGCCGGGGCTAGCCCCGGGCGTGCCGCCTGGCTCGGGGGGCCGAGGCTAGCCCCGCGCGGGCCGTCTGGGTCGGGGGCCGGGGCTAGCCCCGCGCGGGCCGTCAGCAGTCGGGGGCCGCATGCAGCAGCTCGCGGCGCCGCAGCAGGCCCGCGAAGTACTGCGCCGCCAGCCGCGCGATGTACTGGTCCCGCGCGCCCCGCGCCGGCCACCAGCCCTCCAGGAAACCTATGTGTCCGCCGCGCGCCGTCACCAGCAGCGCCACGCTGCGCGCCGCCTCCGCCTCGGCCACGGGGATGGCGCCCAGCGGCTGGAACGGGTCGTCCGCCGCGCACAGGCACAGCAGTGGCACCCGCACCGCCGACAGCTTGTCGCGCAGCGTGGCGGCGCGGTAGTACGCGTCCACCGAACCAAAACCGAAGTGCTGTGTCGTGAAAGCCGCGTCGAACTCTCGCACGGAGCGTGCGCGCTCTACCCCGCTCCAGTCGCAAGGCGCAGCACGCAGGCGTTCGTGCGCGCGAAGTGTACGGCGCAAGTTGCGCGCCATGTGGTAAGACAGCAGCGCATTCAGGGGGGCCCGCTCCATGCACTCCGATCCCTTCTCTACGTCCAGCGGGGAAGAAACCGCCAGCGCCGCGTGGACGCCGGCGCGCTCGCCGTGCTCCGCTAGGTAGTGGCCAAGGATAAGGCCGCCGAGTGACACGCCCGCCGCCAGCAGAGGCACGTCGCCGGCCGCCGAGCGCACGGAGCGCACCACCTCGGCCAGATCGGAGTGGCTGACGGCGCAGTACAGGCGGGGCGTAGTCAACGGTAGCCCGCCGAGGCCGCGGTTGTTGAAGACGACGCAGTGCGCCCGCAGCGCGGAGGCGGCGGCGGCCAGGCAGCGTACGTAGTCTGCATCGGCGCTGCCCGTGAGCCCCGGCAGTACTAGAAGTACGGCGCGCGCGGGCTCCGCCTCGTACCGAACCCAGTCCAGGGCCACCTGCCCGCCATCAGACAACTGCAGCACCTCTCTGCAATACAACATGTCTTGTATAGCTATACTATAGCTAGTCAAGTTCAAGTGACAGTGCCAATACCTATGTCTATGTTAAAAGTTGAAAAAAGTTAAAAACCAATACCGGTGATACTTCACAGGCGGCAAGAGACGAGAACGCAGTAAAGACCCCAGAACAGTCTGCAACCGTGACTCAACACACCATGGTGTTGGCCAATAGTGCTCACTCAATAGTGGCACATTCTCTTCTAGGAACTGACGAAAATCTCCTTCTCGGCATATCAATATAGGCTTCTGTAAGAAATATTTTTCTAGCTTAGATAAATGAATAGATATTTCAACTAAATGTTCACATACAACATAAATATATTTGTATATACATAAAATATTAATATTCGTAATATAGTTTATTCATAATATAATATATGAAGGATTTAAAGAAAGTTCAGGAGTGGATGTCTTCCAGCTGATAATGTCAATAAATACTTTGCTTCTGCTTTTGTCTCACATGTAAGAGAGTCTGTTATTTATAAACTTCTCTCACCTCATATATTTATATCCTAAATGTCATAATTAGGATAAATCAATAAATATTAAACTACCACATCAGCTGAGTAGTAAATAATGTGGTTATTCAATATACATCTACAACTAGCTCGTAGCTCAACGTGGCTAACATCTTACTATTATAGCTGAGATATAATGAGGTAATGACGCCTGTATGAGTAACTGTTCAATGTTTTACCTTGACCACTTCCACTAGATAATAGGTTATATACAATATTGATAACGAAAAACCAACAAGTAACTCTTTTTTTAATTCAAATATGTACATAAAAATACCCAACATGATTTCTGTAAGATAAAGTTAAATAAATATAAAATAAAATAAAAATTATAGTTCCACTCCACTTAAACTCTGTTTTTTTGGTATTGATACATTTGGACAGTAGACACAAATGACATACATCAAAACGACTGACAGCCAGACATGAACCTTGGACTTGACTGACAACAATAAACTTGTGCTATTAGTTTAGTTGTAGTCGAAATACTTTTTTGTGAGGGGACAGTCATTAAATGACTTCTCACACCCAGGGTCGGGTGGGAGGGTGTCAGACTCTTACTGAAAAAACCCACCCCGTTCCTTCTCCTGCTGTGGGCTGAAGGTGCGGTGCCTCATTGCGCTTGCCCCACAACCCCAACTGAACAGGGCTGACGACGACAGAACTTGACTAGGACTAATGTGGTGGTCTATTGGTTCTACGGAACGCTATATGCTGTACGCTCGGGTCTGGTTCTGGTCGGGCGGCGAGTTACCCTTTCTTATTCGTCGTCCGCAGACCCGCACTTATGGTGGCCGGAGATCGTCTCTCGATCCTCGACGCCTGGAAGGTCGCCTACTGCGGAGACCGAGGCTTGAGGAGAGGGATAGCTCCCTCACGCCTCTCGGTACGTACTCGACTAAGGCCGGGCGCGATTCGATTCGGCCGCGCGGTCATAATTAGGATAAATCAATAAATATTAAACTACCACATCAGCTGAGTAGTAAATAATGTGGTTATTCAATATACATCTACAACTAGCTCGTAGCTCAACGTGGCTAACATCTTACTATTATAGCTGAGATATAATGAGGTAATGACGCCTGTATGAGTAACTGTTCAATGTTTTACCTTGACCACTTCCACTAGATAATAGGTTATATACAATATTGATAACGAAAAACCAACAAGTAACTCTTTTTTTAATTCAAATATGTACATAAAAATACCCAACATGATTTCTGTAAGATAAAGTTAAATAAATATAAAATAAAATAAAAATTATAGTTCCACTCCACTTAAACTCTGTTTTTTTGGTATTGATACATTTGGACAGTAGACACAAATGACATACATCAAAACGACTGACAGCCAGACATGAACCTTGGACTTGACTGACAACAATAAACTTGTGCTATTAGTTTAGTTGTAGTCGAAATACTTTTTTGTGAGGGGACAGTCATTAAATGACTTCTCACACCCAGGGTCGGGTGGGAGGGTGTCAGACTCTTACTGAAAAAACCCACCCCGTTCCTTCTCCTGCTGTGGGCTGAAGGTGCGGTGCCTCATTGCGCTTGCCCCACAACCCCAACTGAACAGGGCTGACGACGACAGAACTTGACTAGGACTAATGTGGTGGTCTATTGGTTCTACGGAACGCTATATGCTGTACGCTCGGGTCTGGTTCTGGTCGGGCGGCGAGTTACCCTTTCTTATTCGTCGATCAGATAGAAAGTTAGCTTTTCTAGCAATGTGGCAATGTTGTGAAACCTGGACAATATTGTAGGTACAACGCCGTAGTGTGCTATCAACTGATGTAAAATCTATCAAGGCAACAATGTTAACATTGACCTGTGATAGAATATCAGCGTCGACAGACCGAGTTACTTAGATAGAACACGTAGGACGTAGGACTGAGTAGGCCACATACTGCCTGTTAGTGTTTCAATCTTATAAATTCGGTTCGTCATCATCACTGATGTGTATGTATAATCTATACTGTACTATCTGACTGCTAAAGTATAAATGTCAGTGTCAAACTGTTATTTGTGGATTTTGTCAGCAGAATCAGTTCTACATACACCCATCAGTATTATCAATATTTATGATAAGATGATAGATTGAAAATAACATTGTCTTGAATCTAGAAACTTATTGGTCTTAAAGAGTGGATTCCTTCGTTATTATAGGGAGCTTGTAATGAACGCAGTACAAAGTCATTACATAATTTTCAGCATCGTATAAAGTATTAAAAAAATGGAAAACATAAAATCTTGGACAGCAGAGGACGAGGCAATCATTGCGACGAACACGGATGCAACAGAGTGCAAGCGATGCGCCGTGGAGCTTGGTTACTGGAAAGATGATTACATTTCGTATTTTGTACGGCACGTTGATCGCAAAGCCCCGGAGATAAATCGCGGGTATTATGCGCGAGTCAGAGCTATGGAAATATTTATTCATCAATTCTTAGAGGTTAGCGGCTCATTAGTATTATCGTGTATACATTCTGATAAGACGTAAATGTGTATCTTTTATGGCCTAAAGGTGTTTGAAAATTGCATTTAACGATTGGGCTGTAGGTAGGACTGCAGACCATAGCACCTTTATTTTTTATTATTTACCACACTGTTAGATCAATGTATTTTGAGTAGGAATGTTTTGTGTAGACAACTATCTCCAAACATTTTATTTTTGTGAATTTATGGCTGATTAGCATTAGAAATATGTAGTGCAAAGATTGAGATATTGCTTGAAACCTATGTTTGATAATTTCAGCGCTGTGGCACCAAATGTCAGATCATTAATTTGGGCTGTGGTTATGATACATTATACTGGCGTCTTAAGGACACAACACAGGCGGTGGGCAATTTTATTGAACTTGACTTCCCAGCAGTTACATCAAAAAAATGCCACATTATTAAACGGAATAAGCAATTGCTTCAGAAAATAGCAAATGAAGGTAAATAATATACTTGAATTTTTTGATAATTGATATATTGAATTAAGATACTTTATTTGGGATTAATTAATAGTATGGGAATCCAACTTGACTCCAAGTCAAAGGCAAAATCATTTATTCCAACTAAACATAAACCTAAATAAAAAGGTACTTTTGAAATGACAAAATAGTATAACCATCTGTCAGTCTGTTTGTCAGTGAAGTTAGTGCTGTAGGATAATAAATGGTGTTATGTGCTTCAGAGGCAAATCGAACATAACTGACTATTTGAGATTGAGACATTTTTTAACTTATTAATTTATAATGAGTACATAAAGATTTTTCTATTTTCTAAATGTTTTTAATAAACATATAAACTGGGGTACAGATGGCGAGGTGATGATCCGCGAGGGCGACCTACACTCGGACGGATACCACCTGCTGGGCTGCGACCTGCGCTGCCTGGCCGAGGTGCGGCGCAAGCTGGCGGCGGCGGGCGCGGGCCCGCAGGCGCCGGCGCTGGTGCTGGCGGAGTGCGTGCTGGTGTACCTGCGCCCCGACGCCGCCGACGCGCTGCTGCGCCATCTGGCGGCCTCCTTCCCGCGCTGCGCGCTGCTGGTGTACGAGCAGTGCAACCTGGGCGACAAGTTCGGGGAAGTCATGGTGCGCAACCTGTCGGCGCGCGGCTGCGTGGTGGCAGGCGCGCGGCTGGCGGGGTCGCCGACGGCGCAGGCGGAGCGTCTGGCCGCGCTGGGCTTCGACTCGGCGCGCGCCTGGGACATGGAGGCGGTGTGGCGCTCGTTCCCGGAGGAGGACCGCGCGCGCGTCGAGGCGCTGGAGATGCTGGACGAGCGGGAACTCTTGCTGCAGCTCAACTCACACTACGCGCTGTGCGTGGCCACGCGCGGGGACATCTTCGCCGACATGGACCTCAACGCGTAGGCGACCGCGCCCTTCTTGTCTCCGATTCATTTCGATGTTTTGTGTAATGTTTAAGCGTGCAGTTTGTGCGTTGGTAAATAACTGCATTGTTGTATAGAGTATAGTCGGTATCGATTAGAAAACGACTCGATCTTATTACGTATTAAATTATGATATGTATTTCTGCAACGAGTACTCTGCGTCGTAAGAACACGTACATAGAGAGGTGTTTGTTTACTGGATGCGTTACTCAACTCGTAGCACGATACTTCTATTAACCAGATTATATTTTTATTGTGATGAATCTTTCCCTGTGATGTATCCCTATTTTATATAATTTGCCTTGGCATATCAACTATTGGGGTGATCAGATCGATGCTTGCAGTGGTGCTGTCGAGGGTCCTCTATGGAAGATGCAGTTTTAAATCAAAATCTGATTACTTCATATAGGATACGTCATAAATGTGTGTAAATATGAATAGATTATCTTCTTTGCATATTAAATATGTGCAATACCACATCACTATATTATTATAAAAAATGTGCAATTCTATCCCAAAACAATACAAAAATTTTGTATTGCAAAATTTCGTATTGTTTAGCGTAAGCAAATAAAACACATTTGCGCCCAAATCTGTTTTTAATTACCGATTTATAATTATTTCTCCTATAAGACGAGTTTAAAATATAATAATACATAGAACAGGATTCGCAGTTACTGATTATGGCAAGGATTTGAAAATTTTCCCGCGGTCGAATCCTAGTTCGGGATTAACGTCGTAATTAAATAACAAAACTGAATAAAGATAATTTGTACCTACGTGAAAACAACATAATTCAAATTATTAATCATTGTAAATTATACACTTCTTTGCGTACATTAAAACTAGCGAGAAATTTGATTAACATCTAATAACTTAATAAATAAGAGTAGGCTTTATAGTTTTTTTTTTTAATTTCAAACAGAATTTACAGAAACAAAAGACAACTTGGAGCCTGATTGTTGGTATCAAACTATCGAATAAGTAAGTACTAAGAAAACTTGGTTTTATTGGTTTACTTGGATGTATTTCTTAAAAAAGTGGTTGATATCTTTGGTTTTGCAACAAACATTACTTATTCTTAACATTATGGCGAGGTTCTATCAATATATAATTTGTATATAGGTACCTACTTCACCTGAAGTCGCCGCCCAAGCTGTGGCACTTATTCAGGCCGGACACAGTTAAAGAAACGTGAGTGCTCAACTTAAGTCGATCTGCGGTCCAAAATGTTTATCGGAGGCACCTAGAGACTGGCGGCTTTGTTCGTCGCGAAAGAAGACCACGATATCGGGTCACAACTGAAAGGCAGGATTCATCGTGACGACCAGCTTGAGAAATCACCTTACCTCCATTGAGATACAAAATCCACTTCGGGACTTCCACGGAGTATCTGTGAGCGCTCGAACTGTTCGGAGAAGGTTAAAAGAACGCGATATGGTACCACACTAGCCAGCTAGTGGGCCCAAATTAACGCGAGCCCGCCGTACAATTTAAATTGGACACAGCAAGATTGGAACCGTGTAGGTACTCTTTTCTGATGAGTCTAAAATTGTGTTACATGGCAATGATGGGAGGAAGAAGGTCTACCGACGTAAGAGAGAGCGTTTCGCACAATGCTGCTTTGAAGAGAGGGTTACTTATCCAACTCATCTTAAGGTTGTTACAGGACCGCGGCTGCCAACAATAAATGCTGAAAGGTACATTCGTGCGTGAGTGCTTAGAACCTCACGTGCTACCATACGCGGACTATGTGGGCCCAAATTTCCTTTTTAAACGTGATAATGTAAGAGCCCATGCGGCCGGCATCGTCAGGGAATATCTTCGGCATGTGAACATCACAGTTATGGACTGGCCAGCCAGAAACCCAGGCATGAACCACATTGAGCAGATGTGGGACGAACTAAAAAGACGTGTTAGGGCTCGTCAGCCAGTTGCCCAGACGATGTAGGAGTTGAAAACTGCCATAGAAGAGGAATGGGAGATGATCCCTCAAAATTTCATAGAGCGGTTGATAAACTCATAAGATGTGGTAGATGCCCATGGAGGCAACACGCGTTATTAAATTAAACCATTATTTGATAAAACATGTTTTTTATTCAAAAAACATGTCCATGTCGTAGGTATTCTGAATTCGAATTTTAAAATGTGTCAACTGCATCATCAAGACGGTCTGAGTTTGGTTGCTACACTTGCTATGTTAAGCCGGCACTGAGCTTTGCCCAGATAAGTCTACATCACAAGTAATCGCTTCGCTAATGCTTCGGAAGGATGTATGGGGTTAAAGGGTGATGAAATAAAAACAAAGTAGTAATCGGGTGTGACATTGTAATGGGGCGCGTGCGGTCAGACGTGCGGCAGACAGGCGGCGATGGCGCGGCGCAGCGCCTGGCGCACGGCGGCGTCCCCCTGGCAGAACACGTGCGTGGCGTGGCGCTCCACGTGCACCAGCGTGTCGTGGCGCGGCAGGTGCACGATGCAGCCGTCCGCGCTGCGCTCCACGCGCGCGTCCGCCACGCCCTCGCGGCCCAGCGCGCGCACCAGCGCGTCCACGTCGGGCGCCGCGCAGTCCAGGCGCGGGGCCGACGCGCGCGGCGTGCCCGGCGCCGCCGGCGGGGCCACGTCCAGCGACACGCGCCGGTCGCGCACGCGCAGCGCGGCCTGTAGCGGCGCCGCGCGCAGGCCGGCGCGGACGTCGCGCGGCGACACGCGCGCAGCCAGGGCGCCGCTGAGCGTGGCGCGCGCCATGGTGCGGCGTGCGCCCAGAGACCGCGCGGCGCCGCGCCGCAGCAGCACGGTGGGCACGTCGGCCGCTATATGTGGGCGGGGGGCGGCGCCCCCCGGGGCTGCCGCGTACTGCTCTGGCAGGGCAAGCTCGCGCGGCCGCAGTTCTCGGACCAGTTTGTTGGCCTGCGAGTAGTTCAGTGAGGTGTCGATGGGACAGTGGAATGCTTTCATAGCAAGCGGTTGAAACGGCGCCAACGCATCCAGGTATGGAAAATCAGGCTCTATAAAAAAAATATGTATTCGTTTTATTAGTTGTAAGTCCTCCATCTATAATCAAAAATATATCATCAGCTGCTCTCATAGCTACGAATGCTACGATATGTATAATGCACCTGCGAATTAAACCTTACGAGTGCCACAAGCGCACCTCAGAGATGGCACAATTTTTTTTTACATCCCGATTCGCATCCTCTCATTCTAAAGGAGACAACGTAGAACTAGAGTATACCAGAGACGTTTGTGTAATGTTTAAATAAGGTTAACAACATAATGCATAGTGTATACTACGTACTGACCTGTAAATATAATGGCGTGCGCAGGGTTGGAAGCCCACAACTCCACGAGGTGCACGGCGGCGCCAAAACGGAGACTGGGGTGACCGCAGAACACGACACACGGCTGCAACAAATATGGCCGCCTTAGTGAAGGTACGACTGAGTCATCGGAGACACTGAGTAAGGCAGGGAGCACTCACCTGGCGGAAGTCTGCGCTGAAGGCGTCGTCGTGCAGCGAGCGCGCGTGCTTGAGGCGGCCGGCGCGCACCAGCGCCGCGTGCGGGAACGGCTCCTCCGGCAGGTACACGCGGGCCTGCACACGTTATTGGCTTGCTATACTTATAATGTGGTGATGTTCCACTAAGTAATGGACAAATTTAGAATTAGCATGCACACGTGCGAAGCCGAGTCGAGTTGCTAGTACAAAACAAATTGTTTCGATTCGTACCTGTTTGCCAACAGAGACCCACTCGGCGAGGATGTTGCTGTAAGCTAACGAGGAATCGGCCACTGGGGATACGACATACAGCGGCACCCCCGCCAGCCCCGCCGTGTCCAGGTGCGCCGACAAGCACTCCAGCAGGTCGTACAGCACGCCCGACGGGTACACGGGGCACAGCACGGAGCCCCCCGCCCGCAGCGTCACCGTGGCGTGCACGCACAGGTCGCCCAGCATGTGGTCCGGGTTGTGCGCAGGGGTTTGCGTCAGCGCCGCCAGAATTAACACGTCCGCCCCGCGCAGCGCCGCCTGGTTGATGGGCCGCGGGTGTGTCGTCAGCGTCGATGACCCGCTCACGTATGCCACCTTTTCGTGGGCTGAACGCAGCACCCAGTTAGCTGAGCCCAGGCAGAAGCCAGAGCTTACGGCCGTGGCGTCTAAGGCACCGTACACGTCCACGCGCTCGTCGTAGCCCACTACGCGCACGCGCGCCAACGCCCGCGACAGTGCGGCGGCCGAGAACAGACGGCGCCACGAGCGCGGGCGCGCCGCCAGTGCCAGCGGGGCGGGCAGCACGTGCAGCAACTCCTTCCAGCGCCGCGCCGCGCCCGCCCCGCCCGCGCCGCCAGCTCCGCCCGACACCCACTCGGCCAGCTCCTCCAGGTAGAAGCGGCCTATCTGTAGGGTGGGCTCGGTGGCATATACCTGGCCTTTGAAGCCTGTGTCCTCGGTTATGAATGGCAGTGCCATCATACATGTGTAGTTTGAGATGAGAATTACATCCAGCTGGGAAAAGTCCACAACTTTGTCTAATGGGGGACAGAATTCTGGTATACTGTCTACAAATACACGTCCACAGCATTCTTTTAATTCCTGTAAAATAAAAACAGTTATTTATTTTAAATGTTTAGCACTCATATATATTTTTACCACAATAAACAAAGATAACAATTATTCCATTTAGTGCTATTGTTCTCAATTGGGAATAGTGAAACAATAAAGGGTAGTTGTATATTTTTTGGCTTATTAATGCAATGACTGATAAGTGGCAAATGCAATTGTTTATGTGGAAACATAAAATTTGTCTTTGTTGAATCACATGAACATTGTAAAGTAGTAGTAAAGTATAATTGCATATAGAGGTTGTGTTGTTATTGTGGATTGTCTGTCTTGTGTAAGGTACACAAGACAGCTATGTATTGGATAAGCTACATATGGCTTCTCATGAGTAACAGTGATGTTATGCTCATGACTTTAAGTGTCAATTCCATCATCAGCTACTATTTTCGCCAGAATAATACTACCAATATTGCCCAAAGACGGTATAAGACATTATCACCAGAAAAGTGTTTCGAAAATTTGCTCCCATAGGTACTCAATTAAGTACTAAATAAGTTCTAATTATAAATATTTGGTTTTTGTCTGAAGTGCATGTCTATACAATAGTAACATTAATGTTTTACATAAATAGCTATTTCTTTTATTTTGGTGCTTAGTTACCTACTATGTGGAGAGAACCTATTGTCATGTGTTAATCATTAATTAGATAAATAATAAAGATAGTAGTAATGAGCTGGTACATGCACAATCTTAAATATTATGGATGTTTTATGAAAAAGTACCAAATTATATAAAGAATAAAATTCTAAATTGAGCTGTTACATGTTATAGTATTTTTATGATTGTGTCAATTTGTCGCACAACATTTTTAAGTCTGACTTCAGAGTACCACTTGTCATCATCCAACAGAGTCTATAAATAATATAACAGAACTAACTGACTAAATTGAGATAGTAGGTAGTTGCTATTTTTTGAGAATAAGAATGCTATGATGTATGCATCTTTAAAGTTGTTAACTATAAATAATGCCAAATCAAGCTGATGGTCACTTTATCATTCAAAGAAAGGAATCAACAGATGCATTCACATAGTCCTACAGAAAACCCAATATGAAATTTTGTTATATACTTATTCAAGAAGTCTACATTGTAGTGCATAACAATTGTTTATTGAACATAGAAGGGAATATTTTGGAATAAATGTCTCCTTTGTTATTTGAAACAGTGTCAGGATAATCAAATAAATTACAAACCCCTTCAAGTAGTGGATCATTGAGATGTGGCGGCGTGTAGTTGGGTAAAGAGGCCAGACGTGTACTCGGTACTGGTGGCAGCGGTAGGAAGTTGAGGACCGAATGCGCCGACAGCCCGCAGTCCAACATTATAAGCAATTCTTTAAATGACAGGACAAAACACGGTTTGGCCGCATCGTTGCTTAGGCAGTACTACAACAAAACAATGTAATTTAGAGGCACCATACTATTTAAAACATCACTTTTTATTTTGATTATAATAACTTACCAGTTTCATTTTGTTATATTAATTACTTTATCGACTTCTTAACTTAGTATAACCTAAACAAACATTATTTATTGTATTTACGGCACCCGCTCGACTGTTATTAAGTTTCAGCTATTTATTATGAGAGGATAACACATTTTCTATTCGTTAACTCTGGCATTAATATCGACTTTAGTCTACTTTTCACTATTTTTATGAAAATAAATAAATATACACGGCGTCGAAGTCTGTCAACTATGACAAATGTCAAATTAAGATGTCAAGTTTGTTTTTTTTGCCAACCAACGTTTAGTTGCTGGGTCATTGCCAATGTCATCTTATTTTTTATGGAATAGGAGGCAAACGAGCATACGGATCACTTGATGTTAAGTGATCGGACACCTGCAGTACCAGAGGAGTCACAAGTTGTACAATAACGCCAGTTATCGTAATATAGAAGAAAAGTCGGTTATCACCCAAGAATAAATTGTTTGTCACTTCTTGTTACCCACGGTCATAAAAAATAGACCTAATAAGGTTCTGTTCTAAGTTTGAAAGGATAAGAAGATAGTGAAAAATAATTACTTATGTGGTTTAATTTCATGGACTTACTTTTAAAACAAAAATATGAAGACTATGTTTCAAATGTCAAAAGTATCAAGACTGGAAAAACACAGTATTTGGGGTGCCTATATGACAAGTAGTAGCGACCTCTATTATCCACACTATTTTTGCCTAAGCTACACTAAAGGCTTAAACTTTAAAATATTTTGTTCAATGCCTACGTCTCCTCAAATGCCTTTTGTATAGTATCTAGCAAGAAGCATTACCAGAATATTCTGATTCCTGGAACGGGAAAAAAATATTATCGGGCTTAAATATATTGAAAAAAAAAACACTACTTATCCAATTAGGACTTGTCGATCCTTCACAGCGTTGCGTGCAAAGCGACTGTTTTTCAATGAATTGAGTGATATGTTGAAAATGTCCTATTCATTTTTTTACTGACAACCCTTTGATAAAAATGGAAATTTCTGAACTTGTCGGAATGTTTGTAGTTGAAGATGTTATTAGGTGCCGACGACCAAGCAAAAGGGTGACGCCAAGTGGCCAAGCCGTATTTTATCATGGTGCCTCAGAATACAGAACAAACGAAACACGCTGACTTTGCTGTATGTGGCGGCTAGTTGTACAGCGGCTTTTGAGGGACTGCATGCAGTAAAGATGACCCAATGTTCCGTGGGGGTCTCTGGCACCCCACAAATTATGCAGGCGACTATAGGTTGCCTTAGTAGATACTTATTCCACTGCCGAAAAAACTCCGGGACAATCCCGGAAATCCTGACCACCCGGAAACCCTAACTGTAATAGACAAAAACATATTAAAGTCCAGGATCGGCCCCTTTTTCTTTTTTTTTGCCTTGTATCCGTATCCTCAGGATCGGGAGGCGGCGATATCTCGCGTCCTGCCATAGTCGAGTTCATGGTGTGGAGGCGAGAGGGAACTATCGTCCTCGTCGGGGATTGACAGATGATCTCCGGCCACCGTAAGCGCAGGTCTGCGGACGACGAGTATGGGTAGCTCGCCTCCCGATCAGAACCAGACCCGAGCGTACGGCGCGTCAAAGGTCCAATAGACCAACACAAACGGGGCCCAACTGATGATTAACCGGGGGTTGCAGGGCAAGCGCAATAAGTCACCGCGGCCTGGGCCTAAAGCAGAAGAAGAAACGGGGGGGGGGGGGGGGAGTTAGTAAGAGTCCGTATTTTTATTATTATGTATTGGTTTGTTATAGTCCGGTTGAGATTTATATTATGTATGGCCTACCTGCTTATAATTTCAATACAAGCAAGTCACTGTGACTTGAGTAGTGGTTATTTTTACCTCAAAAATATGTCTACAAGCCAAACGAGTTTATCGGTGAGCTGACCAAAACCTGATTTTGGTTATTAAAATTGGTTCATTAAAAGTATGACAGTTAATTTTATTTTAAAGATCGTACATGTCTGGATCTCTCAAGATGTTAAGGCATAAAAAAGATATGTAGGTCTTAAGGGGTAGTCCTAAATGTTAATGTTTACGTTTGGTCTCCTTGATGGGCTTGCAATAATCTGCTGGAATGTTTAAATAAGATCCTCTTAGTCGACAAGCGGACTTCGTTAAAGAAGTGCTAATTTTTTCGATGGCTTGCTTATTTTACGTAAAACTACAAAAATAAAACGCACATTTAATAAATTGATTGTGCGGTACCTTGTAGAATAAATTAGCATGCGGAAGGTGGCATGAAATGTCAAGCAACGACAATAGGCGAACGAGTGGTGCGCGGGTCAGTGAGCGCTCGGCCGGTCCCGACGAGACTCCTGCGCTATCTGTGTCACTCGGTCAGCTGCAGAGTGAAGGACGCGGACACGTCCACACGACCCTACACCCCGAGCCCCGTCGTAGCCTGACAGTTTCCAGCTAGCCGCCGAGTGAGGTGCCCGCGCGCAACATGGCCACCGTTAAGTTCACACGCAAAGAGATCGAAGCGCGGAACCACCGCGAGGAGGCCGCTATCATCATAGACAACGTGGTGTACGACGTGACGGAGTTCATGGAAGACCACCCGGGTGGCGTGGATGTACTGCTCGACAACGCCGGCAAGGACGCGTCCCAATGTTTCGCTGACGTGGGCCACAGTGACATCGCATTGGAATGGCGCGAGAAGTTTGTTATTGGAGAAGTGGTCGACGAGGACCGATGGCCAGAGGTGAAGCGAGTGGTGCACGAGGCACCACCCGCCGAGCCCTTCACTCTGATGACGCTGCTGAATATCTGGGGCCCGCCAATAGTGCTTGGCGGTCTCGCTGCGCTCGTTTACACTTACCTCTTTCCGACGTCTTAGGACAAACGAATCATTACTGCAGTGCTTTATCAATCCACCTTACCAGTGTGTGGACATAAACTGTAGGGAGAAGGTTAAGGTGGGTTATGTGTGATAAATATGGGACTAGAAATGTGTAAAAGCAGTCGGTGAAGCATAGCTTCCGGTCGGTACTCGTGGCAAGTCAGCGACTAATAAATCGACTCGAATGCTTCCCTAAAATGAATGCGAATGCAGTTGAATGCCTATACAGAGCCGTCGATGGTGATGACATTTAGACGAATAGTATGTAGGTTGTTATTTGATAAGGTTATGGAATAAAGGTTGTGTTTTAACATAATACGAAAAACTTGTTGTATTATTTGTTTTGTTACGATTCTACAGAACATAAACCAAATGGCCTCCGTTACTATTGCACGATGCTTTCCTTTGGTAACTAAGGCGCTCTTACAATATTAGTATTTTAGTTATTAATCAGTTTATGCATCAGAGTAGAGCTAGAAGCGAAAATAATATAATGATCAGCGGCTTGTTGTGTTAACGCCGCGCGCCGTGTTTGGTCCGGCCGCCGCTAGCCGCCCGCGCCTCGCGGCTGTCCTCAAGGTGAGCTGCTTTTCGCACGTGCAGCGGCTAGCGGGGTGGCGGGTGGCGGGTGGTCAGTGTATTGCTTCTTGCCACCTTCCATTACGACTCACTTTATTTACGTATGTAAGTAATTTATGTAAATACGATACTATATTTAAATATATTCACTGACGAATGTTCCTTGTTTGTACTTGAAGTACTTATACGATGACAGTGTAATTTGGGTCCGTAATTGGTTACCTACCTACCTACTGCCCACTTTCACACTGTATTTGTTTAAGTCGATAGGTCTATTTATAATAAGACTCGTTGAGGTCTAGTTGGCTTAGTTATTATGACTAAAAAATCGGAACAGTGAGGTTTGATTACTCTGCATAACTGCATCTGAGATACTTGAGTGATTGTGATCGAATAAAGTGTGTTTTTCATGTTCGAGTATCAGAAAAAACCTAGAAATTGTACCTACAAAGGTAAAAGGCAAAAAAAGGGCTCTCAAAAGTTTAAAGAACTCTGGAGGGTACACTATGAACGCATACCCACTAAGTATGGTATTTATTTTCAAAGTCAAAATCATCTATTCCAACTAAACCATAAATACTTAGGTACTTTTGAAACGTTATAATAGAATAGTATTCTGTTAGTTTGTTCATCAGTCAAGCTAAGTGCCTAAGTGCTCGTTCCAAATTGTAGATTCGAATGGAGAAGAACGAGTAAGAAACTCAATCGTAGCTCTTTTATTTTTAAAATATTAGCTGAAGCTATTTTATTCATAGGTTTGAACCACAAACATTTCAGCAATCTCAGTTGTATTATGTCTGTTTAGGTAACAATGAGAAAAATAACGTCAAAAAAAGAATCATAATCAAAAATAATGCTTTCAGGGGGTCCCGAGAGCGTTGCGGGTGCAAAGAAAAATATTTTGGACAAGCTGTTGTAGCGGTAGTAAAACCCTCCTTTAAGTAGTGGCCAGGGAAACGCCATGGTGTCCTCCCTCTGTCTGATGAACTTGCTTACTGGTTACAGCCTCTGTAAGCGTGGTTCTGCGAAAGGCGTGCAAGGGTAGCTCTGCACCCGAGTTAAAATGCGAATAGACCACTGTAGATGGGCCCAACATGGCGGACGTTCGGTCGAGGTTGCAGGGCTAGCACAATTATGTACCACGATGGCCTGGAGCAGGAGGAGGAACCTGGTGGTTTTTGTCCATAAGCGTCTAATACTCCCTCTCACGCCACTTAAGGCAAGAGAAGTCATTAGATTTTCCACCCTAATAAAAAGCTGTGTTTTTCACCCTGTTACGGTTGTGGGCTAGGTCACCATGTACTGCGGCTTCGGCATGAACCAGGAGTTGTAACTAAGTGGTTTTTGTCGAGGGTCTGATAGTCTCTACCGCCTACAGTTCATGAAACTAGTTTTGGTTGTTATGTAATATGTTTATGTTGTTTATATGTATATCTAATAATGTATATGCATATTATGCATATGCCTTCGATGCCTGAAATCAATTGACAAATAGAACTCAAATAAAAAAATCTTAATTAAGTGCTTATATGTATACATTAAAAAAAGAGGGTGTTTTAAAACAATAATTTTGTATTAGTACACATTACGTATTGCTTACATTTAAATACATACACATTGTAAAACAGGTAGGTACCTATAAATAATTATTGTAATAGTTTCGGTGGTATGTGTAGTTACTGTAGATATGTGACAATTGTCTGTTACAAATTGTCGTGGTAGTCCGGAGGTTAAGGCGTCCGCTTCTCATGCATGAGGGTGTGGGTTCAAAACCTGGCAAGTACCAATGTGACTTTTTCCGAGTTATGTGTACCTGCTGTCTATGATTATTTAGACACCACTGATATACTGTGAAAGAAAACATCGTGAGGATACCTGGACTTATAATTTCTAATTATAAGTTTGAAATCGCCAATCCGCTTTGAGCAAGCGTGATGATTTATGCTCAAACCTTTTCGTGTGAGGAGAGGCCTTTGCTCAGCAGTGGGTACTTATAGGCAGATGGTGTGATGTTATGTGTCTGTTAGAAATAGGCTCGTACTGGTAGTTACAAGGTACTGATACCTCTTAATGCGACATGCGATACGCTACAAGTGCAGACGAAGCGAGAGGTACCCCCTCGTATCAGGATTGTGGTCACTTTCAACCACTTTCACTGACGGCCACTGGCTCCAAGCCGCTTGCTCGCCTTGCTTTCATAGACACGTCGGTCGGTATCGGAATGACAAGTTAGCAATTTGGCAAGATAAATGAAACTGCCTCATTGGTCAAGTGTTCGTAAGCTCTCTATTCCCAATCGGCAGGTAATTATTAGTGTTTTTTTGGGATTGTTTTATAGTAACAGGCTCACTTTACTAAAATGAGCCAGGAAGTTATAGCATTACTGTTGAAAATGGGTCAATGATCCTTAGGTTCTATTTTACGCTCCGCAGCACAGTCTACAAGAGGGCCAGAAGTCTCATATTGGAGATGATAGTGTGCCACTAGATGGTTTTAAGAAAGTGAGAATCCCTCACTCCCCAAAAAGCTAGCACTTGCTAGCCAAGCCTTATGAAGTCATTCCCAGTAATAAAATAAAAACATGTTTTCCAATGTCTCATTAGCTATTATGCAGTAATTTGTATGTAATGTAATGTGCTAAATAAACTAAAAAAAAAGTTTGGTTGAAGGCAGTGAACATGTACCTTAAGGCATGATATAAATAAAGTGCATAAAGGCAGATTTGTGATAAGCTGTTTATTATATTTTGTTTATTTCTTCACTACGCTTATAGCACGGAAATCAAATAATAAGTAAATTAAATTGTAAATCGAACGTTTTATTTCCCGTAATTTCAAAGTCAAACTCAAAACCATTTATTGCAACTAAATTATAAACAAAAAATATAAGTAAGTAGTAACTTTTTAAAAGTCATCAATATCTATCTATACTTATACTAAATCTGTAGAGAGGTCAATCCTGTACATGAAATATATTTTCAAAATAACTATCAGGGGTGATAAGTAATCGATACTGATGCCTAAAATGCCAGTAAAATTTTGTCTGTTTGTCTGTCTGTGTGTTGCTTATAGAAACAAAAATTACTCGACAGACATTAGCGTAACTTTGGTACAATTATTCTTCATATTCAGTAAGTTATAAAAGTGAAGGTAAATGTTGGGAAAACGGGAGAAGTTACTCCATTTTTAAGCTTCCGTCGTGTGTGCAGCCTTAATGTTATAATGTTTATAAAAATATAGAATTCCTAGTACCTTTTTGTCGACTCTTACCACACCCGAGGAATAAAGTCGAAGGTCGAAGAATAATCCATTCCAGAAATAACAATTTCTCAACCCTAAAGTACACAGACTCATGTATGTAATCAGAGAGATTGAAAAAAAAAGTATTGAAGTGATTGAAGTTTTACTGCTAACATTTTAATTTATTAAGATCTAACGAGTTTTCGAAATAGGTCTTTAGAGTAAGGAGTTTGGAGCAACAGAACTCTTCAAGGACAAACAGCATGAAGTTCGTGATTGATGCGATTGTTTGTTTACTGGAATTCTTCGTGAAATTAAATGATACATTACATAAGTACGTTAATTTGGTTAAACGTGAATGTTAATTTTCAGTGAGCACAAAAACGAATAAAAAACTATTCTACGACACAATTAATAAAGCACAATTTATTTAAGAAACTTTTTTTAACACCGTCATGTTTTATTTAGCTAAATAAAAAGCTAGTTAATATATGTACTTACCTACTACAATGTATACTAAAAAAATCGATATTATGCACTACGATTGATTAGTAAGTCTGGGTATAGTTAGATGTCGCTGACGTGTCACTATTTTGCTTCGATGAACAATGTTGGTATTGTTGATCGAAGGTATTTTGTTTGCACCAAGTATATTGTTAATATACTACTCTGTCAAGAAAGTACCGGGAAAAAGTCAATAATACACAAAATTTTTGTTATTCATCTAAATTTATTTTATCACCTTCAAAGTATGCTCCTTCAGAAACGATACACTTACGCCAACGAATAATCCAATCATCGAAACTTTTTTTAAACGCTGTTTCCGAAATTGAGTTCAGTGCTCGCCGCGAATTCTCCTTTATGTCTTCTAACGATTAAAAACGGGTACCACGAAGGGGTAATTTGAGTGTGGGAAAAAGAAAGAAGTCGGCTGGAGCCATATCTGGTGAATATGCTGGTTGCTCGATGGTGTTTGTTGAGTGTTTGGACAAAAAATCGTTTACAATGATGGCCTTGTGCGAAGGCGCATTATCGTGATGCAAAATCCAAGAATTTTCTTTCCACATGTCAGGCCTTTTTCGTCGAATTTGTTCTCTTAAACGCCGCATAACGCTCAAATAATATTCTTTATTTACCGTTTGATCTTCGGGCAAGAATTCTGAGTGCACAATACCGCGATAGTCAAAGAAAGTTTTTTCGGTTTTGGTTCAGTTGGAAGGCGCCATTCCGAAGCTTGTTGACTAGTTTGCATGTCAAACTCGTAAACCCAAGTCTCGTCACCAGTAACAATGCGTTTCATGAATGTTGGGTCGGTATTGACTCGTTCTAGCATGCCCTCAGCGACTTTCAAGCGATTTAGTTTTTGAAGAAAATTC